GTTGTTGTAGTGGTGATTCTTAGCTGTCTACTAGTTGTGTTCTTAGCTGTCTACTAGTTGTGTAGTGATGATTCTTAGCTGTCTACTAGTTGTGTAGTGGTGATTCTTAGCTGTCTACTAGTTGTGTAGTGGTGATTCTTAGCTGTCTGCTAGTTGTGTAGTGGTGATTCTTAGCTGTCTACTAGTTGTGTAGTGATGATTCTTAGCTGTCTACTAGTTGTGTAGTGGTGATTCTTAGCTGTCTACTAGTTGTGTAGTGATGATTCTTAGCTGTCTACTAGTTGTGTAGTGGTGATTCTTAGCTGTCTACTAGTTGTGTAGTGATGATTCTTAGCTGTCTACTAGTTGTGTAGTGGTGATTCTTAGCTGTCTGCTAGTTGTGTAGTGGTGATTCTTAGCTGTCTACTAGTTGTGTAGTGATGATTCTTAGCTGTCTACTAGTTGTGTAGTGGTGATTCTTAGCTGTCTACTAGTTGTGTAGTGATGATTCTTAGCTGTCTACTAGTTGTGTAGTGATGATTCTTAGCTGTCTACTAGTTGTGTAGTGGTGATTCTTAGCTGTCTGCTAGTTGTGTAGTGGTGATTCTTAGCTGTCTACTAGTTGTGTAGTGGTGATTCTTAGCTGTCTACTAGTTGTGTAGTGATGATTCTTAGCTGTCTGCTAGTTGTGTAGTGGTGATTCTTAGCTGTCTACTAGTTGTGTAGTGGTGATTCTTAGTAGTTGTGGTGATTCTTAGCTGTCTACTAGTTGTGTAGTGATGATTCTTAGCTGTCTACTAGTTGTGTAGTGGTGATTCTTAGCTGTCTGCTAGTTGTGTAGTGGTGATTTCTTAGCTGTCTAACTAGTTAGTAGTTGTGTAGTGGTGATTCTTAGCTGTCTACTAGTTGTGTAGTGGTGATTCTTAGCTGTCTACTAGTTGTGTAGTGATGATTCTTAGCTGTCTGCTAGTTGTGTAGTGATGATTCTTAGCTGTCTACTAGTTGTGTAGTGATGATTCTTAGCTGTCTACTAGTTGTGTAGCTGTCTGTCTAGTTGTGATTCTTAGCTGTCTACTAGTTGTGTAGTGGTGATTCTTAGCTGTCTAGTAGTTGTGTAGTGGTGTCTGCTAGATTCTTAGCTGTCTACTAGTTGTGTAGTGGTGATTCTTAGCTGTCTACTAGTTGTGTGATGTGCTGTGATTCTTAGCTGTCTTAGCTGTCTAGTTGTGTAGTGATGATTCTTAGCTGTCTACTAGTTGTGTAGTGTGTGATTCTTAGCTGTCTACTAGTTGTGTAGTGGTGATTCTTAGCTGTCTGCTAGTTGTGTAGTGATGATTCTTAGCTGTCTACTAGTTGTGTAGTGGTGTTTCTTACCTGTCTGCTAGTTGTGTAGTGGTGATTCTTAGCTGTCTGCTAGTTGTGTAGTGGTGATTCTTAGCTGTCTGCTAGTTGTGTAGTGGTGATTCTTAGCTGTCTACTAGTTGTGTAGTGGTGATTCTTAGCTGTCTGTAGTGGTGAGTTGTGTAGTGGTGATTCTTAGCTGTCTACTAGTTGTGTAGTGATGATTCTTAGCTGTCTACTAGTTGTGTAGTGGTGATTCTTAGCTGTCTGCTTGTGTTGTGTAGTGTCTACTAGTGATTCTTAGCTGTCTACTAGTTGTGTAGTGATGATTCTTAGTGTCTAGTGTGTGTGATTCTTAGCTGTCTACTAGTTGTGTAGTGGTGATTTCTTAGCTGTCTACTAGTTGTGTAGTGATGATTCTTAGCTGTCTGCTAGTTGTGTAGTGGTGATTCTTAGCTGTCTACTAGTTGTGTAGTGGTGATTCTTAGCTGTCTGTTGTGTAGTGATGATTCTAGTTGTGTAGTGGTGATTCTTAGCTGTCTACTAGTTGTGTAGTGGTGATTCTTAGCTGTCTGCTAGTTGTGTAGTGGTGATTCTTAGCTGTCTACTAGTTGTGTAGTGGTGATTCTTAGCTGTCTACTAGTTGTGTAGTGGTGATTTTCTTAGCTGTCTACTAGTTGTGTAGTGGTGATTCTTAGCTGTCTACTAGCTGTAGTGATGATTCTTAGCTGTCTGCTAGTTGTGTAGTGGTGATTCTTAGCTGTCTACTAGTTGTGTAGTGGTGATTCTTAGCTGTCTGCTAGTTGTGTAGTGGTGATTCTTAGCTGTCTACTAGTTGTGTAGTGGTGATTCTTAGCTGTCTACTAGTTGTGTAGTGGTGATTCTTAGCTGTCTGCTAGTTGTGTAGTGATGATTCTTAGCTGTCTACTAGTTGTGTAGTGGTGATTGCTTAGCTGTCTACTAGTTGTGTAGTGATGATTCTTAGCTGTCTACTAGTTGTGTAGTGATGATTCTTAGCTGTCTACTAGATGATGATCTTAGCTGTCTACTAGTTGTGTAGTGGTGATTCTTAGCTGTCTACTAGTTGTGTAGTGGTGATTCTTAGCTGTCTACTAGTTGTGTAGTGGTGATTCTTAGCTGTCTACTAGTTGTGTAGTGGTGATTCTTAGCTGTCTGCTAGTTGTGTAGTGGTGATTCTTAGCTGTCTACTAGTTGTGTAGTGATGATTCTTAGCTGTCTACTAGTTGTGTAGTGATGATTCTTAGCTGTCTACTAGTTGTGTAGTGATGTTCTTAGCTGTGCTACTAGTTGTGTAGTGATGATTCTTAGCTGTCTACTAGTTGTGTAGTGATGATTCTTAGCTGTCTAGTTGTGTAGTGTGTTAGTGTCTACTAGTTGTGTATGATGATTCTTAGCTGTCTACTAGTTGTGTAGTGGTGATTCTTAGCTGTCTACTTGTTGTGGTGATTCTTAGCTGTCTACTAGTTGTGTAGTGGTGATTCTTAGCTGTCTACTAGTTGTGTAGTGGTGATTCTTAGCTGTCTACTAGTTGTGTAGTGATGATTCTTAGCTGTCTGCTAGTTGTGTAGTGGTGATTCTTAGCTGTCTAGTAGTGGTGATGTTAGCTGTCTGATGTAGTGGTGATTAGCTGTCTACTAGTTGTGTAGTGATGATTCTTAGCTGTCTACTAGTTGTGTAGTGGTGATTCTTAGCTGTCTACTAGTTGTGTAGTGATGATTCTTAGCTGTCTACTAGTTGTGTAGTGGTGATTCTTAGCTGTCTACTAGTTGTGTAGTGGTGATTCTTAGCTGTCTACTAGTTGTGTAGTGGTGATTCTTAGCTGTCTAGTAGTGGTGATTCTTAGCTGTCTAGTAGTGTGTAGTGATGATTCTTAGCTGTCTACTAGTTGTGTAGTGGTGATTCTTAGCTGTCTACTAGTTGTGTAGTGATGATTCTTAGCTGTCTACTAGTTGTGTGGTGATTCTTAGCTGTCTACTAGTTGTGTAGTGGTGATTCTTAGCTGTCTACTAGTTGTGTAGTGGTGATTTAGCTGTCTGCTAGCTGTGTAGTGGTGATTCTAGCTGTCTAGTTGTGTAGTGATGTAGTGATTCTTAGCTGTCTACTAGTTGTGTAGTGGTGATTCTTAGCTGTCTACTAGTTGTGTAGTGATGATTCTTAGCTGTCTGCTAGTTGTGTAGTGGTGATTCTTAGCTGTCTACTAGTTGTGTAGTGGTGATTCTTAGCTGTCTAGTTGTGTAGTGGTGATTCTAGTTCTGTGTAGTGGTGATTCTTAGCTGTCTACTAGTTGTGTAGTGGTGATTCTTAGCTGTCTACTAGTTGTGTAGTGGTGATTCTTAGCTGTCTACTAGTTGTGTAGTGATGATTCTTAGCTGTCTACTAGTTGTGTAGTGATGATTCTTAGCTGTCTACTAGTTGTGTAGTGGTGATTCTTAGTTGTGTGTGATTCTTAGCTGTCTACTAGTTGTGTAGTGATGATTCTTAGCTGTCTGCTAGTTGTGTAGTGGTGATTCTTAGCTGTCTACTAGTTGTGTAGTGGTGATTCTTAGCTGTCTGCTAGTTGTGTAGTGGTGATTCTTAGCTGTCTGCTAGTTGTGTAGTGGTGATTCTTAGCTGTCTACTAGTTGTGTAGTGGGTGATGTTAGTGTAGTTGTGTGATTCTTAGCTGTCTACTAGTTGTGTAGTGGTGATTCTTAGCTGTCTACTAGTTGTGTAGTGATGATTCTTAGCTGTCTACTAGTTGTGTAGTGATGATTCTTAGCTGTCTACTAGTTGTGTAGTGGTGATTCTTAGCTGTCTACTAGTTGTGTAGTGGTGATTCTTAGCTGTCTACTAGTTGTGTAGTGATGATTCTTAGCTGTCTACTAGTTGTGTAGTGGTGATTCTTAGCTGTCTACTAGTTGTGTAGTGATGATTCTTAGCTGTCTACTAGTTGTGTAGTGATGATTCTTAGCTGTCTACTAGTTGTGTAGTGATGATTCTTAGCTGTCTACTAGTTGTGTAGTGGTGATTCTTAGCTGTCTGCTAGTTGTGTAGTGGTGATTCTTAGCTGTCTACTAGTTGTGTGTAGTGGTGATTCTTAGCTGTCTTAGTTGTGTAGTGGTGATTCTTAGCTGTCTACTAGTTGTGTAGTGGTGATTCTTAGCTGTCTGCTAGTTGTGTAGTGGTGATTCTTAGCTGTCTGCTAGTTGTGTAGTGGTGATTGTGTAGTGATGATTCTTAGCTGTCTACTAGTTGTGTAGTGGTGATTCTTAGCTGTCTACTAGTTGTGTAGTGATGATTCTTAGCTGTCTACTAGTTGTGTAGTGGTGATTCTTAGCTGTCTGCTAGTTGTGTAGTGATGATTCTTAGCTGTCTACTGATGATTCTTAGGTGTCTGCTAGTTGTGTAGGGTGATGCTCTTAGCTGTCTGCTAGTTAGTGTAGTGGTGATTCTTAGCTGTCTGCTAGTTGTGTAGTGGTGATTCTTAGCTGTCTGCTAGTTGTGTAGTGATGATTCTTAGCTGTCTGCTAGTTGTGTAGTGGTGATTCTTAGCTGTCTACTAGTTGTGTAGTGGTGATTCTTAGCTGTCTGCTAGTTGTGTAGTGATGTTTCTTAGCTGTCTGCTAGTTGTGTAGTGATGTTTCTTAGCTGTCTACTAGTTGTGTAGTGGTGATTCTTAGCTGTCTGCTAGTTGTGTAGTGATGTTTCTTAGCTGTCTGCTAGTTGTGTAGTGATGTTTCTTAGCTGTCTACTAGTTGTGTAGTGATGATTCTTAGCTGTCTACTAGTTGTGTAGTGATGTTTCTTAGCTGTCTGCTAGTTGTGTAGTGGTGATTCCTGCTTGTCTGCTAGTTGTGTAGTGGTGTTTCCTCCCTGTCTGCTAGTGTGTAGTGGTGTTTCCTGTCTGCCAGTTATATAGTGATGTATGCCAGGTTTGTGGTGATGCCTGCTAGATGTGTACAGAAGTCTGCTAAATGTGTGGTGATGTCTGTTAAATGTGTAGAGATGTCAGCTAGACTGTGGTGATGACTGTCAGATGTGTGATGTTAACCACGTCGCCTTGAGTATATCATTTACAGGTATCTGATGATATGGAGTCTTTAGGCACTGGTGACTACGCCTGAATGACAGCTTTGGTACTGGCTGTAACTGCATACAGTGTAGACATAGTTCACTTTGCTCTCTTAATATAACTCCTGTTCTTGTGGTCAAAGGGAGTGCAAACAGCTAATTTCTTTGCTCATTTGTATATAATGATTACGTCCCTTACCAAAAAATTTATTGTTTTGTTTTTTGATTTCAGAGTGATACAATTTATTTTATTTGTATGTTTTTAATCACCTCGACCTGTGATAATGCAGCTAGGAGTCCTGCCTGTCTGCTCGGTGGTCATAGGTGTCAAATCCCTGGATTTTATCCACACCGACCAGGACTCCAAATTGACTCTGCTTCTTCTCTTCTAGTAGTTTCTCAGAGTGACATTTCTGATCATTCTTCTCCTTCTTCTTAGTGTTCACGGGCTGTAAACTGCTGGAAAATTGGCAGAAGAGAATTCTTACAATGATTTTTTTTTTAAAGAAATTTTTAAACAGTATTTTTTTTTTTTTTTTAAAGATTCTGATGTGGTGAAAGGGATATGGAAGACTATTGAAAAAAAAAAAAAAATGTTTACCTTATTGAGAATAGCCTGGGCTAGGCTCATGAAGGCCTTCTCCACATTGATGTTTGCCTTGGCACTAGTCTCCAGGAACGGTATGTTGTGCTCTCTAGCAATCTGAAGATACAATAATATCTCATATTAGCAGCTGTCTAAAAAAAAAAAACATCTAAAATTACAAGATAACTCTGAAGATATTTATAAGATTATGCAATCAATTTAAGAAAACCACAGGCCATTAATTTACTGGAAGGATATCTCGAGTTATTATTTCCTACAAAAGACATCTCCAGTCATTAGTTCCCAAACAGTGGCTGGAGAAGCTCTCATGGGAGAGACACAGGTCTGATCCTCCGTAAGGTGGTGGAATAAAGGCATTAAGTCAAGAGTTGGCTGCTCGAAACACAGCAGCTAGGAGAATGTTCCAGGCCACAACCAAGGGTTTCACAGCAAAGGATAAATTTGCAAGAGGACAAAAATGGTTGTATACCACTCTATCTATGTAACAGTCCTGACCTAGGGGTGTGAATCATGGGCAATAACAGCTCACAGAAGCTGACTGAGGCCTGGAAAATGAGGTATCTAAAAAAGGCGGTTCACTGACAAGACGGGACAAAGTTTGCAGCCAGACAACATCATGATCTTAATACCCAAGCCTTACAAATTCAAATGGATTATCACTAACAATGGTCTCTGAGGGAGAATGGGAGTAAATAGGCCACCATGGCAAGACCAAGAACCAGGGAACCACACCACCAAAACAACCCAGGACTCGCTGGGAAGACAACATCCACCAGTCCCTGAATGACAGCCAACTGGAAATTAACAAAGCTGAAAAGAAAATTGTCAATAAAATCTGGTGATCTCTCTGGGGAATCTCTACAACCCAAATAGAAAAGGATCCAGTAAGTCAGTAAGGTGATGAAGGTTTCCCAAGAAGGGCACAGTTTAATATTCTAACCTGCATGTTCGTGGTGACTACACTTTCCGTGTGGATAAAATGGTCAAACTAAAGGAAACCCCTCCCCATGGTCTCACACCGTTCTGAAAGAAGAACATGCGGGCAGTAAAGAGCGTTTTTTGAAGTTCCAACAGAAGAATCGATATAAAAAATACAGATATCTCAATTCAATCGTTCTAAGAAGGATATCTCAAATTTTTTTTTTCCACAAAGGATATCTGAAATCTTTTGTTTCCACGAAGGATATCTCAAATCTTTTGTTTCCACAAAGGATGTCTCAAATCTTTTTTTCCATGAAGGATATCTCAAATCTTTTTTTCCATGAAGGATATCTCAAATCTTTTGTTTCCCAGGAAGCATATCTCAAATCTTTGTTTCCACGAAGGATATCTCAAATCTTTGTTTCCAAGAAGGATATCTCAAATCTTTTATTTCCATGAAGGATATCTCAAATCGTTTTGTTTCCATCAAGCATATCTCAAATTTTTTGTTTCCACGAAGGATATCTCAAATCTTTGTTTCCACGAAGGATATCTCAAATCTTTGTTTCCACGAAGGATATCCCATATCTTTGTTTCCACGAAGGATATCCCATATCTTTGTTTCCACAAAGGATATCCCATATCTTTGTTTCCACGAAGGATATCTCAAATCTTTGTTTCCACGAAGGATATCTCAAATCTTTGTTTCCACGAAGGATACCTCAAATCTTTGTTTAAACAAAGGATACCTCAAAGCTCAAAACTGCATTGCCAGCTTGATATGGAGAGACATCTCTGTTATACCTTATCCAGCATCGACCAAAGATAGCAGGTATCAACAAAACAGTATTAAGTATCACAGTGATATTTGGACACTAAATTACCAGTTGTGGGTGATTGTTCCTTTTGTTATCTGACACTTTAAATTATGTGTGCTTTTCTCCAAGTTCCTGTTGACAGTACTTAGGATTTTTCTTTTTATCCTCCTCCTTTTAATCAAATTTTATGTTAATCATATTTTTTATGTTGGGGTGCTTTTGCCATATACTGAAAAACAGGTTGGAAACCACTGGGGCTACTGCAGTGAGTGCATGCCGAGACACTGTGAACTGCAGATTTCATTTGGAATGCTTTTCGGCTGCCCAACGTGGTTTATGCTCAGAACTGAGGATTCAGGAAAATGGTGAGTGGGCTGTTGCCAGAAAACTGGTGAAACCTTATGCAATTAATTGCATTTGCAACTATTTATCTGTCGTAGCTGCTGTTTCCTTTAACGATGAACTGCATTTCTAGTGTTGGACTGTTTGTGTTGACACTTCTGACAGCTGTCTTTTAATGTGTGTAGTGGGTATGTTATTGGAATTGTAGTCTGTGGTGTCAAATTTTCTTATACAAGGCAGAGCGATGGACTTTCTCTGTGGACATTATGTGTAGTTTTTATTGGCACAGAAATGAAGCATTTTTGTTTGCTGCAAATTTGGAACTGCGATTACATAATTACCTGGGACATGCATTACCCACAAGGTGGAGATACGTAGCAGGATTGTGCAAAGATTATATTTAAGGTTATATTTAAATGGTGGTTACATAATATGTGTATATAAAACAGGCTCATAGCATCAGATTCACTGAAGCATGCTATGCAATGGTTAACCGCAGACAGTTAAGTTGTAGTATAACATTAAAAAACACAGTGAGATCATTCTTCTTGGGCACTGGATGCAGTCTGATGGTGGGGGAAATGAAATAACCAAAACCCATGGGTGGCCATTTGCAGCTGAGGCATTGTGAATATGCTTCATAATTCCAAGACACCTTTTTAATTCAGCAGCTTGGCATTGATTAAAAAAATTATACAGAGTGCTTACTGTTCGGGGAGCAATGGCAAACTAATCAAGGTAAAACTGCCTCGATCCCCATTTGGGTTTGGGGACGCTTTTTTGGGGAGGGCAAAGAACAGACTCACTGCCCTTTAACAAGCATGTCATAAAAGACAACAAATCAAGGTGTTGAAATCAGATGTGTCAGACTGAAAGGAGCAGATATCACAGCCTAGTTTTAACATGTCAGCCAGCCTTTTATGGTGAACAAAGAAAAACAAGAAACTGCCTTGTAAAACCTTCAGCAGCCACACACAAAAACTGTTGGTTCTGCAATGTCGTACAAAGTAAAGGCAACTAAAAACTCATGCAGCCAACATTATGAACATATTCCTAATTTCCTAATACCACTCAGTCCCTTTAAGCTTTAAGAAACCACTGCATGGCAATATCCTAATATGTTTCTCCACACGTAAGTGCTCCATATCCAGTCTTGCACGCTTTGGTTTGTTTTCTGAGTCAGAAGAGGGGAAGAAGAGCTAGACCACACAGTTTTCAAGGAGCCATTACTTCTGTCCTGAGTTAGGAGGGAACATCTATACACCAACCAAAATCTAGATGCAAGTCATTTTCAAGGCTCATATGCGTTACATAAACTTTGGCAGTTCTTCTTCCTTAGTGTTCACTGGCTATAAACTCGGGTGGAAACTTCTGGTAGTTTGCTGACTTTTGGACTTTGTTCTTGTGCACATCCGTTTCACAGACATGGCTTATTTATAAGTATTGATGGTTCCTCAGACAAAAACTATTAACTGCCTTGTATGAAATGCTTGTTACTCAGAGAATGGGTCTAATCCCCGACCCCCCCCCCCCCCCCTGTTAATGGGCCCTAGAGCCCATTCACAGACTGTAGGATCTGAAATTCAAGTTTTCTGGTGGATTCACCAACCAAAAATCTCAATACTTTATGTAAAACGGGGCTTCTCTGGGAATCAAACCGTATACCTCAGTGCTAGCTGGCAGGTCTGCTACCATCTACTATAAAGATACCCTTGAAATGAAAATATCAGGCAATATCATGGGACTTTTGGAGATAAACTTTGGAAAACGTGAACGGATGAGAAAGTGGGTGTGTTGGGGGAAAAGGGGGGGGGGGGGGTGGACAAGGTTCATGCATCAGAATGAGGAGGATACATTAAGGATGGATACCTTCCTTTGTTTCATTTTGTTTTCCCCTCTCAACGTCCTAGGGCATCCAGAGATCAACAGTTATTTCAACTGACACAAGTTTAATGTCATCAAGGTTATACAACAATGCTAGCATAAGACTCAGATTCAGATTCTACTTCTACATTTACTGCAATACATTTGTAGACTTTTAATGTTGTGCACACATCTTGTTGCACTTGTACCATTCTTCTTCTCAGTGTTCCGTGGTTGTAAACTCTTGTGGAAACTTCTGGTTATTGATGACCAATTCTCAACTCTAGTCCCGTTCCAGAAACTGAGTGCTGTGTGCAAATCCGTTTTACACATCTGACACTTGAATGCAGTTGGCTCTTACAATAAGCTACTGGGCAGGCAGTGGGTCTATTCTTGTTTCCCCCACAATGGGGTCCCAGGCAGGGATACATGCACTCAATGACATTCATTTATTGTGCATGATAATATAGATCCTTTATTGTCATCTAATTGTATAGAACAGTTGTATGTAATAACAGTGAAATAATCAGACACAATAAATGGTGAAATAGCATGAACATGAGTGCTCCGCAGCAAGGATGGTTGAGAAAAATAACAACACAAGCTGTATAAATACTGCACAGCAAATCTATGCAATAACAATTCAAATGTGAATCAAAAACCTCAATCTGACAAGACCTTTCAGAATCAACAGGATATGCAAACAAAGAAGACACCAATAGACTGCACAATTTACTGCCTGACATATTTCACTGCATCTCGTCAGGTGCATACTACAGTAACAATTAGATGAATTAAGCAAATAAGTGAAGGTCGTGGGTTCATTTCATGGCCATGTTGTCCAGTGCAAGAGTGTAGTTTTTACAGAGATCACTGGGGATCGCTGCTGGAGCAAAGGAGTTTGTTCTGCAAAGAGCCCATGCTATATGGGATAAAACCTAGTTCAATGAAGGTGGCCCTCTTGTCTTTAATTTTAACCTTAAAAAAATTCAATACTACAAGGTTATGCGGTTTATAGTAATTCTGTTAGGTCGCTTTGAAATGGGTGAAACTAGCAATTATTCAACAACAGGTAATCTTTAAACTGGTGAAACAAGCAGTTATTCCACAACAGATAATCACAAAACAACAAAGACTCACAAGAGGCAATGTTACATAACAAAGTTGACCATATTTGTTGAGCAATGCTAAACAACAACAAAGTTGACCAGATTTGTTGGGCAATGCTAAACAACAACAAAGTTTACCTGTTTTTTTTTTTGGGCAATGCTAAACAACAACAAAGTTGACCTGTTTTTTGGGCAATGTTAAACAACAACAAAGTTTACCTGTTTTGTTGGGCAATGCTAAACAACAACACAGACTGGATTCATCAGGCAATGTTTTAAACCAAAACTGATTGCCCAGATTCATGAGGTAATGTTATACAACAGCACAGATTTGATTCATAGAGTAATGTTACACAACAGCAAATACTGGATTCATCGTGCAATGTTAGACAGCTAAGACTGACTGGATTATCAGATAATGTTACACAACAGCAAGGACTAGATTGATCGGGTAATGTTACACAACAGTAAAGACTAGATTCATCAAGTAATATTGCACAACAGTATAGACTGGATTTTTCAAGCTATGCTAGACAAAAGCCAAGACTGACTTGATTATCAGGTTAAGTTAGACAGCAGCAAGGTCAACAGTTTTTGTTACACTAAAAAACACATCAAACGTGACACATCAAACGTGACTATCAGAAGTGCAGGAAATGCTTACAGCTTCTCCCCGAGAGGTGGGCACCTGTCTCTTGTCTTCCATGTCACATTTATTTCCCAGGATCATCTTCTCAACATCTTCGGTGGCATGCTGGTTGGATAAAAGAAAATGTATTCAGTTTATTAACATTGCCTACATCAGGGAGGCAGATAGGTGAGTAGGTAGACAAGTAGGTATGTAGGTAGGCACTCGGGACATTCCCATGTGTGCTCCATCCTCATCTTCAGCAGCCAGCACAGAGTTCCCATACTAATAGTACCAGTCGCAATCTGGTTTATATGTCTGTCTTGCCTTTCCTCTGAGTGTAGTGAGCCGGCCAGACCCTCTGGTTACACCCTGGTGCCTCATTCTCTCCAGGCCCTAATAATCTTGTTTTGCATCTGACTCCGTTGCTTTTTCCCAAAGGGTCCTGACCACTTCTTGCCATGTGCTGCAGATCCAGCCAGTCTATCTGTTCATTCCCCACCACGCTGGCATTGGCCTGGAGAAAAGATTCAAAGTATGCTCATGACCCATGTCCCCAGTGACCTTCCACTCGGTGCATTCCTGCCTTTCCACTCAGCTTTCAGAGTCTGTTACAATTATGACATTCATCTTGTTGTCTGGCCTCAGGAAAGCTCATCTTCAGCAAACGAAGACGTCGCTCATGCTAGATGCTTTCATATGCAGGTGTCGGTTACAAGGTTAGACATATGTATGGTGAGCATCTTGTTCAGCAGGCTAGGAGCAGGCAGGTAAGCAGGCAGCTGCAGTAACTACAGTCTTAGGCAGGTAGATCAGCAGGCAGGTGAGCAGGCAGGTAGGTCAGCAGGCAGGTGAGCAGGGCAGGTAGGTGAGCAGGCAGGTGAGCAGGCAGGTTAGGCAGGTATGTGAGCAGGCAGGTGAGCAGGCAGGTAGGTAGGCAGGCAGGTTAGGCAGGTAGGTGAGCAGGCAGGTTAGCAGGCAGGTATGTGAGCAGGCAGGTAGGTAGGCAGGTAGGTAGGCAGGCAGGTTAGACAGGTAGCTGAGCAGACAGGTTAGGCAGGTAGGTAGCAACATGCCACCTAAGCTGCACCAGCTTTGCATCCCTTGCACATAATGCTGACTCAGAGCATGAACAGATAATAATGCGGACAACATGTATATGAATAAGTCATGATGTAAGTACAAAATAAAGGACATGTATATGACTAAGTCATGATGTAAGTACAAAATAAAGGACATGTATATGACTAAGTCATGATTAAGTACAAAATAAAGGACATGTATATGACTAAGTCATGATGTAAGTACAAAATAAAGGACATGTATATGACTAAGTCATGACGTAAGTACAAAATAAAGGACATGTATATGACTAAGTCATGACGTAAGTACAAAAGGTAAAGGACATGTATATGACTAAGTCATGACGTAGGTACAAAATAAAGGACATGTATATGACTAAGTCATGATGTAAGTACAAAATAAAGGACATGTATATGACTAAGTCATGATGTAAGTACAAAATAAAGGACATGTATATGACTAAGTCATGATGTAAGTACAAAATAAAGGACATGTATATGACTAAGTCATGATGTAAGTACAAAATAAAGGACATGTATATGACTAAAGTCATGATGTAAGTACAAAATAAAGGACATGTGATATGGCACTAAGTCATGATGTAAGTACAAAATAAAGGACATGTATATGACTAAGTCATGATGTAAGTACAACATAAAGGACATGTATATGACTAAGTCATGATGTAAGTATAAAATAAAGGACATTTATATGACTAAGTCATGATGTAAGTACAACATAAAGGACATGTATATGACTAAGTCATGACGTAAGTACAACATAAAGGACATGTATATGACTGTCATGATGTAAGTACAAAATAAAGGACATGTATATGACTAAGTCATGATGTAAGTACAAAATAAAGGACAAGTATATGACTAAGTCATGATTAAGTACAAAATAAAGGACATGTATATGACTAAGTCATGATGTAAGTACAAAATAAAGGACATGTATATGACTAAGTCATGATGTAAGTACAAAATAAAGGACATGTATATGACTAAGTCATGACGTAAGTACAAAATAAAGGACATGTATATGACTAAGTCATGATGTAAGTACAAAATAAAGGACATGTATATGACTAAGTCATGATGTAAGTACAAAAATAAAGGACATGTATATGACTAAGTCATGATGTAAGTACAAAATAAAGGACATGTATATGACTAAGTCATGATGTAAGTACAAAATAAAGGACATGTATATGACTAAGTCATGATGTAAGTACAAAATAAAGGACATGTATATGACTAAGTCATGTGTAAGTACAAAATAAAGGACATGTATATGACTAAGTCATGATGTAAGTACAAAATAAAGGACATGTATATGACTAAGTCATGATGTAAGTACAAAATAAAGGACATGTATATGACTAAGTCATGATGTAAGTACAAAATAAAGGACATGTATATGACTAAGTCATGATGTAAGTACAAAATAAAGGACATGTATATGACTAAGTCATGATGTAAGTACAAAATAAAGGACATGTATATGACTAAGTCATGATGTAAGTACAAAATAAAGGATCATTTCCAAGCTACTGGCATCTCATGCATATGGTGCTAAACTAATATTTCTCACAGGCCAAACAGAACTTAACTGGGTATCGTTGTCAACATCACACCAGTTGCCTTTACCTCCCATTTCATCTCTTTGTACCCACTGTAGGTCAAGTCAACCTGAGAGCCAAGGTCGGCACTGCGCTACCAAGACTCCCATGTAGATGACTTTTCACCCATCACCGTCCTGTTGTGTCATTATGTCACATAGGGCTCTATTCATCCACTACGCTCTATCCTGTGCCACTAGTTTACTATCATAGATAGGATGCAGTTGAGTACTTTTAGCTTCTCACGTCAACGCTGGCCTCAGGTTTCTCTCGGATGTCCATGTGTCCTCAATCCCTCTATATCCCATTTTACTGCCTGTTTGGTGATTCTCTGCTCGCCTCTTCTCAGCATGTGTCCAACATAGTGACATCTTCTCTGTCTTATAACTGTTAATACTAGTGGTTGCCCAGCCATCTTCTCTGTCTTATAACTGTTGATACTAGTGGTTGCCCAGCCATCTTCTCTGTCTTATAACTGTTGATACTAGTGGTTGCCCAGCCATCTTCTCTGTCTTATAACTGTTGATACTAGTGGTTGCCCAGCCATCTTCTCTGTCTTATAACTGTTGATACTAGTGGTTGCCAGCCATCTTCTCTGTCTTATAACTGTTGATACTAGTGGTTGTCCAGCCATCTTCTCTGTCTTATAACTGTTGATACTAGTGGTTGCCCAGACATTTCTCTTATTTCTTTACTCCTTGTGAATCATTCAATTTCAATGTTTATCATTCTCCTTAGGCATCTGTTTCTGAATGCATTTAACTTTCACTGGCAAATGTTGAAACTGAAATAGCATTAGAATTGAAAATATGTAACCCGGTTATACAATATAATTTAGAATTCCATATTCTGTTCAGGTTTTTTTAAACTGCCAGTGCCTTGCCAATGTGTTGTTTGTATGTTAATCTATCAATATTCTGAAATGTGAAAGAGTGGCACACATATGAGATATCATTGTCACATGCCTAGAGGATGTGAGCTTCAGTCCTATGGCCACTTGTTAGCCTTTTGTAATAACATCAAATAAAACAAAGCTACTAAACATTCATCTTTTTAATTCACGTGTTTGACACCAGGAATATGAACTAATTGCCACAATTACATTATTTTCAGTGACGTTGACATAATGCTTGTGTGCATTGACATTTCTGTGTTTAAATAACATGTACACTTGCCTGGGGCTAGGTAAGTAGGTGGGCAGTTTAATAGATAGCTAGTTACCTTTCCTCTAAGCTCTGCCAATACACAATGGTAACATTTGAATAAGATACAGTTAAAGGTGAGGGGTCAACTTTATTGTATCGGGTTTGATCCCATACGGCTCCGTCTCATTCTGAAGAATGGCTAGCCGCCCACTGAGAGTGTTGCATAAAGTATGAGCTCTGTAGCTTCAGCGACAAACCTCATGGAACATTTTTTAAATTACATCTGTGAACCAAACTGTGCGGCAATGAAACGAACATACGACCTCCAGAACGTGAAGTGAATGTTTGACCACCTGGCCATGGAGGATTCCCCCCCCCCCCCTAAAAAAAAGTTCACGATGCAATGGTAAACAAGCACTTTTGTTCTGGCTGAGAGCAGGATAAGGTGACATCACAAAGGTGACAGGTACATGACCTACCTCATCAATATTCCGCAGCCACTTGGAGATGTTCTCAAAACTCTTGAGGTTTGTGATGTCATACACCAGCATGATGCCCATAGAGCCACGGTAGTAGGATGTGGTGATGGTGTGGAACCGCTCCTGCCCAGCTGTGTCCCTGTGTGCATGGAATTATGACCTTAGTTTTTGTCTACTTTATGTAGAAATAACGTTAACGTTCACTGCAATGCTACTGCCCTTCGGTTCCTGGGCTTTATGTGAGGGAGTCAACAACAGATGCAATGCCCCGTTAGGTGACTAATTAGAAGTTTTCTCTTATAAGTCAGAATGCATCTGCCTATGAGGTAAGGAAATGACAGTCTGCATACAAGAAACAAGAAAACTAGATCTGTAAAATGGATCTGCATGCAAAACTCAAGTTCTGGACAAGACTAAAGTCTAGAAGTGGACAAACAACTAAAACCTTCCACCAGAGTTTGCAACCAGTGTATGCTAAGAAAACGAAGACTGGAATGCCATTAATGCTATCTAACATAATTTGTTATAGGAGATTCTTGGTGTGAACCAATCAATATGGCATGTGTGATTTATTTTCCATATTTACTCAGGGCATACTCAAGAAATCTGATCACCTAATTGTTTCATACATGTACATACATATGTGGACCTATACAACTCAGATCAGGAGCATATAAAGGATTTTATGTCTAGAATATTCAAGTGTGCACAGAAATCAGAAGGCTGACAGACTGGCTACTGCCACTTCTCTGAGGATGAGCTACTTTATGATAAAGCAGATGCGGTGAAGGCTCTCATGGATGAAGCAGATGCGGTGAAGGCTCTCAGGGATGAAGCAGACAGTGCAGTAGAACAAAGCATCCATCCCTCAAAAGACTTCGTATTCTTTGCCTTCGCCAGCTGTAAACTCTGGTTGAAAGTTTTGGTTGTTCGTCCACTTCTTGACTGCAGTCCTGTTCCAGAACCTAACTGCTGCATGTGCATCTGTTTGACAGATCTGACACATTTGTCTGCAGACTGTTGGCTCCTTGCATCTCAGGCAGATGTACTCCGACTTCAAAGGAAGCTCCCAATTAGTCGACTCTTACATGCTTTTGGGTAGGCAGTGGGTCTATTCTTGTTTTCCCTTAGGGCCCCGGAACCCACACGGGATACATCAAAAGACTAATTCAGCAGAGGTTGTGGATGATATTAAATGCAAAAGGGGAAAACCTGGGCAGACTTTTAATCAGGTAGAAACTCTGTGTTGACTACTCAAGGATGGAAACATATTTTTAGTGCAGTGATAAAAAATTTTTAATTTATTCATTCACATTTGGATCTTGTAAAACTACTCTTGAGATTCTCAAGCTGTCGCTGTTGCTTTATTAGGGCATTTCTGCAAGTATCCCCTCAGACATAAAGAACTACAGATTTCTCCATGTGAACCTAACAATATGTCAGGTGTGATAAATATACCTCTCACATTTAGCCAGTGTATGCAAAAAAAAATGTAAACCCAAAACTGTTTTCAAATGAGATGTATTTATACTGAGACCCTATAAAAGATATATTTATGTGATACTGTTATTGTTGTCATTGCCTTCCTTGGGTATTTTCTGTGATCTTCTGGGACTAAAATTAAAAAAAACGGACCTTATTGCACATATGAAGCCTACTGAGTGTGTGGTTTTAGACCCATGTATAGACTAATCAGTACTCAACTGGTGACGTAGTCACAAGAATGTCAATTGTCTTTACCACTCAGAAGATTTGCTGGTACATATTTTAGGCTGGATCAATAGACGAGCCCAGATTTGTATTAAAACCTGACCTAGATAGATACTTGATCACAACACCCTTTTTCTTCTTCTTAGCGTTCACTGGCTGTAAACTCTGGTGGAAAGTTCTGGTTGTTTGTCCACCTCTGAACATTAGACTTGTTACAGAACCTGAGTATTGCGCTCACTGTTGGTTCCTTGCCTCCCAGGGAGATGCATTCCGCCTCTGAAGGGAAGCACCCAATTAGTTGACTCTTTTGACATGCTTCTTGATGAAGCAGTGGGTCTATTATGTTTTCCCCACAATGGGGTCCCAGAAACCACACAGAGAAAACACAACACAAGAGAAAACACAACACAGAGTAGTAGGCAAGTGAGTTAGCACTGCACCACATTTCTCATTCATAAAGCCTGCACAAAAGACCTTTGGTCCATACCTTATAGTGTACTGGGCATGTGGTGCTGGCCCCAGTTTGTACAGACCAATCAGCATTTGGTGGCTGGTGTGGTCAATATATTTCTAACTGCTGTTATTTCTTAGAATATCTTCTAGTACAAATATTTAGATGGAAGAAACCTGGGAGGGCACATTATTAGTAACAATCTGCTGCAGTTGTAGTTGGAACCAATCATCATAGGCCCAGCAAGAACGTATGCTAGCCACTGCACAATCACTGCTTCCACTCTAGTGTTTCCCAGAAATAAGACCTGACCTCATATCATATGACGCTCACGGTGCCTCAAGGCTTATATTCCTATTTCAGGTTTCTTAGGCTGCTCCCACTGATTGGCAACTTTCAACAATTATACCACTGGGGATGAAGACAGGAAAAAAGCAAGAATACGGAAGCACCTCTTTGAGAAAATGTATGCCAAGATAACAGACATTTTATTTACACTTTGAAAGGGGAAAGGGGGGGGGGGTGGTTAACACCCAGGCAACTGAACTGTCAACACAGTTTAATTTAAAATTCTCGAGTTACGGCTTTTGGAATTCCACAGCTATTTATTCTCCAGTTCAGTGTGTTCTTTTCACTGCACTGGCAACACATCCATGTGGCTGCATCTGGAAGTTAAGTGATTTTGTGAATCTGTGTGGTTTTGTTTAATTCATGTATGTGCAGATGAAGGCTCTAAAGCCGCAACATTCACGTTTTGAATGTGTTTGTTATACTGTTTAGATCGCTGATATATTTTTCGTTTGATTTTATATCTTTTCGTGAAAAGAGACCAAGACCAGTGACAGAACCATAGCTGGGATAAAAACTGATGGGATTTAGAAAGAAAAAAAGCTGCAAAGAGACAACTTTTAAACAGTTAATAGAAAAGAAAATAACACTGAATACAATAAGCATTTATTTGTGGTATTTGTAAACCAGCAGAAGGCATACAACAGAGTCAACAGACAAGTATAATGGAAAATAATGGCTCGATACAGAGTAAGCGAACATCTCATCGGAGTGTGAAAATACTGACGGTAGTTAGAACAAATCAGAACCAAGACAGAGATGTGTCTTATCACCACTTCTGTTTATAACGTATAATGACAATATAAGCAAAGATGACAAGCCGAAGAATGAAAATATTAGTAACATCGACTAACTGCTCTTTGCTGATGACCAGGTCTTGACAACTGACACAGCCATGAAATCGCAACAACATCTCACATCCATGAATGAAGAATGTAAAACAAACAATATGAGAATCAATACCAAAAAGACAGGACAGAAGTATCGTTTAAATATCAGGGAACAACGACTCATCAAAGATGGGAATCTGAATAAAGGAATTTACAACCAATGCAGAAAAACAAACCAAGTACTGGTACATTTGTCTGGCTGATGATCTTAACGAGAGTTTATATCTGGGGTAGGTTTATATTACGAGCATCTTGAAAAAGATCATGCTAGGGCTTATTTTCAGGTTACGTCTAATTTTGGGGAAATTATGGTAGTTACATATACTTAACATTAAGGCAGTTTTACTCCTCTGTCTCTGACGACTCCATACTAATTTTCTGAAATCCTATTTGAGATAAGTGTAGGTGACATGTATAAGTTAGAACAGAGAAACTATCTTGTGTAGGCCAAATATATAAGTGTTAGAACAGAGAAACTATCTTGTGTAGGCCAAATATATAAGTGTTAAAACAGAGAAACTATCTAGTGTAGGCCACATGTATAAGTGTTAGAACAGAGAAACCATCTCACCATATCTGCAACTTGATCTTCTTGCCACCCAGCTCGACTGTTTTGATCTTAAAGTCAATCCCTGTGAGTTCAAACAATAAAATACATTAGTGAATAAGTATAAGACTCCTAGACCTATATTTTACAGACCAGTTATGTTGGCCAAGTTAACTTCCCAGTACTTCAACTGGTGCTTATTTTCTGCCTGGATCGACCTGGGAGGCAAGATCATTTTTGTTTTTTAAATCCAGCTCCATGTGGATTTGAAGCCATGACCTACAACCCCGCCTGCAAGTGACAACAATAAGCTTAAGGGAAATATCAACATGCACACTTCAAACATTGTATACAGCAGATTGTACTCAAAAAGACATGCAGCCGCAAAACCTTTTGCCAAGAAGTGTTGTAGGTATATGGTGCCTTTTGCAATGTGTAGACCAAACAGCACTCAAAGGATGATGCAGTTAATATCACAACAGCAACCTTTATTTCCCTAAACATTTCCCGTACTAATTTTAGTCTGGTCAACCTGGAAGCCCAGAGCAGTGCAAACAACTTCATGTCCTCGTGTTTTCACATGAGATATATATATAGATATCACCAACTGAATAACAATGGATAATTATAATCTTATGCTTTAAGTAGTTTTAACACTTTACAGACTCAACTTGTTTGCTCCTGCCAGCTGTGTTATTAGTTCATTCTATCCTAGTGTTTACTTTAAGAGAGTTGACAGGAGTGCTAACACTACATTGTGAAGAGGGTTAAGAAAAAATACTACAGCACTTGGAACATTCCAATAAGCACTCCATCCTACATACACAGAGTTCCAATTTTGATGTGACCAGTAGAAAAGCTGTATGCAACCTCGCTTCCCGATTCTGTGACCTAGATTATGAAAAGGCCAAACAGTTCCCAACAGATGGTAGCATGTGTCGTGAGACTACATTCACCTTTTACTGATGATGTGGTTAGTGCATAGTTTTTCTCAACCACTGAGGTCCACATGGCTTTATGAATAGGGTACCCAAGGGTTTTCTTGTTTGCTTGTGTTTTAGTAGGTCCATCGGGAAAAACAAACAGTGTGACAGTAACCTATCATGTCACCCCTATGTTCTAGGGTCCAAGAGGGAACAAACAACAGTTACACTGCAACCTACATGTTTACCCTGTGTTCTGGGCCAGCATATGAAACAAACAACAGTTACACTGTAAATTAGCATGCATTCTGTAACAGAAGCTGGGCTCCTGTGAGACAGGTAATCTTATCCTGTAGACAAGTGTAGCTGTAAAATTCAAACATTTGTCAACAAGTCACAAAGTACTTGGCACAAGTTCCCAGTGTTGGTTCCACTGCCCTGTTATAGGGAAAACAAGAAAAGACCCACTGACGCCCCCCCCCCCCCCCCCCCCACCAAAGCATGTCGTAAGAGTCTACTAATTGGGAGCTTCCTTCATACAAATTAGTCAGATCTGTTTAAGGAATGCACAAGCAACACTTAAATTCTGGAACAGGACTGCAGTCCAGAAGTGGATGAACAACCGAAACTTTCCGCCAGAGTTTACAGTTGGTGAACGTGAAGAAGAAGAAGATGACTTGGCACTAGTTGGTCAAGAACCTAAGGTGCGTTGAAAGGTCAAAAACAAAATAAAGCTTTCACTGAGATAGAAAGCCAGAGTAGGAGCTGGAATGACATCTTGTAGTACAGTTCTGCTTCAGTTATCATCATCTGGTTTGTATCTAATCTGATATGGGTCATAAACAGGATGGTTCATCTGAGCTCTACACCAGGCCGCCACAATTTGTCTTGTAGGTCTGCTTCAGTATGCCTGATTTCCAATCTCTGTGTGGCAATCTCAGGGCAGCTTGGAGAATGTGCTCCATGGGATGCTTTGGTGCTTCCCAGAGACATATTTGGTGCAGATGTACTGACTTTTGTCTGCATTATAAGGTGGAGTGAAATGTTTTTTTTTTTTTTTTACATTTCACATGAACCAATTAAAATCAAAGGTTACCTATTTTATGATTCAAGGTATGAAACCAATGCTAGGGTCTGGAAAGTGAAGACTGCAGACTATACCAGCCCTATAGTTTTTTATAGAAAGTGGTTTGTTGGAGTCATGCTTGTCTTCCTTGCAAATATATCAGTGACATGCTTACACTAGGCAGATGCAATAATTTGTATGACAGAAAACAGCAAGTTGTAAAGTACAGTAAAGCATATGTCAATATTCTAAGGCCGTGTAACTTGTATACTACTTTATTTGCATCAAGTTGTGTGGAATCAATACTTTTACTAACAAACACAACGCTCACACATTTTAAAACAGTTTGACACACAGACTGGTTTTATTTTTTGTCTCTGAATTATAATCTATGTCAAAACACTGAACTGAAATGAAAATGAATGAAGCACGAGACAAGTGTGAGACGGGAAAAAAAGTTGTATAAAGCAGCTACCAACCTATGGTGGAAATGAAAGTTGTGTTGAAGGCATCGTCTGAGAATCTGAAAAGTAAACAAGTTTTCCCAACTCCAGAATCGCCGATCAGCAACAGTTTGAACAATAAGTCGTAGGTTTTCTTTGCCATCTTTCTGAAATGTGTTGTAATACGCGATTTGACAGAGGATTGAACCCCAAAAATTGACTTTTCAACACAGTAAATATAAATAACCAAACCTAAGCCAAGATCTGACTGACTACTGACTGACTAGGCCGCAAACGGAGTCGGTTTTACTAACAGGTCTGTTAGACACAAAACGTCATAGAACTTTCTCGAAAACGGGTGTCACTTGGTTATGTACTCTATCCGCTATCATTATTTGCTAATTGTCACTAAATACCGCAGCCTGTAATCATATACTGATCTTCAGTCACAAGACACTGTTGCGAGTTTGTCTCGTCTGCGTTTATCTCTACCATCGTTGACATCATTTCCTCTTCCGGGTTCAATGGCTACATTAACATGCTCCCTTCTGCTGCTTAAATAACACAAATATTAACAATGAGAACTGTCAAGCGTGATGTATTCTCATGGCTTTTTTTTTTCTGGGGGGATGGTAGGGTGCCGGTACTTACCTTTAAAAAGTCTATTAAGGAAGCGATGTTTGAGTAAAGGCGTGTAGCCACATAGTGGTTGGATGTATCCCCCCTTTCCAACCCCCAAAGTTTCCAGGGAGTAAGAAGGCTGAAACGTTGTTTCATTCATCATCATCATCATCATAAACCACTTCTGCGTTAGGCGACGTGGGGGTGAATAATTTGCGGCCCAGTGCACGTTGGCTGCCACTGGCTATTGTCATGCCGTGAAGGCGTAGAGTGTCTTTAATGTTGTCGATCCATGTTTTCGCGGCCGTCCTTTTGCTCTTGTAGCTGATCTTCTGAGATGTAGTGCTTGTGATGGTATTTGATCTTGCTGCATTCTAACGAGATGGCCAAACAACTTGATCTGCTGTTTCTTGACGAATCTAGTAAAAGGTGTCGCTCCCACAATTTGCCTGATAGTTTTATTATTCACTCGATCTCGGATGGTTAGACTGGCTGCTTTTCTCAGACATCTCATCTTGCATGTTGGGATTTTGCGTATATGGTCTTTAGATAGTGTCCATGTTTATCACTGGTAGCTTAATGTTGGAATGAATATGCTATTAATTATCTGTCTTGCACTGTGCAATAATAATAATAATAATTTTTTTTTAACAATTAATATTATGATTATTTACAACTGCCATATTAAGAGCGAGCGCAAAAGAGTACAGACGATTTCTAAAGAATAAACTCTGCACAAATCAAGTTAACAATTATACCAATACATTAAAATGTCCTATCACCAAGGTTGGATTACCCATTAGGCACATCAAGTACGTGCTTAGAGCATCATAAAGGAAGGATCTGATCATAAACTTTGCAATTTAGAGTTAAATTAAGAATCGACATCACAGCATAAGTGCTGTCCCCATCTTCAACAGCGAGCGAAAAGTTCAAATTCCAACCAGTAACCGTTTAATTGTACATCCGTTTCATCCTTCCCCTGAGTGTTAAGCGTCTGCCAGATTCCCTGGTAACTTTTCGCAGCGCCATCCTCCTTAAACCGTAATGATCTATCTGCGCCTCTTCACTGTTTACTCGCTCTCAAAGGACCCTTACAATTTCTAACTTTTCATACATCAATGCACCACAAAGTGGTGCAGAGCCAGCCAGTTTGTCTGCCTGCTCATTTTCCAACATACCGCCATGACCTGGAAAAAATATCCAAAGGATGCTAACTACCCGGACCTCTGAAGTGTGGCATCCCCTGCCTCTTTCCTGGCAAGCAGGCAATACTAGGATGACCGTTTACTTCCTGTATTGAAAGAATGAATTCTATGCAATTTAGAAAAAAGGTAGGAGAAAACTGTTTTAAATATAAATAACGTGGAAGTCTACAAACAATGGTCACAATTTTCAGTCTAATCTGTAAATTGTGTTTAATTTCTAAATTTCGGCAAATAAAAATGTATGTTATTGTTTAAGTGGTCTCGAGGTATGACATCCGCCTCAAGTGCTGGATGTCCCACGTTCAAATCCCGGTGAAGAATTCAATTTTTTTCAAGTGGACGTCCAGTAATTTCCCCTGGTCTCTGGATAGTAAGACCGGATTGTTGCACACGTAAAAATACCTTGGCAGTTGGAAATTGAAAACGGGTAGCCTAATGGCGTTGCCCTGGCAAAATTCGGAGGTAAAATCTACCCAAAGTAATTTCAGGATCCTCGCCGGTGCAACGGAGCTCGTGCATTGCGATAAGATTCTTAAGACTCAGGCTTGAGTCAAAAAGTAGAACGGGACACTTATAGGTCACACCTGTGTGCCATAACGTTGAATAAACAAACAAACAATTGTTTATATTTTGAATTACATATATGTGGGGGACAAGTTCCTTCTTAACACATGGGCATGCTACGCTCTTGCCCTAGGGCTCCACGACCATAAGCGCCCCATGCTGATCTGGGTATGTCAAGTAACCATATATATATGTGTGTGTGTGTGTGTGTGTGTGTGTCTGTGTGTGTGTATTATTCACGTGAGCCTTTGTCGTCGGGACCCCAGCTCACCGATTTCCCAGGGGGTCCTTATAAGGATGTCTTTTTTTTTTTTTTTTTGAGTGTTTTTCAAGGCGACTGGTAAGGGTCTGGCAGGCTAACTACACTCAGAGGAAAGGCAAAACGGTCTTTTAACCAGATTGTGACCGGTACCATAAGTATTGGAACTCTGCGGTGGCTGCTGAAGATGAGGACGGAGCTTCAATAGGAATGACCCGAGTGCTGGGTTGTCAATTCTTGACTCAACTTAACTCCAAGGCGACTGGTAAAGTGTTCAAGAACCTTTTATTTTCGGTAATCTGCCGTTGGTCTTGCTTGATGCTAACTTTCTCTTACTTCGAGCGCAAAAGAGCGTAACCAATAACCTGCAGACAAAACATGAACGGTTCAATGATTGATAGGGCATACAAGTTTGCATTATTCTATTTATTATTCCTTTGTGTTTGAAAACATTTTAATTACGTCATCTAGCTTTGCTACATAATCACAGTATAATGTTCATGACATTAGCAAATTTAACACAGAGGCCTATTCAGCGCATGGTTGTAGAAAACGTGCTGAAAGCGAAAGTACCCTTGTGTGTGATTGTAACATCCCGTGTTTCATGTGGCAAATATCACAGCCACACAAATAACTTACCTAATAATAGTAGTGTTGGTAATAAACCCAGTCGTAACTTTGACTCTAACCACCAGGCGTCGCTAAATGAAATATTAATTGATGAAAGAAATATGGCTAGAAGAATGGTTTTAGAAACAACATCGACAGGACCAGTTGAACAGAAATACGACTACTTGCTAGTGCTGGATTTTGAGGCGACATGCGATAACAAGGAAAAGCTGAACCCACAGGTATGGTGTATTACTAGGCTGGTTTTCTTAAATTGTTGACAAGGAGTGACAGGGCAACTACCAGACTTTTGTGCTTTCTTGTCACTTGTGACACTGGGTTTAGAGTGCAGGGACTAGAGTCCAACTGTAGAATCAGTTGGTGTGACTATCAATACTAATAGTTCTGTGTTGAGAGGCAGAAGATGTGTATGGGGACTTATAGCAGAAGTGAATGGACAATCCTTAGTTCAACAAAGTCTAGCATATATCACATCTAGATAGAGGCGATCAGTGCCACCATCTGTTGGCTTTATGTTCAGTTGCACCCACATGTTGTGATTGGAACACACAAAGCAGGCTGAAAAAGGTGGAGACAGGTGCGTTTCATGCAGAGTGGCAACTGGGAATGACCAGGGGATCAGGCAAACACACCATGCTCAGAGGAAAAAGCAAGAGGGACATACAATCAGACTGCTCCTGATACCATAAGAGTTGGAACTCTTTGCTGGCTGCTGAAGATGGGGACAGAGCTCTTAGGGGAATGTCCCAAATGCTGTGATATTGGTTCTTAAAACTAAGCTCAACCTTATATTATGGAGAATATGGCTCTCCTTGTATATTTGGTTGTGATGCTGACTTGTTTTAAGATATTTATTATTTACTTTTTTCAGTCTATATGGGCGTTTAACTCCTTTATCCTAAATTTAAACATACTGATTTATTTGTTACTGAGTGAATTAAGTTCCCATAGTAGACAGGCAGACTGTTCTCTGGCCATTATTTTAAAGATCACATTCCTTCTGAGTTGGAGTGCATCTGTCTGAGAGGTGGGGAACCAGCATTCTGCAAAAAATAAGTCAAATCTGTAAATTGGATGTGCATGCAAAACTCAAATCCTAGAACAAGACCAAAGTCCAGAAGTGGATGAACAACCAGAACTTTGCACCAGAGTTTGCAGACAATGCTAAGAAGAGAGAAAGAGAGAGAGATCACCTTGGCCTTATAAAATGAGAATCAGTAATGTCTCAGAAAAGATAAAACCTGCCTGCCTAGTGCTGAGCTTCTCGTCTCTTGTGTGGCATTCAGTTGCCAAAAAATATGAAACATTTCTGATCACACAAGAAGTAGAACAAAGGTACAGAATACCAGAATCATGAATGATAAAATAAATGGTGCGGTAAGGAAGCTTTTATTATTTCATGACAGTGATACAGTTACAAACAGTAATACATATCATCTCAAAAACATGCTTGAACAATGAAGTGTAGTTTTTGTTGTAATTTTACATTCAGTAGGCTGTCATTGCTTTCTGAACGTTCAAACACTCATACTATAGTCAGAGTGGTCTTTTACATAATCACCTGAGCTGACTTCAAGCCCTGGTTTAATGGGATTCTGAAAATGTATTCACAACCCTTCAGCCACACATACCAACATCTTACTCATAGCTAAAAGTTTTCCCTTGTGATATTTTCAGGAGATCATTGAGTTCCCAGTTCTGAAGTTCAATGTGAGGTCACAGAAAGTTGAAGCAGTCTTTCACCAGTATGTGTCACCCCAATACCATCCTCAGTTGACACCTTTTTGCACAGAGGTAATTTAGATAAACATTGTGAACAATGTGCTCAGTTGTTTTATTTTTTAGTATATTATCCTTGTCAGGTCTGGTCAGATATGGCTGAGCTACTTTATAATTAGTAGTCAGTACTACATATTCTTTGTTTACCCCAACAGTTTTGACAGTGCATACCAAACTTCACATTCCACATTGCCTCAAAGGCTTCGGCAGAGGAGGGCATTGGAGAGGAAACATAGCTTATCCTATCAGCGTTCACACCCAAGAGATGTCATTTACACAGATGGGTCCATGAAGTGTGGATCAAGATCAGCATGGGTATACCCAGGGATGGGCGATCAAGTAAAAGAGGATCATCATCAGGTGCCTTGCCGACTGGCGTGGGCCTCTACATCTCCTGCAGCATGTATCAGCTCGTGTGCCGACACTCCTCCATGCCATGCAACAAGACTGTCAAGCATCTTCTCTCGTTGTCTTCCTCTATCCCTCCTTCCACAGATCTTTCCAGTGGTCACAACATGTTCTGTTTTCCCTCTTCTCATAACATGGCCGAGAAATTATGACTGTCTCCTTCTGATGTCTGTGATAAGTTGTCTTCGGGTTCCCGCTTCTTTCAAAACCTCTTGGTTGCTCTTTTTGGCTGTCCAAGGCATTCTAGCATTCTTCTGTAAAACCACATCTCTGAGGCCTCTAGAAATAAAAAAGAGGATAGCAGCGCTAAACTAGATAATTACATCAGGTATTAGAGTGGAGATAACCTCTGCTTCCAGGGGAAGCAGAACAAGGGGCAATTGTTTAAGACTTAATGAACATGCTTCAAAAAATCACAAGAAGTAGTTTACACAGCGAATGGGTAGAAAGCATTAGGAAATGGCAGTTAACCTTCATCGTCTGGATCTACACACCTGACCATGCAAGAGTAAAAGGCAATAAAAGAGCTGACCAGCTGGTAAGTAATGCACCAGTGCCTGCAGGAAAATGTTGGACAGAGCTGACATCATCAACACTGTAACGACTAGATTGGGGGATAGTGTTGAATCTCTGATGCTAACACGATTGCGTGACCTGGGAGTCAAGCTTGGTGAAGCGCGTCTCTGAAGTCAAGACAGGAGATACCACAACTTCTTATAAGAACAATCTGTGGAGGTACCTTGGAATGGCTGCTGCATCGGACGAGTGAACATGCATGGGAGTGCTCAAAGTGCAATGATGTCAATTGTTAATAACGTAACATAACATAGTCTTATCCAAGGAACAGGAAACACAGCAGGAAAACTGAATGTTATGGCAGGACAGACACTTAGCTGTGGTTGTATGGACAGTGTATAATATAGAACTAAGAACCATCAGCTATATAAGAGAGAGAGAGGAGGAATGTACCACATCAGAATGGGAGAAAGGTTGACTAAGTGCCAGATGTTTCTCTGGGAATAGTAAGCATCAAAGAAATGATTTAGTCACTTAGTATTTTTTTTTTAAAGAAAAAAATTATGGTCTAATATATGCAAAATTCTTTCATTTCACATTACATTTTACAAGTATATTATTATTGGCAGTTTTTTTCTATATGTTACAGTTGACAGGCATAGTCCAAGACATGGTCACTGACCAGCCCACTCTACCTGAAGTGTTACGGGTAAGTAGCAGATTGTCAGTTCCTCCCCACCAGAGTAAAATGGTTGACACATTCTGTTTCTGGGGACAGCTTTTATCAAGTGTGCTCTCTAGACAGTAGCAGTCACCTGCCGACAAGATTCTATCTTCCTGTATAATGGGCCGCCGCGATCAAAATATTGCAAAGGCAGCGTGGATCGAGGCTGCCAAATCTGTTGGTCATTATCCCACCCCAACTTAGCACAACCACAGTACACACTGCTCCCGCGAGAAACACAAAGTATCCTGCTTTGAAAAAGAGCAGTCTGTGATAAGGGAAGAGAATAATCCAAAAGAAATAAAAAAAACTAACGCCGCTGCTATTCTCCATTTTGGAAATGGAAGACCTTTTGGACCCTGGAATAGATTAATTTAGTTGCCATTATTTTCAATTGGAAAAGCTGCTTTGGAAATCACATGATTTGGAATTCAGCCGTCTCGGAACGAATTATGTTGAAATTAAAAAAAAATTAACAAATAGGCATGTATTGCGAGGTACTCTTTCTTTGTTTATTATGTATATACTGTTTCTGTGGTCTAAATCAGTGACTGAGCCCATCTTTGTGCTGGTCGGCTACTGCCTCCTTTACCATTCCCCCCCCCCCAATTGCTGTTCTGTCCTACCTACAACCGTGTTTGATATAGCGAATCTAGGGCACTACAAGCAGTAAACTGACTGAGATATGGGGACTGTGGCAAGCTTGTTTGCCGACTTGTCATTCCTGCTTTCTTAGATGAGCAAATTAGGAAGTATCTGGTGGCAACGTGGCTCCTGATTGTGATGGCATGACTGTTTCTGACTGAATACTTTGTCAGCACAGCATCGACTGTTATCATTTATAAACATATTTTTGTGAGAAAGTTTATCACTTCAGTTGTCTGTTTCTTTTTTTTTTTTCTCTATGTTAATTATTGCAGATCCATTGACATAAAGCTTGCGTTAAAATATTTTACAGAACTTTGACAAGTGGATGATCACAGAGGGTCTAATCGGCTCTGAGACAACAAGCACTTTTGTCACCTGTGGGGACTGGGACTTGAAAACCATGTAAGTATTCATATTTTCATTCCAGTATGTGCTACACTTCATTTACTTGTTAACATTATGTAACTGATGTATAGTTTATATGGTACCAGTCTGTACCCACCATAAAGTTTATGTGGCTCCTCTTGTGAGAGATCAAGCACTTATGACCCTTTCCTGAGGCACAAAGGCAGCAATGTCCTCAGTGGCTTTATCTTATTAGAATTCACTCTCTGTAAACTCCAACAGAAAGTTCTGGTTGTTCGTCCACTTTTGTATTTTGATTGTGTTCCAGAACTTGAGATTTGCCAAATTATAAATGTACTTTTTTTTTATTGGTGGTGGGGGCAATAAGTGTGTGGGAAATAAAGGTATCGTCTCGATATTGACTACATCACCCACCAAGTGATGACTGGTCTTCAGAAATATGAGTCTGGCATTGTGTGCCTGTTACACCACAGACTTGACGTATTTACTCACTATCTTCATTATACTTGTAGGCTACCGAAACAGTGTGCACTGTTGGACATCGCCCCCAAGCCTTACTTCCAGAGGTGGATTAATATTAAAAAGGTATGCATGGATATGTATGTTTCTGTGGACCAGGAGAGGTTCAAGTTAAAAACTATGTAGAATAAAGGTTAGAATGGGTTAATGTGACAGTGGGTTTGGTGAAACTAGTCTCTGTATTCCTGTGAATGGTGTTGTGTTTGTGTACTTGTTTACAAATATTGGAGATGATTTCAGGCCCCACTGGGGCAGATGATTTAAAAGTTACCATTGCCATGTGTTACATGGACCATAAATGGGGACAGAGAATAGTATATCTGTAATCTGCTATTTGTGTCCTAAGAGGCAGCTAAGGCATGCATGCTATTCCCTCCCATAGTAGACAATTCTTCTTCTTCTATCATTCATCCAAGTGATGCAAATGAGTTGTACCTGTTTTCAGCTTGGTTGCAATACTTGCACCTTTCAGCTGACACATCCTACTTTGTTATTTAGGTTAGCCTTCTCGATAAGATTTGTGGGATATCTATAGCCTCAAATTTGTGGTGACTTCACAGGTTTTGTCCATTCTTCTTCTTCTTTTTCTTCTTCTCTTCCACCTTGTACCTCATCGAAGTGTCGGGGGGAGATGTAATGTTCGTTGATGAGCTCTGTCAAGAGCACTATTAAGACTCATGTTCATTTCTGTAAGGCTGTTCTTAATGCCATCACTCCATCTTTTCCGAGGTCTTCCACTCGCTTTATACCCGTTGTAACGTTTTAGTGTGGCTCGCTGTGGCAGATAGTACCAGGGCATTCTTGTTAGGTGTCCAAACCATTTCATTTGTTGTTCTTTGATGACCTGTAAGACTGGCTTTATTCCTAGCATTCGTCTGATTTCATGATTTTGTATTCTGTCTTTCCTTGAAACTCCTGCAGCTCTTCTAAGGCATTTCATCTCTGTTGTCACAATTTTACGTTTATTGGAGGATGTAAGTGTCCACGTTTGGCACTGATAGCATAGTATTGGCCAAAAAATAGTTCTGATAAGATTCACTTTAGTACTCTGAGGTATCTGCTTGTGTGTCAACAGGGGAGATAGTTGACCCATTACTTGATTAGCTTTGGCACATCTGGAGCTAATTTCTCTGTCCATTTTTCCGTCTGAAGTAAAAATTGCTCCCAAATACTTAAATTCCTCTGTTTGTCTCAGGGTGTTGTTTTTTAATTTAATTTCTAAATTGTCTTTATGTCTTCCTATCATCATTGTCTCTGTCTTCGTAGTGTTTATTTTCATATTATATTCCTCCCCTTTGTTTCTAATTTGATTTAGGTGGTTCTGTAGGCATTCCATATTTTCTGCTATGAGTACCTGGTCGTCGGCGAAAAGTAATTCTGTTATATCTTCCTGATTAAAGTCTGTTTCGCTACATATGGCGTCCATGTATGTTATGAAAAGAAGCGGCGATAGTACACAGCCCTGACGCACACCAGAGTTCACTATAAAAGTTCTAGACAACCCTGCCTTTGATCTTATGCAGCATTCACTACGTGTGTACAGGCTTTTGCAAATATTAATGAGATGATTGCTGATTCCTTTTTTCCCCATACATTCCCACAACATATTCCTGTCGACTCTATCGAAGGCTTTTTCTTGGTCTATGAATGTCAACAAACATGTCTTATCATGTTCTATTGCCCTCTCTGATAGTTGTCTCAATGTATAAATGGCATCTGTGCAACTTCTGTTTCGTCGAAAGCCCATCTGTGCTTCTGAAAGTTGATACTCTATCAATGGTCTCAGCCTTTTTTCGATGATCTTAGCATACATTTTCCCAGTGTGACTGAGAAGTGATATTCCTCTGTAATTAGTACATTCCCTCTTACTTCCTTTATTTTTCCACAGCGGGACAATGACAGCAGTTTGCCAATCTGATGGTGTTTCTTGATTTTCCCATGCCACCTGAAATATTCTCTTTAACCATATTGCTCCCGTTTCTCCTGCTGCCTTGATGGCCTCAGCTGGTAGATCATCAATACCTGTCGCCTTTAGTCTAGGCGCGGTTCGAATGACATATTTTACCGCATCCAATAATATAACTGGTTCTAGTTCCCCTGCTGTTAGTTCCGAGTTGTTTTTATGTTCTTCCCTGCTTTTATCTGTTTTATTGCAGCTAAGTAATGCTTCAAAGTAATTACTCCACCTTGCTAAGATTTTAGTAGGTTCTATTAAAGGTTGGCCAACTTCATCATTTATAATTTCTGTTGGGTTGTATTCTTCATTCCTGTTTCTCATGCCTTTGATTTTTTTGTAGTAGTTTTTCACTGCTGATCTTTCTTCTTCAGCCAGCTTGCTTCCAAACTTTTCCCATGAATCTCTTTTTGCTTTTCTGATAGTTCTATTTACTTCTCTTCTAATTTTCCTGTATGTTATGTAATCCTCTTCTGTTCTGCTCCTCAACCAAATGCCATAAGCTTTCTTTTTACTGCTCACAATACTTCTTATTTCTTCAGACCACCATGTTGAGAGCTTACGCCCTATGTTACATTTCCTTTTAGTTCCACAGATTTCTTGTGCTATTTTCATAGTGGTGTCTCTGAAATTCAACCATTCTGTATTTACCCCAAGAGTGTTTTGTGGAAGCTGTTCATAATTTTCCTGTAATTTTTGCTGAAACGCTCGCCTGTTTTCTTCACACTCTAGTTCTTTCCATTTTATTATGTCACTTTTATTACATTTCTTTTTGGTTTGATAACTTATCTTGATTTTTCTGTCAAGGATCACCATCCTATGATCTGTATCTAAACTCAAGTTTGGTATAACTTTCGCATCTGTAACTTGATGAAAGTCTCTTTTTCTCGTCAAGATGTAATCAGTCTGACTCTTGGTATCTGGATCATTCCATTTATACCATGTAAAAACTTGTGAAGCTCTTTGTTGAAAAAAGGTGTTGGTAATAACAAGGTCATGTTGTGCATTTGGTCCATAAAGGACCAAATCTAGGGCAGCTGCCATTGGCCGTCAAGAGAAGGCATAGGCATGTGCTACCATTCAGGGACTTGGTGTGAGTTCGTTAAGGTGCCTGTCAGTGCTACTTTCAGAGATGAAATGCATAATAAGAAAAACACTTACAACTAATCTGTGATTTCCATTTATGACAGGAGAATTCTGAGGGGCATTCACAAAAGTAGCAACTGACAGTAGTGAAGTAAAGTAAAGGACCCTTTTCCACGCCTTTAAACGTATTGGGTATATAGGGCTAGACCTAAATTTGTATAGACCAATCAGAACTTGGTGGGTGATGTGGTCAGCATCCCGCCGGCAAGTGAAAGTAGCGAAGCAAATAATTGAATATTTCAGAACAAAATGCTTGCGCCAAATGCTGAAATTATTACACTAGGTAATTGTGCTTATTCTAAGACAGGCAATATTATCTTTTCTCCATACAGTCGTATGCTGATGTGACGGGCACGTTTCCAAAGGGAATGATGGATATGATGGTACACTTTGGTCTCAAGCACAAAGGCCGTCAACATAGTGGAATAGGCAAGTTTACTTTTAATTGATTAATTTTACACACTGGAGTAAGTAAGTTTACTTATATTAAAGAATATAACAGTGAAATAATTATTTATATTTTGTTTTTTTAAAGAATTTAATATAGTGGAAAAAATAAGCCAATAGTTGAAGAGAAATTGAGCATTGGCAGGTTTTTAGTGTTGTTATGAAGCAAACGTTAAATTATTATATCTGTGGTAATCTATATTTATAATCATTCATATATAATGTATATTTGTTTCATAGACTAATTCTTTATGTGCAATAATCTAAGACTCATAATATTTTCATGGTCTAATCGTTTAGTTACTTTTGTGAAAATCTGATTATTTGTGATTGAATCCGGTCATTCGGTTACTTGTCTCCTACAGTATGATATTGTGGTTTACTTTCATCATCAGTCAGGTGCCAAATCAACAGTAATGTGTTGGCTGCAATGGATCTCCAACATGTTTTGTCATCTTGTCTGGTTTCACACTCTCAGACTGCTGTTCATCCAACTCTTGATGTTAACCTCCCACTTGTCTTGCCCCCGATTTTTCCCTCCCGCGTTGTTTTTAAAAACATATGTCTTTTAATGTTGTCAAAATATTTCAATTGTCTCTTATTTCTTGTAATAATTCTCTTTTTATTCGCAGTCTTTCTAGAACCAGTTTACTTCAAATAAACAATTTTTCTGTTCTTATTACAGATGATTGTCGCAACATCTCTAGCATCGTAGCAGCCATCCTGAACAAGGGCTATGTCTTCCGAGAAAATGGCAGATTGTGATTAATGGCCATATAACATCATATCTGGCAGGGTTTATTGAAGTGAGCAGTCATTTGCATCGGATCAGAAGACTTGTCTACTCACATGAGCTGATGGAGTGACAGGCTGAACTAACTTAACGGAAAGTAACAGTATCAACAGACACAAGAGGGAAAAGATAAAACTATAAAAGATGGACAGTCATGATCAGTAGCCATTTATATTGTAATAACCCCCATCATTGCTCTGTACAAGCAAGGATCTGGGTGAACAGCTTTACATTCAAACACCCAGTAGGTTTTCCCTGGCATTCCGTCCCAGCAATCAGTAGTTTTAGTTATGGGCTCTTGGACTAGCAACAGCACCTTTATGACGCAACTTCCGAGAGTGGGATAGCGACCAAATAAAACAAGCCAGATTCTTCACTATTGCAAATAAAATTTCATTTATCTTTTTTATTTTTGTTCAAGTTTTTTCCCTACATTATCCTGTAAAATGCTGTCCTTAATTATCACGTTAATGAATCATTTAGTCTAGAATTGACATCCATGTGCCCCGTCCCCTTCTTCAGCAGCCAACAAAGGGTTGACATGTTGATATTCCTAGTTGCAACCTGATTCAAACAAGAGAGAGTCTGCTGCATTACATCTATACTGGGAGGCAAACAGAAGAATTATCTGGCAAACCTGGATTTACTTGATGAAGCAGTCTTTTACTTTGTTAGATTTTTTTTTTAAAACTATGCAAGATTTTTTTTCTGGGGTATAAAAATGTCTATTTAAACTAGCTACTTATGCTAGCTGGCATTTGAACAGATTGTGAATGCAGTTTTATAATTCCAACATTCTGGGCCTAATTCAACTTGTATGAGCATCAATTATTCCAAAAGCAGTAGGAAAAAAAAAAAAATGTAAAACCGAAAGTAACCAACAAAATGCAGGAGCTAGTCAGTGGAATCCTGCAAAAGCTAGGCCACAAACTTTCAAGTTAATGCTTAGTCGTCTACTATAAACCAGGCAGTTTTTTTTGTTAATTCAACAAATATAAATTTTTAAAAAAAAACACACACCATGATGCAAAGCATTTAAAATGTTTCTTCACCCTTTTAATCTCAACATATGTTAAAGTGCATACATGTGTACAAGTACTTCAAGAAGCACACAACTGATCTATGAAACAAAATCACACTGAACCATCAATTCAGTCCATGGATTCCTGCATCGGCTACAGCAAAACAATACTTTCCTAGAAATGGCACAGACCAGGCAAAGATAGGCAGTAAGTGGTGACAGGAGCACACATGAAGTTCGATGAATGTCTTTGTATGACCTTCAAGTGAGACCAGCTCTGCCAACTATTTCTGTCGCTTGAAAGCAAATTTGTACTGGGCTGCACATTCTGGAGTCTCCTTCAGTACACACTTTTTTTTACGGGACTTGTCCTGCGATTATGATTAAAAACACAATATCATAGAATACAAACAGCATCAAACATTCTATAGCACATTACAGCGAGCAAGTAACATACGCACAGTCATTTTTTTACCAGGATCTGAACATTTTAACTGTAACGTGGATGTCTTGATCACGTCTGCTAACTTTATTTAAACAAATGATATTCACACAAGGCAATGCCATTAACTCTTCTATACACACTATATTTATCAGTGACTGTTATATGACTGGCAGCATAGTAGCCACATGCCCGCCTGATAGTAAGCCGAAAGGTCTTGAGTTTGAATCTGCATCAAGTTGGATTCTTTTTTAAACTGACATTGGCTCGACATTGATTTTTGTTTCTAACTGGAGTCATGCTCTTTAATGTGCTTGGCTGCACCNGTGATAATGGCCATATAACATCTATCGGGCAGGGTTTTTTGAATGAGCACCCCTTTGCATCGTCAAAAGACTTTCTCTCACAGGGGTTTGGAGTGACAGGCTGAACTATTTAAAAGGAAATAAATATCAACAGACCAAGAGGGAAAAGATAAAACTATAAAATGGCAGCCCATGATCATGCCATTAATTTGTAAAAACCCCCCTCTTTGCTCTGTCAACAAGGATGGGGGTGAACAGCTTTACATTAAAACCCCAGTGGTTTTCCCGGGCATTCCGCCCCAACGTAGTTTTGTTGGGGGCTCTTGGAACAAAAGCACCTTTATGACGCAACTCCGAGAGGGGGAATAGCGCCAAAAAAAAAACCAGATTCTTCCTATTGCAATAATTTTCATTTATTTTTTTTATTTTTTCAATTTTTCCCCCCCATTATCCAAAAATGCGCCCTTTATTATCACGTTAATAAATCATTTGTCTGAATTGACATCCTTTGCCCCGCCCCCTTTTTCGCACCAAAAAAGGGTTGCCCCTTTGTTTCCCTATTTGAAAAACCTGATTAAAACAAGAGAGAGTCTGCCCCTTACATCTATACTGGGAGGCAAACAAAAAAATTATCGGGCAAACCTGGATTTACTTGTAACAGTCTTTTTTAAACTGTTAGTTTTTTTTTTAAAATGCAAATTTTTTTTCGGGGGTTAAAAAAATTCCTTTTTAAACTAGCTACTTTCCCTAGCGGGCATTTGAACAATGTGAATGCGTTTTTATAATTCCAACTTCGGGGCCAAATTAAACTTGTATGAGCATAAATTTTTTCCAAAAAGCATAGAAAAAAAAAAAAATGAAAAAACCGAAAGAAACCAAAAAAAATGCGGAGCTAGCAGGGGAATCCTGAAAAAGCTAGGCCAAAACTTCAAGTTAATGTTATCGTCTACCATAAACCGGCGGTTTTTTTTTAAATTCAAAAAATAAAAATTTTAAAAAAAAACACACCCCATGATGCAAAGCTTTAAAAATGTTCTTCACCTTTAAAAATTAAACATATGTTAAAGTGCATACGGGTAAAATACTTCAAGAAGACACAACTGTCTAAAAACAAAATCACACTAAACCCACTTCAGTCCAGGGGTCCTCCCCGCTACAGCAAAAAAATACTTTCCTAAAAAATGGCACAGACCAGGCAAGGAACATAATTGGTGCGGAGCACACATAAATTCGATAAATGTCTTTGTATACCTTCAAGTGAGACCACTCTGCCAACATTCTGTCGCTTAAAAGAAAATTTTGTATGCTCCTTCGGGAGTCTCCTTCAGTACACACTTTTTTTACGGACTTTCCTGCGATTTTGTTAAAAAAACAATATCATAGATACAAAAAGCATCAAAAATTCTATAGCCATTCAACGAGCAAAAAGGGGGAAAAAAATTTAACCGGGGACAAGGGGGCCCTTTTTTTCCAGATCAAAATTTTTTAAAAAGTAACGGGATGTCTTTATCACGTCTGGCCAATCTGCATCAATTTGGATTTTTTTTTGTGTGAACTGATGTTGGCTTGACCTTGTTTGCTAGATCTTTGTCTCTAACTGGAGTCATGCTCTTTAATGTGCTTGGCTGCACCTCAACTGCATGTGGCAGTCGAGCAGACACATAGGTAAATGTAACCTTCAAGTTCATTCTGCGTCTGAAAATTTTATTCTACTTGTCTCTGCCAAATCTATTTATGATGTTATACTGTCTCTAAAGTTTCTTATATTCTCTCCAGTTCAACTCCATTGACTAATTTAAGAGTGTTTTTAGCACTTTAAATCGCTAAGACAAGTGAGGCTGCAGAAGATTCCATGCAATCTTTACCAGATATGTTTCTTTACTTCCACTTACACAAACAGTGGACTGGTATCCACTGATACACAAACGGTGGACTGATATTCACTGATACAAACAGTGGACTGGTATCCACTGATACAAACAGTGGACTGGTATCCACTGATACAAACAGTGGACTGGTATCCACTGATACACAAACAGTGGACTGGTATCCACTGATACACAAATAGTAGACTGGTATCCACTGATACAAACAGTGGACTGGTATCCATTGATACACAAACAGTGGACTGGTATCCACTGATACACAGTGGACTGGTATTGGCTGATAAAAAAGTGGACTGGTATCCACTGATACACAAACGGTGGACTGATATCCACTGATACACAGTAGACTGGTATCCACTGATACACAAACAGTGGACTGGTATCCACTGATACACAAACAGTGGACTGGTATCCACTGATACACAAACAGTGGACTGGTATCCAGATACACAAATAGTGGACTGGTATCCACTGCAAGACTAGTTCTGTTCCTGTGCTCAGCACTCTGATTTGTTTTTCTTCTTTGCATTCACCGGCTGTAAACTCCAGCGGAAAATGTTGGTTGTTTATCCACTTCTGGACTTTGATCTTGTTCCCAAAACTGAGTTTTGCATGCACATCCGTTTTACAGATTTGGCTCATTTGTATGCAGCCTGTTGGTTCCTTGCCTCTCAAGTAGTTGCACTGACTTTAAAGGAAGCCTCTGATTAGTCTACTTTTACGACATGCTTGTTAGGGAGGTAGTGGGTCGGTTCTTGTTTTCTCCACATTAGGGTCCTGGAACCCACACAGGGAGATTTCTGTTTATTTCACAGATGATGCTGTCAGATCTAACTTTAACAGTCAATATGGCGGTTTTATTACTTATATAATTCAATTTGACTACTAAGAATCTGCACTCAAAGGAGAGTTGGAGTATTTCTTTGTCACCACTGATTAAGTCACTATGTGGCCATTAGAATATGTAATGTTGATACCACAGTATCTTTTTTTTTGTGTGTGTGACTTCATCGGCAAAACCATCAATGACAAGACAAGTCTAAACAAGAGAGGGATACTGACTCCTAAACACAGTGACAGTCACAGCACTCCCATGGGCAGTGGCATCCACTCTGAGGAACACTGGACTAAACCAACACAGATCTAGTCATCCAGAGGATTGTCCCAAGTGGAGATGTCAGTATTTATGAAACTGTTGTGCAGTGAGGACGATCTACTGACTAACAACCAACGAGAATTAAACTGGGCCTACCATGGAATGCAGTTTTGACTCCAACTTCTCAGCAATGATTTTCAACTCTTTGGCTCTGTCTATTCGTTTGGTTAGCTCTCTGTATGCTAAATCTTTTGATTCCATAACAGCCTGAAATATTATTCATAAAGAGGTCTTTCTATTTGCAGTCATTATATGTTTATATGTGACAAATGACACTGCATGTCTATAAACTTCTTGTCATAAACCTACCTGTCATCGTGGAGAATATATCCTCCTTCACTGCCTATCAACAAGGACTTTGCAAAGTCTTCTGTTTTACCTCTTGTCTTGACAATATATCTCCACTGTCCTGTGTACTGTTGGTTGTGCTTGTGTGTATTGTGTCTGTGAATCTGTGCTCACCTGTCACCTGATGTGGTATGTCTAGGAGTGTGATGTCTGACTGTTTGTGTGTATGTTGGGTCTGTGAGTGCTGTGTTTCTATGTGTATGTGTTGTTTCTATTTGTGTTGTCTATGTGAACAATGTGTGAGCAATGTGCTTATGTTGAGTTTGTGTGTATGTATTGTTTCTATTTGTGTTGTCTATGTGAACAATGTACTTATGTTAAGTTTGTAACCCTTTCGTTTATTTTGTTTGTGTATCCATCTTCAGGTTGGTCAATTGCCTTTCAGTTGTATTTTCTATGAACCACTGTTGCATTACTATGGCCACAATACATCAGACTCTGATATATGATGCTGTCTAAGGGCCAATTTTCTCCAATGTTTGGATCTTATAGGATAGCAGTATTTTTCTCTGACCAATACATATTTTAAGGAGTCAAAAGCCAAAAAAATCTGCTGAAACAAAAGTATGAAAAGGCTGGCTAATTCCCACACCACAGATGTTGGAACCATGGTAGAAAGTGGACATCAAGGAGCCTGAACACAGTACCTTGATGCAGTAAACATGAGTTACCATGTACAACTACTGTGTGTTACAACGTTTTGTTTAAATAGCCCAAGCCAGTCACTGCAATGAAGTCTGCCCATGACACACAAGTAGGTCTTATTAAAGTATCACACTCTGTCTGGCCAACCTGGCAAGTCTGTTCACTGATGTCATGAGGCAACTGTAAGGATTAAGGATTACTGCTAATGTACAAAGAACCAGGCCTCAGCTGTCCTCAAAGACGCACCACCATTTTTGTTTACTAACTGTATAGTTTGAAGCGGCTATGACAGGCACAATAAAAACCAATTTAACAACATTTTGTAGTTTCCTCTTGTTAACTTCAAACCCATACAATTGCAGTTTCCACTTCAACATGCCATCCTTAGTAGAATTTGTTATCACATCCTGAGGTCTGACTTGTCAACCATGCACAAGACAAGTGGCAGCACAGACCACTCCTGTATTGGCCAAATAGTGTGTGACCACAGCTACCATGCATTACATCACTGGAAGCATGTTCCCTGTGCATGGTTTTTTTTTTTTTGGTGGGAGGGGGGGGGGGGATATACAAACTATAACGGCATTAAACAAAAACATACCACAGATTCAAAATGTACATTCTTTCCTCTTTAAAAACATAATATACCTTTGCAGGGATTAGAAATATATTACATTCTCAATTGCCTTTTTTTTTAATTTCACGCCCCCACCCCCTTATTTTTGTAAAGGAAAACTAATGCGAGCTAAGTCTGTCAAACTTCATGGCCTTGAAAAGGTAAGGAAGAAAATCAGGAGCTTTTAAACTGAAATGCTACAAAAAGATTATCAGAGTACCATGGACAAAGAAGAAAAGAAATACTGACATCTTAAAAGATCTTAACCACCGTTATTTTAAAAAAAACAGCACTCTTACAAAATCTCACATTTTCCCATCACCAGATTCATGAAAATTTCAGTTGCAGAATCCAAGGGACTACACCCAAATTGAGCCAATGATGGCTTTATATACAATAACAAACTGCTACTCCAGACTTACCTGTAGCTCTGTAGGGTCCAGGAGGAACTTTCCTTCTTTTAGAGAATCTAACTTCGGTCTATTAAAGGCTCTGTCCACAAAGGCTGGATGGGTGTCAAAGTACTTGGCTGCATCAAATTTCTGGGCTAAGAAAACAAACAAACTTCTGTAATCCTAATTTAAAAACACATATTTTTTTTAAAAGAGAAAGAACATGAAAATTATAAAAGTCCACCAACCATCTCCCTGTGTGGGTTCTGGGGCCCCACCATTTGGGAAAATAAGAACAGATCCACTGGTTCCCTAACCAAATTGTGGTAAGAGTTAACTAACTGGGGACATCCTTTAAAGTCAGAGTGCATCTGCCTCAAAGGCAAGGAACTAACAGTCTGCACACAGAATACAAATGTTGAATCTGTAAAATGGATGTGCATGCAGGTTCTGGAACAAAACTCAAAGTCCAGAGGCTGGCAAACAGTTTACAGCTGATGAACGCGAAGAAGATAATTTGAGAAAACATTAAATTCAGAATAAGAAAGAACATTAAAATGACAGACATGTACCAACACTCATGAAGGCCATAACCTTTCAGGACATTTTAGCTTAACGGCCAGATTTATAATACAGAGTGTTACTAATCCTTTTCTATAAATATTTTAAATTTACTAACCTATTATTCATCTTCTTCTGCGTTCTCCCATAAAAGAACCATTAGCATGTTCTTTTGTGGTTTACTGCTAGGATGCAATATACGCACTTTTTGGTCCATCACATTCAATTTCAGTTACCTTTTGTGACCTGGCTGTTGGAAGGTAGTGGGTCTATTCTTATTGCCACCAAAATGGGACTGTGGGGATACATACAGGGATAAGTGACTAAACTTAGAGCAAGGTCAAATTCGTAAAATTTTTTGCAACACTGGATTCAGACTTCCTAAACTAAATATTTAGCAACACAGAACCTAAAAAAAGAAAATGGCATAAGACTGTTATTTATGACTGGTGAAAGGATGACATATTACAGGGCTAGACAAGACACAGACAGGCCTCAAACATACAAACATCAAGTCCACTGTATCTGACTGACAAAGAGGCAGGGAAATGATCAGACAGACAAATGCAACTGGTGACCTAACATGTGGTATTGAGGATAGTTCCTTAATGATAATGAGACAAGAAAAGAACCTAATAAAAGTAGTTAAAGTATGAACATCACATGTGAAAAAAATGTGTTAAAGCATACCTTCCTTAGGTGAATCAATGAAGATTAAGTGCGAATTCTTCTTTGTCGAGCTGTCAATCAGATGCAAACGTTTTCTTGAGTTTTTCTATTTTCTGTGAAACAGTGAAAATATTTTACAAATAAAAACACTACTAACCTACTAGTGCTATTTCACAAAACGGCCAGGTGCTTTTACTTGCAAAAGCTTCCCACTGGCCACAAACTATAAACAACTAATAACTGCTTCTCCAAGGCACCTTAGAAATATTACAATGCAGTGCAGACCTGATAAGGAGAACTTACCAGGGACCCAGGAAAGAGTTATTATTAGAAATTCCTTTTATCCAGATAAGAATTTAAGCAAGAAAAATGATCAATAGCCAGAGTGACTAGTAAGACCCTATCATGTCAAACACAGGCAGTGCAACAGTTAAAGGAAAAGTCTTCCACACTTTAGGGGGCTGCGTGGTCTTGGGGCATGGTGCCCGCCTCGAGTGCTAGAGGTTCCGGGTTCAGTCCTGGTAAGGGCTGGAATTTTTTCACATGGACTTCTAGTAATTTCCCCCTGGTTTCTGGGTAGTGAGATTGGACGCCCACGTGCATTGTTGCGCACGCAAAAAAAATCCCTTGGCAGTTGGAAATCGAAAAGAATACTCAAAAAAAAAAAAAAAAAAAAAAAAAAACAAAAAAAAAAAAAAAAAAAAAAAAAAAAAAAAAAAAAAAAAAAAAAAAAAAAAAAAAAAAAAAAAAAAAACCTAACGGCGAAAAAAAAAAAAATAAAAAAAAACCGCGGTCAAAATTTGCATTGCTAAAAATCAATGTACCCAAGGTATTTCAGGATCCTCGCCGGTGCTTCAAAGCCTGTGCACTGTACTGAGCTTCTTTGAACTCAGACTTGAGTTGGAAGAAGAATGGAGCACTTATGGGTTACCACCCGTGTGCCATGATGTTGATCCGTTGTTCAAACTTCCACACTTAGACTTCAGGACCTCTGTTGCACTGCCTGTGTTTAATGTGCCTCCTCTCAAAGGCTCAGCCCTTAGCCTATCTGCAATCATTTTCTCCTTTCTCCTCATTTCCTTCCTGATTGTTCCCCTCCATGCAGCACAGCATTCTGTTCACATGAATCAACCTCAATATCTGTACCATTTCACGTCCAACACTAACGCAGTGAAGGCTGAACCTCATTTCTGTCAATCTGCAGTTCACCACAGAGGATGTAACAGTAAACCAGATATAGTGAAATTACTGTACAACATTCAAACTATAACTTTCCTTCATAACTGATGGCTTCAGAGGTATAAACAATTTAGTGAAGCATGTCCTCAGGGCTGCAGGATTATTGAAAGGACAAACAAACAGTAGGTCATGTCCTCAGGACTGCAGGATCATTGAAAGGACAAACAAACAGTAGGTCATGTCCTCAAGGAATGCTGAATCCATGAAAGGTGCAGAATGACAACAGGGCGTGAGCCAACATCACTGAGGGTAAAGGTGTGGTGACAGAAAAAACATACGGTGACAAGAGAACAAGATGCATATACATCTCATAATTGTAACAGATTCTGAAATCATGCTAAGAAAGGTGAAGACAGTGGTGCTTTGAGCAGAGTGTCAAGCTTCACTGGAAAGGTCATGGTAGTGAGCACACTTTGGATCTTCTCCGCAGGCTATGGCGGCATGGTGGGTAATGAACAGGCAGACAGATTGGCTGGATCTGCACCACTGGGTGGTGAATTGATACACGGCAAGGCAGATGTGGTCAAGGCCCTTTGGGAAAAAAGCAACGCAATCAGCAGAGACAGAAGATTATTATAGCCTGGAGAGAATGAGGCATCTGGTTGTAACCAGAGGGTCTGGTCGGCTTACTACCCTGAGGGGAAAAGGCAAGACGGACATATAACCAGATTGTGACCGGTATCAGTAGTATTGGAACTCTGCACTGGCTGCTGAAGATGAGAACAGAGCATGCATGGGAATGCCCCGAGTGCTGTGATGTCAATTCTTGACTCAACTCAGTTGCAGTTAAGTTCAGACCACAGACAATTACCTCCATACAGCAAGTCCTTAAATGGAGAAGGTGTAGACCTAAATAATGGTGTCTGTTCTCAATCAGCTGAAAACTCCTGAAGTGAAAGTTTCATTTTCAGATTACTGATTCATTTACATTCCTCAATGATACTTTTCTTTATCTAGCTAGCTGAAGGTGATACCACAGTTAGGTGCAATCTTAGCACTGCTACTTGCTCACTTCTGCACAGGTTGCAATAATTTGTGTCATCCTTGTGGTGGTCTGGATGTTCTGACTTTCACTTGGTTCTGTAGCTGCTACTTGTGATGTAGTTAGCTGTAGGTGAGTGAAGACGCTGAAATGGCTAGAGGGAACAGGTTTAACAGAAATGTCTTTTCAATTTCACTTAAATGGATCTGTCAAAAAGTTTTTGGAGAAACAAGCTTTAAAATCAACACTGTGTTTAAATGTTTGACTTCTCGTGTAGGTTCCATGGGCTCACTATAGGAGAAAAATAAAAGCCCCACTGCACCCCACCCCCCAAGCATGTCTGAAAAAGTTTACTAATCGGAGTGTTAACTTCCAAGTCAGAGTACATCAGCCAGATGGAGGCTGGGAACCAACATCCTGCATACAAATAAGCCAGATCTGTAAAACTGGTGTGCATACAGAACTCAAGCTCTGGAGCAACAATAAAGTCCACAAGTAGACGAACAACCAGAACTTTCGGCCCAGTGTTTACAGCCAAAGAAGACAAAAAAAGAAGAGGAATACATGGCTTACCTTCAACTCTTTCGACAACCTGTACAAAACATATCTCTTGTCCTGTGTAGCCATCAGCTTCTGTTGATCTTCGGTGACTTCTGGGACAGCCTCTTCACGCAACTGATGGTCTCCGTCCTTGGACACATTTTACATAACACGTTTCATTATGACACATTTTACATAACACGTTTCATTATGACACATTTTACATAACACGTTTCATTATGACATATTTTACATAGCACGTTTCATTATGACACATTTTACATAACACGTTTCATTATGACACATTTTACATAACACGTTTCCTTATGACACATTTTACATAACACGTTTCATTATGACACATTATTAATTAATGAACAATTTTACAAATCAATAACAATAGAAAGGGGAACCGGTCAGCTTAAAACACTATAAGTACGAGAAAAACACTGTTTGGAGGTGCTAATACAAGAGATACCAGAGAACACATAGATGGCTGAGAACACTAAAGGCAGCTGAGGCAGGGACAAACTATGAGATATTAGGCTGGACACTTTAAGAGAGCAACATGGAAGAAAGCTGATCAAGATAGGTAAAGAGACCACCATACCTATCTTATCATCATGTACCATGCCAATAAGCATGGCTGTTCTCTTTCACCATCTTACGTAATCACCAGAATAATTGATCAGGTGTGTGTTCTTGTCTCATTCCAATCATATGGCTAGACCATCCATGCAATTATTTCTGTGCCGCTTTTTCCCATCAAATTTGCCAATCGTCACCAAGTTGTCAAGTCCATTCCTTCTCTTAACATGTCCACAAACACTGTCTACATCAACATCTACACCATCTGACAAATAGGATAATGATAAGCAACTCCATTAACATACTTCTTCTTTTTCTGCGTTCATCCCCTTACTACACTTCTTCTTCTTCTGCCTTCATGCCGTTAGCATACAAAAGTAAAGAGTATTACATAATGTTTCTTTCTTTCTCAACAAACCACACACAGGAAACTAAGTCTTACCTCTTTCTTTGTTCTGGTCATGTTAAAGTAGAACTCATCAGGATTACGATCGTCTGCCTTTCTTCTCAATTTCTTCAATGTGTCTTCTTTCTTATGAAAACTCCTGTAAAGTAGACAATATTTAATTACCATATAGACAAACAAATCAACATACATAAATCAATGGGATCCGCCGTGGTGTGGTAGCTAGACCCCCCACATGTGGATCTGAAGGTTGTGGGTTCAGACCCTGTCGCAGCCAGAAGTTTTTTCCAAGATGACATTGGCTCTCAGGTTGACCCACCCTTAAATGGGTACCAGGTAAAGTCCTGGGAAGTAAAGGCGACCAGTGTGATGCTGACCATATCACCCACTGAGTGCTGTTTGGTCTATAAAACATAGGTCTAGCACTATATATGCCTAATACACCTGAAGGTGTGGAAAAAGGTCCTTTACTTTACTTTCATATAAATCAATGGAATATGTTTGGGGAATCTGAAGTAACAAATGACCATACATTAAGGTTAGTTGCACATCCTTTACAAGATGTTGCAGAACCAACCGCAGCAGCCCCTGGCTGTTGTGTGGTTTCTCTAGGCAAATTTACACCCAGTAGTTTGGCACTGTCGGCTCTGTGGCTAAGTCGATGCAAACGCTTCGGAATGCCGGGTTTGATCCCAGCTGCGGGCCATGCGCCTTGCGTTGGTTTCGACAGTGGTATCATAAAAGCTGACCGCCCAGAAAGCAATGACAAACTACTGGACCTAAATTTGCCTAGAAAAAAAAAAAACACCCAGCAGCCAGGGGCTGTTGGGGTTGGTTCTGCAACATCCTGTAAAGGATACGCAGCTAACCTAAGTTTGCCATTGCTTTCTGGACAGTCAGCCCCCTAATACCACTGTCGAAACAAGCGCAAGGTGCATGGCCCGCAGCTGGTATCGAACCCGGCACTACGAAGCATTCGCATCGACTTAGCCACAGAGCTGACGACCATACATTAAGCCTCTGCAATATAAAGTGTATGTTTCATATTCTCTGATGCAACAGGGCAGGATTTAAGTATCAGGTGATTTAGACCATTCTCATGGCTTTCAGACAGTGATATGAGTCACACCTTGAGTGTGCTTGAGGCCTCAGTGAATTATATCCTCCAAGGCAGCGGGTGCCCATATTCACTACAGCCATCCTCCATTTTGGTGATGGCAAACATTTTTTTTTTAAACAAAGTGAGTTAACTAACTCCGTTTATACTCTCTGAAAAATCTCTGGTACCTTTTTGGTGAGGCTGGATTTTGACAATACGCTCGGTGACTTCAGAATGTCTTTCCTCAACCTACTTTTATTTCTGTGTATTTTAAAGTATACAGAGATAAATAGATTTGGGTACATCCTTAATCTAAGAAGGCGACCAGATCAAACATTTAATTTTCCTGGACTGTTGGTAATATCAAACACTAAGACTCTTTCCCAGATGTTAAGTGTTAAGGTAGTCTTTGTGACGCCAGGGCGACGGACTAGCTCAGATTTACTGGCTGCAAATTTGCAAACCATCTGTTGGGTGTCAGAGAATTATCTTCTAGCCAGACTTTCAGGAGCAGATAACTGGGGCTAATTACCATTATCTCCCCCTGAGGTACCCTAACTGGAGTGCCGGTCAGATCGTCAATATTGACACAGTGAACCGAAAGGGTTGACAGAAGATTTGACAAAGTCTGATTTTATGGTCGGGTGGAGTTGTTAGCAAACAACTTGACAGGTGAAGTAGGCTGGAGGTGTGACTTGGCCCATTTGCTCTGGTCAGATGGATTGACCAGGAGAATGTGACCGTGGGAATTCAAACAATTATTGTACAGTCACTGACTGACAGTGAATATACACCCACGGGGAGGAGCTGTGGCATCCTTGAATGAGAATGATTGTAGGCGTAATGTAGGAGGAGCTTGATAGAAGTTATAAAGGGGTGAACTCTAGGACTTGAAAATGAGACTCTGTCTAGAGCATGCCATCAGTTGGGCTTAAACCTAAGCTTGAGACAGAACTTTTGGCATTGTGGTTTCATTCTCCAGGTAAGGAAAACTAGTTGGAAAACCTTAATTTCCTGATAGAAATCTAACTGTCTTTTTACTCAAGTGTGTGTCTTCATCACTTTGTAGCACTCCTTAGCGGATATTTCTCCATTCTTAGGGCACTGGCGCATTGCTTTATATCCTCTTTGACAGTGTCATGAATGTTTTTTTGTACACATGTGTTTCAATGTTGTAAAACCTACATGTTGATGTTACCATTGAAATTTAATGAACTATCATGTTTTTTAAATCACAAGCGTGAAGATAACTTTGGCAATCTTGTCACGTGTGGTTAATGTGAATCTGTATTACATACAGCTAACACACTGAAATGTATTTAACTCTCGGGAGGCTAATGCAGAGATTGATCCCGGAGAGTAAATCCATGAGATTTCTTATTATAGATCAGATACTACAAATATGCGCTTGTTTCTTCATTCGGGGCTTTTAAGCCAGGAGAGGAGAAAAGTCGGAGGGGTTAACTGTTATCTGGATTATATAACAGTGGGTTTTGTCTAGGATCAACTCCTGTGGATAGATATTCTATTAGCCACTCCAGTTTCTCACGTGGGTGGGCATTGTTAAGGTTTTCAAACCCACACCCTCACTATATCAGTGTATTTACCCACGTGGGCGCGCGACATGGATCAAACCTAGAGTAGTAGCAGCTCACACAAATTATGGCATCAACAAGGGCTGAACACCTGGCCACTATAGTGTTATGCTGATGTATTAAGAATCATAATAACTGAAACACACAAATACACACAGACAAGGACAAATTAATGTGGATGAAGTGGCACTCACACTTTGGGGGGGGGGGGGGAAGAATAAGCATCAAAAGGCTCATCACAAACGGAAAATTAAACGGGGATGGACAGTGAGATAAAGACATTAGCAAACACAGCAGACAGTTGAACCCACAGAAAAAAAGTCAAATAAAGGGTTATTTCCAACCCTTCATGTGTATCTGGCATATACAGCTATATATTTTTTTGTATAAACCAGTGATCATTTGATAGGTAATGTGGTCAACATCATACTTCCCAGAACTTAACCTGTACACATTCTAGGTTGGGTCAAGGACAAGGTCAGTTTTTTAGAAAACAATTCACCCCACATGCGGTTTTTAGCCCTAGACTTTCAGTCTGAGACAAGCCAAAACACAAATCTAGACACTGCAAAAAGTTAATTATGCAGAAATGGCATTGGCATTGATCAAACAAGGCAGTGGAGACAAAAACAATTCATGGACACAAACTGTCACTTGGCATGTACAAGTGTATGATGATGATAAATGGTAATGGTGGTGGTGTCACATTTTAAAAAATATATCTATCTTACTTGGCTCTTTCTTTATAGTCTTTCTTCCTCTCTAGCATACCCATGTGTGAACGTTCCGCTGGCTGTAGATCAATAGATAAATCTCTTTTAGATATTGTAATTAGTACATTCCCAATTTCAACTGTGAAGTCACAAAGCTTGTAACATTAAATAACACAGAACTGGTCTTATGGTAAAGGAGCAAAAGACAGAAAGAAATAGCTGGATGGTTTGGCTATGCAGAATAACTGAGACAATGCAGATCTAATCTGATGAGATTCTGGTGATACTGTAAACCATGACTCATGATGCTGCATACCACATGATGCTCTAATTTTGGGCTCAGGTAAAGAAGAACCATCACAGCTTTAACAAGGCTCATTAGCCTCACCAGTATATTGTATTGGGGGGGGGGGGGGGGGGGGAGAGAAAAAAGATTTAGAGAGTTACAATATTTTTTCTTCTTAGTATTCATCAGCTGTAAACTCCAGCGGGAAGTTCTGGTTATCTGTACACTCTTGGACTTCAGTCCTGATTTAGAACTTGAGTTTGCATACACATCCATTTTACAGACGTGGCTTATTTGTATGCAGGCTGTTGGTTCCTTGCCTCTCAGGCAGATGCACTCCTCTGACTTTGAAGGTACACCCTAAATTAGTCACCTCCTATGACATGCTTGTTAGGAGTGCAGAGGGTCTATTCTTTGTTCTCCAAAACAGAACCCAGGAACCCATATGTTTAAAACATGAGAGCTGTCAAAATCTTGAGCTGAATCAGGAGGTGTGACATACAGAAGAACAGATTGTACTTCATGGAAACATGCTTTTTTTTTAAAAACCTCAAAATACAAAAGATAAAACCTTGTTGAAAATTTTTTTTAGAACAGGGTCTTTGGACCCATTGAAGATGCAAAGAGTGGAGAACTGAGAGTGAGAAGCAACAATGAAAGTTATCATCTGTTTCAATCACCACTAATTACTGGCATCATGGGGACTACTAGACTGATGGTTGGGGCATACATCAAGAATGGCAGATAACACAGACAGACCATAACTGCACACATGAGAAATGATGGGAGTAGATAATGAGGCGGATCAAGAAGAGTACTGATAGAGAGACAGACAGAGCTATAATCATGTGAAGTCACCAACTGGAAAAAGAAAGCTAATCATTAGCCTAATGACAGAAATAAATGGAGGCGGGGGATATCTGCAGCCATAAACCTCAAGGACTTGGAAAATTTGCAAATGAAATAATCAAATACAGAAGTTCTGAACAGGAAGCCCCTGGGAATAAAAAGACAGTTGCTGAAATAAACTTTAAAGAGGCAAATGAAATATTTCAACAACATTTAAAGATACAGTATCTACTGTCAGTTCTCTTTTAAATCTGATTTAAAAGGGAAAAGTTGAAGGCAAGATATAAACTTTTCTTGTAAAAAGCAATGAAATCAATGTGTAAAGAACTACATAATAAAAATGTGTGTGTGTGTGTGTGTGACCTGGAAAGGGGGGGGGGGGGCAACATCGAAAAAAGAACCACAAACAACAGTCTGAGAGTGTACAACCAAGATAAAGACTGTGTGTTGAAGACTCAATGAAACCAACCTTCACTGTGGAAAGGACACCAGAGTGAATTTTTTTATTTAGACAAGGGAGCCGAGAAAGAGATAGAGAGAGAGAAAGAGAGAGAGAGTGTGTGTGTTTATGATCATAATTTAATTAACTTTAACATAAATTAACTAAGTTTTGGATGTTTATATTATTATTTAAAACTGTATATGATATGAAAACGATAGGCAAACACAGAGATTATTTTCAGAGGTATCATTTCTATCAAAGTATCTAAGTAATAATCAAGTTTATAGGCTCTCCTTTGAACTTACTCCTAAAATGGCGGCCGTATTATGATGCCGTCCGAAAGAGAGCTAAATTGGCCATTTCTGGCCATAAAATATCCAAATGGAGCTCAGTCCTATTAAAAATATATGTGCCGGCTCCGCATAACGAAACAAATGCTCTATCAGGGTCTCGGCGATACGTTACTTGCGGACCTGCTTCTGCGAGTGTGCCTCACCGCCGACAGTATCCCCGCGCCGCTACGCGCGACGCGAATGGGGACTAAACTAGATGGCTGGGACTCACGAGCGGCAGCTACCGCATCTCCTGCAACTTCCTCCAATTACTTTACTCGTGAGTCCCAGGCACCTAGTTAACCCCCCGTCCCCCATTCGCGCCGCGCGTAGCCGCGCGGGGGATACGCTCGGCGATAAGTTTAATCGCGTTTGGTGCATACCGACAAGTCTGACATCTACCGCTGCTAAATCCTAAAATCCGAAGAACACAGTATTGCTAATCGGCTTTCATCGTCTGTACTGTAATGTCTCGACATTGGTTGTTAATATCGTCTGCTAGTATCGTCTGCAGAAACGCTCGACATTGTTGTCAACGGTCAGTATTTATCGTCTGCTACTACTACCGTGTGCAATGTTGATATTATATTGATTGTCAAGTAATACTAGTTTTGCCGAGATTTGTTCCTTGGTAAAAAGTCTGTATTTTAGATATACGTGAACACCGTCGTTCGGACATTTTTGGATATTTTATGGCCAGATTGTGGCAACATACTATGGCCGCCATTTTGGGGGTGTAAGTTCAAAGGAGAGCCAGTTTATAATATTAGATTACAAACAGAGAGAAAGGGGGAAATTCGAAAGTTACCCCGAGGCCTTATGATTATGTGGTGTGAGTAGTAAATAGTTAATGACATGTGAGTGGAAAAAAGTCAAGAAAACACAAGTGGATTTAAAATTTAGACACTTTGGTTGTTGATGTGATTGTGATGATGATTGTTCATTAACACAGTCACTATTAACTTGATTAACACACCACAGTATCATGTATGTACACATTATACTTACCACAGGTCTCTCTCTGTGCACTTTTTGTATCTTATTTTTCTTAAAGGACGACATTTTATTATAGTATTTCCGATATTGTCCAACGAGAAATCAAACACAATCTGTGATAACTCTCAAATAACTAACATAAACGTGAGTCAAGGCTTGGCGAATGGCGATTCTCTACTGCCACGACTGTCATTGCCAGAACTGTGGTGGCAATGCTGCCAAACGTTGAATATAAACATTACTCATCGTCCCTGTCCTTGTTATATATGTTTCTAGTATCCGCAATCTATTCCTGCATTCCTTTATTCCTGCACAATCCCTTTGATATTGTGGATGGGATCTAGTTCATCACATTTGGCTTCTCTCGTCAACATTTGTTTTAGATTAGATTTTTTTCAACTTTTTAACCTGGAAACATTGCTTTGATTGGTTTTAGAGTTTATCTCGTGCGTCCTATTTTTCTGTAATCAATTTCTCATGAGAACAATGTTTAATTAAGTATTTACATCACAGCACTTAGGGCATTCAAAAAAAAAAAAGCGCTTCGTCCCCATCTTGGGCAGCAAGTGCATAGTTCTAATTCCGATGGTACCAGTAACAGTCTGATTGCAAATCAGTATCACCTTTGCCCTGAGTGTTGATCGTTGCCAGACACCCTGGTCTCTCGTTGCAGCCCCAGTCTCCTCAGACCCTGATGATCCACCTGTGCCTCCGCACTGTTTAATAGTTTCCAAAGTTGTGCTGAACTATCCAGTCTGTCTATCTGTCTGTCTGTTCATTTCCTAATACACCGGCTTGCCCTGGAGACAATCTCCAAAGGACACCAAGTACCCCGGACATAAAAAGCGTTGCTTTCCACTCCCCATACCAGTCTAAGCCTTTGTCAGCATGCTCTTAGAGTTTTTTTTTTTTTTATAACTACACATATGACGGCTGCAATGATTGCCTGCGCTTCCATTCTCACACTATTTGTTGCGGTATCTTATGTCAGACTTTGTTTCACTAAGCGACGTCAATTCGCTTTTGCTAAGGACCACCATGAACATCGCCTGCCTCTCAACACAGAGTTATCTGTCTATAGATAATCCCATCCCCTGAGAAAGAATTGTTATGAATTATTTGTTGAACTTCTGATTCTGCTGCGCCCGCTGGCCAGTCCCTGCACTCATGGCCCAAAAGTGATTAGACACCTACACAGGTGTGACTTTTGCTGGGACATCCACCCCTCTCCTCGCCCGGTGTTATCAAGGCTGCACACGTCTAGTTGTGTCTTTAGCTTGCGCCATCCACGGCCATCTTTAGATACAGCCGGACGTGGCGCCATCAAAGACCTTCTTGTTTTCAGTCCGTGACCCTTAAATCTGTCAAGGGCTTCACGCAAGAAATGTTTCTTGTCTGCTGCTACTCTGAAATAGAACGTTGCATGCAACACTTTTAGTTTATCAAAAGTCGGTATTGTACCGTACATACTACCGGGGTATATATATATATATATATATAAATCATCTTCATCATGTGGCAGGTCATTTGCAGAACGTCACTCTCATCACATTCTGCCTGAAAGAAACTCGATCTCTCCCTAGCTCTCCCGCCTCATGTACTTTCATATTCAAGGAGTCACTTATATCCTGTGCCCATCTTCGTATTGGTCGGCCCCTGCCTCTCCTTCCTGGTACCATGACTTCTACTGTTATTTTTTTTAATCCCCCATGACGCTTTATATGACCAAAATATGTCAGCTTCTGACTTTTTTTATTAACCAATCTTTCTCGATGTTCAGATCTTTCAAAATGTCAATGTTTCTCCTCTTCTTTGTCCATGATATTCTGAGAATCTTTCTATAGCATTTCAGCCCAAAGCTCATATTTTATTTCTTAAGGACTGGGAGATACTCCACTGCTCATAAAGCCGTCTTTAGGTATGTGCAACATGTGCAGCTGCACAGGTCGGTAACATTTTGAGGGCAACAAAATATAGCTAATATTAAGAAGATGTAAATTATTTTTTTTTTCTTTTATTATTAGGAAACGAGCACTTTATTAGCGATGTGTCACTAAAATAGTATGGTACCTTAACTCTGTGAGACCCATAAAATTTTTCATACATTTTCAAGGGGCGCAATAACCATTAGGAACAATCGCAAGTGTATAACTTTTATTAGGCAAAGTGCACAGTGACTGAAAGCAACTACACAGGAAGCCAGATCTTATTAGCATTCTCTGACCAAATGTGAACAGTGAAAGAACAACATGTAATGGTTGAAATTCAATGGAAAGAGCCATTGACACATCATGAATTGCTTGAGACTCAAAGAATTAATAATCCCTGGTAAATATCATAAGATCATAATGCTTTTCAGAACAATTTATATGAAAGGGCTCATGTATACAAAGAATATAATTAAAGATTTCTTTCTCTCTCAAATGTCCCCAAACAAGAAACTGTTCATGTTTATGATGCCACAGGAAAATTTCAAATCATTTACGATTCCTTCATAGAGCGCCGCTTTAGTAAAGAATGCATTTATTTAAAAAAGTTATCATTTAAAATTAAAAATTAAATTATATTGTGATAAGATGTAGATACTAACTGTTCTTGTGACACGCTGAATATAAACTCGTCATTCGCTTTCTCTTATTAACCCTTTTTGCCCGATTCACAGTCATCTTTTACACATTCTTACACATGTTATGTCATAAAGCCTCGTATTTTCTATCAGTAATCGTTCATTAATGGTCTTCAGAATATCTCGTTTGTCCAGTTAGTTAATAGTCAGATTGTCATCATTGCACATCGAACCACCGTCCATAAGTACCATGATCCCCTCTTAAGTATCCAACTGAGCGTGTAGTGGCTTATGACACGTATGTGTTTGGTTTACTTTTCTTCTTTAGGCTCCTGTGTAGCGCTTTTGTCTGGCTTAACCCTTTTTGATGTTGTGTACGTGTAGTCTGGTCAGTGTTGCAGATTCGCAAACATTACTTGATTCGTTTAATCGAGCCGCCTCTCTGAGGGCATTCAGTAAATAAGCCACGTTCATAGCTCGTCTGATTCCCACGTGAGCATCACTAGCGAGTCTGTCGGCTCGTTAATTGCCCTTTACACCAGAATGACCCACAGTCAAACTGCTTGTCGTCAAGGCGAAGAACCACAATCTTCTTTGACAGTTCTCCCTCTGACTTGAGCCGTAAATGCCCACGACCTCCTGACATGTCGAATGACAGACCCGTCTGTGTAGATTTATCGATTGTCCAGTACGAGCAACTATCTCTTTTGTAGCCAGAAAACACTGCCTTCTCTATAGAGAAGGCCATGCCAGAAAATTTCCTCTCTCATTGCCTCGCACTCTCCCATTTAGCTCTTATTCAAACCTATCACACTTTCCTTTACTGGACAACGTTGCCCCCTACCTCCTCCCTTTTTTTTTCACCACAGTAGTGGAAGGCTGGGATTTCAGCCGTAAGCGGAAACTATATGGGACAACACACGATATAAAGGCGAAATCCGGTTACGTCAGCCAGTTACTGTGTTGAGTGTGGGGCGCGACACTGTGAGCTGTCGTTTCCAAGGAGAATGTTTAATATTTCAGCTCCTAGAGATATGTTGTACACTGTATGTTCAGAAAATGCGAATGGTTGGTTATGCCATAACTGGGGAGTGGGTGGGTGTGCCTTATGCTGTAACGTGTCTTGCACCTGTTGATTTGTCACGACTGCTGCTTCTATTAATTTTCAAATTACAACTTTAGTGACTGTCCGCTAAAGTTAGCACCTATGGCGGCTGTCTTATGTATATGAAGCGTGTACGAGTGGTTGGATTTTGCTGCAGCTGCAGTCTGTTTAACTTTTCACGTTACTTAGTGATGGGGGATTCTGTGTGGTTTTCACTCTCACAGGAACGGAACAATGATGGAGTCACCCCTTTTGCAATGTACCTATGGTCCTGTCCGATGTGCGACAAGGAATGATCTTCAAATAAACAATGAAAAATGGCTTCTAAATAAACCGATACAAACGAATGTAAACGTTAACGAGGTAACTTCCGTTAAGACTGTCAACAACAACACGTGTTGTAAAGCCATCCTCATCTGTTAGCCGACCCAAAGGGATATTTGTGAACATGACCAAATTTAGACCACCTCAACAAATTCTAGATGTGTTTTGGACGTTATCTGACGGAAATGATGATCAGAGGAGCAATGGGGCAGTGAAGCTTGCTCGTTTGATAAAGACTTTTGAGGTATTTTAAGGTTATTTTTTTTTAATTATTTTTAATTTTTTTTTTCAACTTTCGTACTTGTAACAACATCATCGTATGGAGATTGTAGTGAAAACGTTTGCAGACGTGTACAGTAGTCAGTTATTAATATAATAGTCTACAATAAACGGGCCGCGTTAGCTTAGTCGATCAGAGGCTCGCTTTCAAATCCAGCTGCCACTCGCCGCAGCCCACGGCCGGTGTTCGAAACCTGGCGGCTCCCGGGGGTTCACCCAGCCTCTAGGAAATGGGTACTCTGGGGTAAATGGAGGAACGTCGCTGTAGTAGCTACAGAGTTACGTGTGAAAGGCGACACAGGCGAACAATTCTTATCAGCTGTCCGTCTGGTGGCAGAGCACTTATTATTGTTTGTTTATATTCGCATCTCCCGACTTTATCTTTACCTTTTTACAAAAATCAGTTCAATTCTTTTTGTTTGTTGACATTACGGATTACGACTAACTGCTATTTACTAATACTAATACTAGTATTGCACATACTGTCAGTGTCGTCTGTGTCTTTAATTTAGACGTGGAATGCGTTTAGTTCGTTATGTCGGGTTCCCGGTTCGATCCCCGCTGCGGACGATTTGGCAGCAGAACGTCTTGCATTGGTTTCTAGAAAAACCACAACAGCCTTAAAATGCTACTAAATATTAGTACTATTACCATCGAGCGCACCGCTGCATAGATCATTATAATTATATAGATCAGTGGGGCATGGGCGTGCCCTCAACCCCCCCCAATAATTTTTGAACCTATGGTCAGGGAAGTGCTAAAGCTTTGTTTATGGCGCAATAATGACATTATTATTATTTTTGTTGCGCATTAAGCGAGAGTAACAACGATTGCTTGAAAGAGGCTAATAAAAGTAGATCTTTATATTATATACAACAATGAGAAAGAGACAAACACTGTTCTTTGGCCACATAATGAGAAGAGAGACATTGGAGAACATCGTGACAACTGGAAAGATCAGTGGAAAATGGGGTAGAGACAGACCAAGAGAGATGATGCTTTATAGGCTAAAACGATGGCATTGAGGTATATCATCAAGAGAGCTGTTCCAGGCAGCCAGGGATCGTGATATATGGAGACTCATGAGCACCTACGTCAGTTGGCAGGGCACACCCAGATTAAAGATAAAATTACTGAGCAAAAGAAAAGGGGGTGGGGACAGGGTGCTTAACACTTGAGCTTTGTTTATTGGTACAATAATATTTAATATTATTTAATATTATTTAATAATATTTAATAATAATAATGATTATATGATAAATAGCCAGAAAATATATATCTATTCAGTAAAATGCACAAATAAAGAGAACACCTATAGGGGTGCTGCTCCCTAAAAATTATTGGATGTCTTAGTCCCTGCCCCCTTTTTTTTCTTTAAACATTTGTTGGGGGGGGGGGGGGGGAGGGGGTGCGGGTGGGCATGCAGTAAGACTTCTAGTGATACCATCAAAATAGAAAAATGTCAGCTGGCTGCTGAAGATGGGGACGGCATGCTTATAGGAATGACAGATGACTCAACCCTGAGCCATGATAACAAGCAAAACCAGTCTGTGGTACATGAGCATTAATTTGAATAATCTTACCTCTTTTATTCTTGTTTGAGAAATTGTTCCAATGAATTTTGTCATTACTCAGTTGTTTTTTTGTTGCAGGAAAATGAGAAGAAGGAAATCCTCAAGTACTGTCAGGAGAGGCTGATTCGAGGTCTTAGCTCAGGAAGGAGATTTGCTCGTGTTGGCTTCTCTGTAGCTTTAGTTCAGGTAATTGTCCTCATATGATTCTTTTACCTGTTTCTGGACCTGCGGGCTACTTCCTGCTGATCCCTGGAGGATGCAGTCCATGAAGCGTGGAAAGCTCAACATACAGTTGTGAACTTAAGCAGTCATGTGCAGGGCATCCTTGGGTGAGCCCTAGGGCCAGAGCATCATGTGTCGGCTCTGCATTTATGGAAGGTGGGGAATGCCCATGATCTGCCCCTGCCTTACTTTGAGGGCTGACCGGTCTACATGTGGTTGCCCTAAATGGGTTCTTTGGGGGCAATATCTGTTGATAAAGGGACAAAGAGGACAACACACACATGAGGCAACATTGGGTCCCACAAAACAATCGCCACAGCCATCCTAGAGATAGAATGGTCATCTTCCTTTGAAGTTGGAGTACATCCGCCAAAGAGGCAGGGAACAAGAACTGCTCACAAAAAGGCTAGTAAAACAGATGTTCATGCAAAACTCAGGTTCTTATGCAAAGCCAAAGTCCAAATGAATGAACAACTAGGACTTTCCGCCGGAATTTACAGCCGGTGAATGCAAAGAAGATATGATTCTGTGAAAGTTCTCATCAGTTCTCAGTTAATAATTAAGCATACTACTTTTGCCTAGCTTTGGATACAAAGAGGTGTTCCTTATATTTGCCAATCCTTCATTTGGATCATCAATTGTCTGGTTCTGTTTCATCTTCTCACAAATAAACATTGTCTGTCAGCTCAGTGATCATGTGCGTTAACTTAGGTCAAGGGCTTCTAGGTCAACTCAGCTTAAAATGGTCGCCATGAAACATTTTTTTGTAATGTGAATAGATTCTGTGATTGGGTGAGTCCCCCTGTGCGATATGGGCTGTAGCTGCTGTCAAGGAGTGTCCCGCAGATGAGGCACACACAAAAATATCTCACACCATATTCATTTAAATCCCCCAAAGATCACCCAGCAGCACATCGATATCCATCATTTATTGGTCGCAACTTCACTGCTGCTTTTGATGCCTGTCTTTTTGTCCCAGCCATTTGCTATCTGCCCTATTGAATGAATGAACCAAGCATTGACATCATTGAACTCTGGATATACCTGCACAAACCCCGTCCCTTCTTTAGTGACCAGCGAAGAGTTGACATGCTAACAGTACAAGTTACAACCTGATTAAAAGTCTGCCTCTGTTTTCTCTTTAGTGTTAATTATCTTCCTGAACCTCTACGCACCTATTGTTGAATCAGTCTTTCATTGTATGGATTCCCCATCTGTTCTTTTTGCACTGTCCAGTTGATCCTATAGAGCCTTCACCACATATGCTTCACCGTATATTAGCTCACCACCCAGAGGAGCGGCATCAGTTAATCTATCATCCTGCTCATTACCTCACACCCCTGAATGTCTTGAGACAATCTTTGATATGCTCCTGATCTCTGTCTTATCAAGTGATGCAAGCCACTCTGCACACAGGACACCAGTTTCAGTTTGTTCAGAGGTGAATCTGTTACAATTACAATGTTACAGACTGTGATGCTCTCAAGCCAACAGAAAACTGCCATTACTGCCTCCACCTCTATTCTCATACTGAATGTAGGGGCGTTGTATGCTAGGTTCTCTGTTTTTTTAACAGTGTCAGTTTACCTTTGCAGTAAGATCTCACACACTCCTCCGACCTCTCCTGCAGACCCATCTGTATATATTATGATGTCACCTGAGGATTCATCAGTCATCAGTTCTTGTTGTGCCTAGTGGCACATCAGGCTTCAGAGAGGATGGGTATACTGTGATAATTGTTTCTGTTTCCGCAAATTTGCTGGGTAATTTTGTGTAGGGTTTGTAGATCATGTGCTTTAGCAGCATTTTCTGCTGTTTCAGCTACATTTTCCATAAATCTTCTTTTGTCAGCTCTGGCACTTTTCTTTGTCATTTTATTTAGTTCGCTTTATTCTAACATTAGTTTGTCTTTCTGACGTTCTGATTTAGTGTGATTTATGAGGCTCTTTATTCTTGAGTTCTACTATATATGAGGATTAATTTTCATTAATCAGCTCTCGCAAAGCTGACTCTTCCACCAGCTATCCATTCCTGGCAACCTGGGTTCAAGGGTAACTATCATTGTGGGCAAGTCGTGTTGTGTGGAGGGGATACATCAGGAAGGGAATGAGAATGAAGGAAGAAATTATTTCACACAGGATGAGAACTGGGCATCTGACATACTAAATACAAATGATAGAAACAATGGTCCTAAAATCTCATTTTCTAATTGTGGAAGACTTTTCTTAAACCAAAGAGGTGGATCTTGCTAGTCACACCCGTCATAGCTATGAGCTGTAACTCAAAGTCGCATGTATCCTTATAGCACTATTGTCTGGAAAGACGGAAAGGTGCCAACTAATTTATTGTAATTCACAGCTGCTGCTGAAGTGGTTGTGGCTTAGTAACAAATATTTTTATCTCTGTGATCAACAGCTGCTGCGGGAGAATGAAGATCTGGATTCTGGCAAAATTCTCTCCACCATAAAAGATAGACTGAAGAATTTTGGACCTGAGAAGAAATCCCAGTCCGTAAGTTACCTTGTCTGTTGAGTAAATCATAGGCCATCAGTTTGGTCTTTTGTTTTGTTGCATGCAGAATAAATCCATCTATAAACATTATATCTTATTTTGTTTTATAGAAAAGAACTCAAATCTATAATTTATCTATCCAGTAGCACTGTGTCGTTGAATCACCAGCTGCTGTTTGTTGGCTGTCTGATCAGCTGTCTCCACCTTTTGGCGGTCAGGTGCGATTTACTTCATGGTTAAATGCCTAATACTTTTCATTCAGTCAGATTCTGTATCTAGGTCTTTCTTTGGTCTGCCTTTTCCCCTCTAGTGAGCACTGTAGTAGTAAACAAAGAAACGAAGTTTTATGTGGAAGAAATTAATCTGCAAGCTTCATCTCTGTTTTATTGTTTGTCAAAGAAATGGTTCTGCAAGCTTATCTTCTAGTTTGTTGCATATAGAATAAAGCAGACTAGACTCTTATTTTGTCCATATAGAGGTCTCTGTGTTTTGTTTGTGTGTGTGTGTGCTAAAGAAAGGATAGTGTGTCAGCTTTACTCTCAAGAAGAACATGGTTTAAATGAACAAAGCATTGTGTTTGTGTGTGTGTGTGTGTTAAAGAAAGGATAGTGTGTCAGCTTTACTCTCAAGAAGAACAGGGTTTAAATGAACAAAGCATTGTGTGTGTGTGTGTGTGTGTGTTAAAGAAAGGATAGTGTGTCAGCTTTACTCTCAAGAAGAACAGGGTTTAAATGAACAAAGCATTGTGTTTTTGTTTGCAGGAAATTGGTGGAATATTTCTGGGGAAAGCTTTTGCAGTCTCTGCTCTCATACAGTCAGGCAGACTTGCTCAGGTAGTTGCTTTACTTACCCTTATCTTTAGTTAATGGGCTTTATTTTAATTTTCAATCATTGTTAGTACCTGTTTGTTAGTTTCTGATAAATCATGAATGATTTGTTGGGGTTATCCTAGGAAGAGCAAATGCTGTAAACTTAATGTTATGGCTGGGCAGACCAGGCCCTTAGCCTTATCTGGCAGCTGATCAAGGAGGGAAGCTCTGTCAGCTTCTGCATCATGCTTTATTCCAACAATTTTGGTGTTACCCTTTCATTGGAGTAAACAAGGCAGGCTGAGTGAGTGGGCATGTTGCATGGGTAACACATGATTCTATAATACATCCCAGGCTTTGTTCTGTGGGTTTATGGTTGTGAATTCTTCAGAGGACTGTCTAAACCAGAATCCATATATGTTGAGATTGTCTAGTCACTGAAATTGGTTTGTGTCAATCTGAATATCCCTGTGTATGTTCTGGGGCAACATAAATAGACCCGATGGCTCCCTAACAAGCATGTCACAGGAGTCAACTAAATGGAGGCATCCTTGGCAGTACATCTGCCTGGGAGGCCAGGAACTAAAAGTCAGACAAATAAGCTAGATGTTTGAAGCGGATGTTCTGGAACAGGACTACAGTCTGAAGGTGTATGATCACCCAGAACTTTCTGCCAGAGTTTACAGCAGCTGAACAGGAAGAAGCAAAAAAAAAAAAAACCTGAATAAGGTTCTAAAAAAATTTCCCAGCCCCCATACCAAAGTACCATGTCCATGATCACTGTATTGCATAGCTGTTCTCCCTCTTTCCATGTCTACAATCTAGTGAGATATGCAGGATTGGCCTGGTGACTTGCATGTGCAGACCGGCGTATTTGGATGTTTATCGGTCGTGGTTCAGCGTGTTAGAACATATTTAACAAGTTTTTTCTTTTTTTTAGAGACATGCTTAAATGACATAATTTGTTTGATATTGGAAGTAAAATAATTTTAATTTAAAATAATATTTTGACAGAGTAACCTAACCACATGTTTTTTTTTTTGTTTTTTTTTAAGCTCAGTGGTGATGTTTTGTCCTCAATTGTTTATGAACTTTTCAAAATTGAAGACAGAAAATCCTACCTGAAAGCTGTCTGTGAAACAGTATTGCGGGATATAGTACAGCAGGTAGGTGATAGAAATGTGTGAACGGTTGTCTTGCCTGATTGGATTATGGTAAAGCAATATATTTATGATTGTCTAGATCTGAGCTTTTCAGACTTTTCCTGTTGGGGACACACTTTTAAAGAAACATAATTTCATGACACAGTAGGTAAATTTACAAGCAAATCAGAGGTTAAACTAACCCCTTATATATAATATAGTCATACAGACACATATTTACATTTTAGCGCCTGAAAGTTTGACACACTGTCTGACAGTTAAAGCTAGTAGCCAATATAACAACAAAGTTACAATATTAAATATGGCATGACATTGTAGATTTTTCTCCTTAAGGTTTTACATTCATGTGACACACCTTCAGACTGCAGCCGAGACACTAATTCTCCTCGACACACAATTTTGAAAGCTCTGATATTTCTGTGTTGGCATGGTCATTTTTTCTTTGTCTGCTGACATTGGGTTCACATTTTATACTCTCTTGTAGATGTAGAGCATGTTTTCCAGTTCTATCTGCTTGATGAGAATCGGGGGCAACATTGTCATTTTTTCCAAACCCCACAGGAAAGGTTGTGAGGGGATGAGATAAATTTAAGATAGACTGTTAGCTTTATGAGAGAGCTGTGGGAATTTGAGGAAGTGTGAGTGGCAGCAATGTGGGCATTTAAGGGGGGGGGGGTTGGAGTTTGAGAGTGGTGGAAAGTAAACAGTCCACCAAAAAGGGGGTGCCAAATTGGCTTTGCACCAAGGAATAAAACCATGTTTATTGCTTTTGAGAACTATGAGAGATAAGCATTTATATATCTTTATGGGCCACTGAAGTTGAAAGACTGGCTAGATCCCACACTGACCACTATCTGTAGACACTGCTTCGTGGTGCTACCTGTCAACATACTGGTTCCCCAGTTGTGAAAACACTCCATGGGTTACCATGCCTCCTGAAGTTGTCAAGTTCTACAACTAGATTTGTCCCCACTGCTGAGCTCGCGACTAGGAGAGTCAAAGGACAGCTCTGGAGTACTTTAGTCCTGGGTTGGGAGTTTTTCAACCAGCCTCAGTCTAGAGGACTCACATTACCTGAGTGCTATGGTGTGTAGCTTCTGGGTTAGAAGAGAAATGACAAAGATTGCTGCAGGTTGGAACTAATTCCCGATAAATGTCACTTTTCAATGACTGTTTACGAGATTATAGTTAATGCAGTTGGCTGTGTTCATGCCCGCTCCTCAGGAATATATTAATTAAAATACTAAGTATATGCTTTTTAAAGCTCAGTTGATGTCAAATTTTTTTCCAAAACCTTTGTGATAGAGGTCACAGCATGTTTATTGATTACTACCTTTATCAGTATTCATATATCCTGAAACATTTTTAAAATGTACATAGATTGTTAACAAATGTATTAGTGACCCTTGTAAAATTGTTGTTTTTAAAGAAACTTTTTGAGAATTCCCACAGGGTCATGATCCGTTTTTTTTTTAAAAAGCGCTACCGTGGCAAAATGCAGAATGTTAAATCCAGGATGAGAACAGTGTTCTGCAAAATGCCTGCTACAGGGTGATTTATGTTAACTGACACAAGACAAATGTTTCACTCGCTGCCAACTGGAAATATTAACCCAGTCAGTCAATGCCTGTAGAAGTCAGCAGAAAGCCACAAATATTGCAGCCATGCTGTAAAAGAGAAAAACGCATTTACATCTTCAAATGAACGCAGAAGAAGGAAATTCAGTCATGATAGTGATATAATCATTGTTTCTCTTGTTTCATAGCTTACATAACTATATCCCTCCATTCTCATTCTGTCACTGAAAAGAGCAATTGTTGATCTAATCATGTTAGTTCACCTTTGCTTCTATGTTATGCTTGCTGTGTCTGCAGGTACCTGCTGATGTTTTCGGAAGCCACATTTGGCCAAAGATTAAAGCCCGAATGAAGAAAGGCTGGGAGGCTTGTACTCTGGACAGAGTTGCTCTTCTTCTGACTTGCAGAGCCAGATTTCCGGTAAGTGAACAAATGTGCCAGTTCACACAATGATATAGAAAGTATAGGGTTGCTGCTACAATGTTAGGTGAGGAATAACTGAAGAGGGGAAGAAAAAAGCAACTAGGAGACAGAGACAGTAAAGTGTACTTGACCAGAATATTGACATCAACAGAAGGATCACTTGCTTCTGGTTAATTATCCTTTAAAATTGTTTGAAAAGTGTAGTCTTGGTAGATTTTAAATAAAGAATTAAAAGTGTAAACGCTTTCTACCTCAAATGTTTGTGTTAAAAAAAAAAAAAATTACACCCTGGGTAAATAGGAGTTCAAGAGACTGAAGCAGTTAGGGTAAATAACAAGTGGCTCAGAAACAGTTAGTTAACAGCGACCAAAGCATGGGTTGAAAATTCTTTACTTTGAGATCCTTTGACCAGATTACTTATCAGTCAGATTCCTTTATTTTCACTATTTATTTGCGTTCAGTGGAAAAAAGACCTTTTCTACTCCAAGTATTAAATATGAGATAAAACTTGTGAACCTTTGTGTGAAACAAAATAAGAGATAAAGTTGATATAGACTGATTTCTGCTATTTGCAACAAACACACCAGTATTGTTGTGATCTGAGTATGTTTTATTATTGAATGACACAGCTGCTCCAGGATTTTGATAAAATTAACACCACCATGCGCAGTTATGTTTGATATTAGAACAATTCAGAGCTTCTGCTATTTCAAGCTTAAATCTAGTACTTAATTTGGCCTTATCCCTGGAGGATACTTCACCACACTTTATATAGCATCAGTAATGACTAATACATTGTTATGTCTTGTCAGTTTGTAGAGTTTATGTTACTGTTGCTTTTTTCTCCAGCATGCACACATCTATTTCACTTAAGTAAACTGCATGTAGATGACTTAGCATAGGTAAAAATTGCACCTAGATGACTTAGCATTATGCCAATAAAATATGTTCTCAATGTACATGTTTGTTAAGCATATATTAGATAGTTTCGGTTTACATGTTGTGCTATTAATCTTCTTCTTTTCTTTACTCCTGGAATGCCTTGCAATGTCAGGGCAGGAAGAGATCTAGTAATTTCATTGTCTCAGATACTTCTACATCCATCCTCTAGCTCTGTTAACATTGTATCGGAATAAAATTGCTTTGTCTGATGCCAATCTTGTTACATAACCAGACTATTTGATTTGACTATAAAGTTTAGTATTGGGTCTGTGCTTACTCTCCTCTTGATATCATTGTTCCTAATTAGCTTTCCTTGTTCCACGTAGCAAAGAGCGAAAACATTTCATTTCTGTCTTGGCTGTTTTCCTTCTCTCTTCTAAAGACAGTGCCAGTGTTTGACATTGATGGTGTAGCGCTAGTAAGAATATTGTGTTGAAAAGTGTTCTTTTAGTGCTATTAATAATATATAAATAACCGTACACTCTACAGGAGGCAGTGAAGAAAAAGTTCTTGAGAAAATACTGGGGGTTCCCAGTTTTGGGTGAAGACAATGACACTAATCTACTGACGGCAGTGTTGGTGAGTCCTGCAATTCTCATACATATTTCCCAGAAGCATTTCTCATAAAAAGTTTTGGTTGTTTTTTTTATGTTTCCCCGAACATTTTTTTTAACATTAACTGTATGCATGCGTATTATTTTTAGTATTATTGTTATTAATGACTACCGGAATGTGATCTCTGCTTATTTACTTTGTAAATTACCACTACACATGAAATATTCAAAAGTGGTCATTGTGTCATTTTCTCTGTTTTGTTTGGGGTTTTGAATATCGTTTTTCGTCTTCTTTGTTCAGCGACTGTAAGCTTCGGTGGAAAGTCCTGGTTGTTCGTCCAATTGGACTTTGGCTTTGTGCCAGGGCCTGAATTTTACGTGTACATCCATTTTACTGACTTATTTGTGTGCAGTTGGTTGTTTCTTGCCTCTTGGGCAGATGCACTCCGGCTTTGAAGGGAATGCCCAGTTAGTTGACTCCTACAACATACTTGCTGGGAAGGCAGTGGGTCTATTCTTTTTTGTCCCATTATAGGACTCCAAAACCTACTCGGGGAAATATCATTATTATTATTCTTTTTTTCGTCCGTGAGATTGATTTAGATGCATCTACAGCAAGGCTGCCTTATTTGCTTGTTTCGGCTGATACAGCCAAATTCATTGAGCATTTGTTGACCGGGTTAACTTCCCGGATAGTTTCTCAGTACACGACATAACATTATTTGCAGTGTTCTCTTTGTCGCCTGATCTGCAGGTGTTACCCCTGGAGAACTCATCCAGGGCAACTGCTGTGTAGTGTGATCAGCCCTCGAAGTAAAGCCGGGCAGATAATGGGCATTCCCCACCATCCAAGGAGACTTCCATAAATGCAGAGCCGACACATGACACTCTGGTCCCAGGCTCAACTTAGTAATTGTCACATCTTGCACATGACTGCTTAAGCTCTCATGTCTTGAGCTTTCCACTCATCATGGGCTGCACAGATTGGATATCATCAGGGAACAGCCTGCAGGTCCAGGGCTTTGTTGACCACACAGATGAGCAAAATCTTCTTCAGCACGTTAGGACACCTTTAACATTGTTGCTACAGGAGGCCTAGCATAACAGTATTGAAAAAGCATGCATCAGGCATTGCTTCTCCATTTGGTTTTGACGCTCAAGTGATTAGGGCCAATGAGAGTGGACATCTGAACCTTGTCTGCAGGAGCAGCCAGCTGGTCTTAAACTTCTATGGTCACGCACATGGGCGCTATCTCCTTCAGACACCTTTAACAATAATGCGTTGGGACCCCCATGTAATGTTTTTAGAAAAGAGTGTGTCAGGCATGGCTTGTCAGTTTGGCTGTGACACCCTAAGTAGTGATGCCAATGATAGCAGACATTCGAGCCTTGTCTGTCACACAGTGCGACATTTTATGGCTGGATTACTGAACCTTGCCCCTCTCACATCATATTTATGTGTTCTTGTTCTTTTCCGTATGTGCCCTTAAAAGAATGGTTCGCATGTTTTCTGTTGTGGTTTCAACATCTTTCCAGAGGGAAAGAGAAAACAGGGGCGCCCAAAAACAACATGGAGACAAACAATGGAAAGTGACCTGAGTGTGGCATCTTTGACATGGAAACCTGCACTGAAGATTGCACAGGACAGGAAAACATGGAAAGTCCTCTCTGAAGCCTCATGTGCCACTAGGCATAACGAGAACTGATTCTGCATCTTTGGGCTCACAGCATCAAATTTCACCAAATCCCTAATTAGTTACTGTTTATAGTAGGGATGTACCAAATATTCGCTTCGGGGCCGAATAGTGGATGGACCTAATAACTATTCGGCCGAATACTTGCGGTTGGGCCGAATACGAATAGTGGTTACCTTACACCTGTTTCTGCATACACTGCAATAGACTGAAATAAATATCTCATTTACACAATAGTTGTTGCCTAAGTGTGGTAGCGGGGGCAACTGCGACCCGGTTACGTGGTACAGCATCCAGTTTTCACATATGGCTGTGAGTCCTGGACAATCAGTAGGCAGGCCAAACAATTTCTGGAGGCCTCAGAGGTGTGGTTTAACAGAACAATGCTTAAAATACCTTGGACAGCCAAAAAGAAAACAATCAAGAGGTTTTGAAATAGGCAGGAGCCCGAAGACAACTAATCACAGACCTCAGAAGGAGACAGTCATCATTTTTCGGCCATGTTATGAGAAGAGTGAAAATGGAACATGTGTTGACCACTGGAAAGATCTGTGGAAGGAGGGATGGAGGAAGACAATGAGAGAAGATTCTTGACAGTCTTGTTGCATGGCATGGAGGTGTGTCGGCACACAAACTAATACATGCTGCAGGAGGGCGTAGATTGTGGCTAGGCCTACCCCAGTCGACAAGGCACCTGATGATGATGATACATTATTCGTATTCTGCCGAATAGTGAAAATCCCTATTCGGTACAGCCCTAGTTTATAGTCATCATCATCATGTGCCCTGCCAACTGGCGTAGGAACCCATGCATCTTCACAGATTACGATCCCTGGTTTATAGTAGGTTTATTTATAAGCAGTGGGCCTGTTTGTCCCCTTCAAAATCCAGCCCTCGAACCCACACTAGAAGTAAGTCTTCTTGATTATATTTTATTGACTTAGATATGTGTATTTGACTGATTGAAAGTACAAGTCTAAATATTTTACACTTACAAAGGTAAAGTAAAATTGTCTGTTTATTACCCTTCTTTTATTTACCCAGGAGTCAGTGCAGAGGCCAGAGATCTTGATGGACCAGATTTTGCCTCAGTTGCTGGAGAGTGGACGGAATATTGCTTCAGTGTGGAAAGCTTTGGGGGGTAAGAGACGACGAGTCTCTTTTACAGACTGATGTTTTAACATTTTTTATATTTTTATATCAATGAGTTGCCCAGGTTAGTGTGAGAATATTTTATTCTCCCATTCTCTATTTTATCTATGTCCTCACCGCTGCCGTATGTTTAGTCATTGCCTCCAACTGCGTCTGAGGCTCTTATCACCCCCTCTACAACCCACAAAGTTGACTGATCAAACTACCACCTCACCTCTCCTAGCACTGGTCTAACCAATATGCTGTATGTATTACTGAAAGAAAATAGTATTCTCCCAGTCTCTAGTTTACTTTTATCTCCACTGCTGAAGTAGGATTAGTCATTGCTCCTAGGTGCACCTGAGGCTCTTACCGTTCCCTGGCCCATTCCTCCACCCCACAAACGTAAGAGCGCCCCCCTCCCCACGGGATGGTAGCGCCCACAGGGAGAAAGTAACTAATAAGCTCTTATGGCTCCTACTTTAGTCAGAATTAATTGTAGTTACCTTGTTATTAATTTTACTTAATTTCAGTGCCTTTGCTGAAAGTGCAGAGAACACTGAAGCTGAAAGTGCAGAGAACACTGAAGCTGAAAGTGCAGAGAACACTGAAGCTGAAAGTGCAGAGAACACTGAAGCTGAAAGTGCAGAGAACACTGAAGCTGAAAGTGCAGAGAACACTGAAGCTGAAAGTGCAGAGAACACTGAAGCTGAAAGTATTAAAAAAAACATTTTTAATAAAAAAAACATTTCATTGGATGCTTGAACTCAAGACCTTCTGCTTATTAGGCAGATGTGATGTCTGCGACACTAGAATCATGTGATCATAATCTGTGAAAGTATGACCAGGATATTACAGTGTGACATCCTGTTTATTCCACCACCCACCACATGAGACCGATGACGCTACTGCCCCCGATCACCCTAGTGCTAGTGCCCCCGAGGGAGTAGTAGTGCCCATTTTGGAAAATACTGGTCTAGCAACTGTGCTGTCACGGCTCCCACTGCTTAAAGAAAACCGCACTGCTATGTTTTAAGGGAGGTAATAGCGAATTATAGTTTTGTCAAATTAATTTCTTTAAGGATGTAAGGTACTTCTAGTGATTGTGGCGTTAATTAAAAGAAATGTATATAAAAAATTTCTGCAAATAGCACTGTTAACCTCGACACTGCAGGAAGAATGGCACCTGCAAATTTCACCTTTATTCTGGTCGCTGTTTGGGAGTTTTTTAGGTTGACAGAAATGTCCAGACATGGATTTTGTTTTGTAGTATAGATATAATTTAAATACTGATTACCCGGAAGTGATGCAGAAATACTAAGTGCTTTATTGACATAAAGGTTACATTCTGGACTTTCACTCGCATTGCTTTACTTTTAATCCACAACAGAGGTACTCTGTTAATTAGTACAGTAAATAGATTAATTTGTTGTAAAAATTGGTGAAATCTGTTTTTATGTGTGTGCTAGAAAAACTGATGGAACAGATGTCAGAGAAGAAACTTAAGACCATGGCTCAGAGACAACTGCTTGGCTTGAAAATTGCATCTGCACTTGTGGCTAGCACTGATGATGTTGACCAGGTTGGGTTGTGTGTGTGTCGTTGGTTAGTTATCTAACTTGGTTAACTTTTTGCTGCACTTAATTGTTATAAGATAAAGATACTCATTAAAGTAGTTTTAAGTTGTTCATTAGAAAATGTCTGGCCTCAAGTGGTGAAGGTATGGCAGAATGTTACGCTTCAGGGCTGTTTTTGCATGTGGTTTCGCTGCCTGAGCTTCTGAGTTAAGTGCTTGGTGCAGCCCTGTGAGCTGTGTTTTTTCTGTAGAATGCCTTTCATTTGTGCAGCGGTTGTGTCATGGTGTTCAGTATGGCTGGTAGCCGGTTTACTTGTGAGCTGGTGGAATCCTTATGTAGTAATTCTACACGTGTATGGCCAACTTATCGCCCCGACTACTTCCATCAATAACAAACTGCATTTCTGGTGGTGACTGTTGGCTATGGCACCTCTGGCCACTGAAATATACATTTACTGCCTGCCTATATTTATGGATTGTTCCGAGCTGATTGTATATTCACCATTTTTTCATATGCAACAGTGAGGGACATTTCATTTAATTTGCACTGACACAGGAATGGAGCAGGTATGAGGAAACCGGATGACAGTGATGCTAAAACCTGGACAGAGTTAAGACTCAAGTTGTTTATTAATTAGAACATGGCAAAAGATGTAACAGATTCTCACCAATAGGAAGATGTCAGTTGCAGTGAGAAAAAGGGTGGTAAAGTGCTACGTACAACCTGTGTTGTTATCTGCATGTGAGCCATGGACAGTTAGCAACAACAACAAAAAATATTAAAAACATTCACTTGCCACAGAGGTGTGGTTTCGGCGTAGTGACTAGACGCTCGCATGCGGATCAGAAGGTCGTGGGTTTGCTCCCTGGTCGAGGCAGACTTTTTTCAAAAATGACCTTGACTCTCAGGCAGACCCAGTCCAGCCTTGAGTGGGTACAGGGTGCAGTCCCAGGAAGTAAAGGCGGGCGGCATGATGCTAACCACATCACCCATCTTGTGCCGATTGGTCTATAAAATTATAGGTTTAGCCCCATATGCCCTATACGCCTAAAGGGACCTTTTGTTTTAACCTTACTTTCAGCAGAGGTGTGGTTTCTGAGAATGCAAAGATTATCATGGAAGGGTAGAAAAACAAATGAAGCAGTCCTCAACGAGACAGATGAAAGTCATAAAGTTATGAAAACAATTAGACGTAGACAGTTAGTAGTTTTTAGACACATTATGATGATGATGATTGAAGTGCAGTTTCTTCTTAGCTTTCATTGGCTGTAAAATCTGGTGGAAATTCTTGGTTTTTCATCCACTTCTAGGCTTTAGCCTTCTTCCAGAACTTGAGTTTTCTGTGCACAACCATTTTACAGATCTGGCTTATTTGTATGCAGACTGTTGGTTCCTCACCTTTTAGGCGTACTCTCTTTGAAGGAAACATCCTAAATTAGTCACCCCTCTATGACATTTTTGTTAGGGGACAGTGGGTCTTTTTATTTTCCCTCCAGAATAGATCCCCAAAACAAGCTGGGGGAAAGTGCAGTTTAAATTATGTTCTTCCCAGCACACTCTTATTCTTTCATTAATATCCTTCTCTGTCTCTGCCCCCATTTTTTTCTCCTATCTCCAACCTTTCTCTGCATCTTTCTCCCCTCAGTGCAGATCTGTATTATTGACTCACCCCCCTCCAGAAATCATCAAATATCTGATATGTCTATATTTGATCTGTGCTGAGTTGTGGTCAGGTCACATTTTTATGTGCTTCTTTGTGGATTTAGAGTTTCTGCACCCACTTGGCATACCCCACAGGTTTCTGAGCTTGGAGAATGGCATGATATCTTTGCCACTGTGCTCACAGGGATGCAAAATGTTTTTGTCAATAAATATAGACCTTTAGTGGTTTAAAACCTTTGGTTGAACCTCATAACTAGTATCAATGTTATCTTTGGTTGCAGCTCTTATCTAGGTCTGTTTCCTGTTGTTGCACATCTTTTCTAGCTCTGTTGTTTATCTGTGGTTTTAGGTGCTGGATCTGCTGCTCAGCCCTGGACTGGCAAGATGTATCTTCCACACAGTCACCAACAGAAATGACCCTGTAGCAACTGCAGCAGACGCCCTGGTAAGTGTCAGTCAAAGGAACTTCATTCACAAGACATCAGACCTCTAGTCTAACCCATAGATCTGAGAGGTAGCATAGCATGTGACATATCCAGTTCCCATGAATAAATCATTATTTTGCACACTTTCATGCTGACAGACATCAGGTTAAAAGCAGACAGTCTACTTCAGAGTCACCCTGACCCAAATATCCTTTACTTTATTATTATCACACTTAGAAGAGACTGATGCAATGGGAGGATAAGCCTCAGCATTTTTTTCATTCCACACCACCTTTTTATAGTTTCTCACACGACCCCCCGAGTGGGCACTGATGGTTGGAGTTCTCTCCCCTTTGTTATTGTTGTGTAGTTAGTTTATTTGAACAAAGAAGACACGAACAATAGACTGCACAATTTATAGCCCTGCATATTTCGCTGTATCTCATCAGATGAATACTAAAGTAACAATTACATAAATGAAGCAAATAAGTGAATCCTTTATAACTGAAGCACAGTTTCAACAACAATCAATCATAATTGCCTAATTTTACCAGGGCAGCCATATAGAAAGAACCATTTCTTTCTGAATGCAGATGACGAATCACGCAAGCTTCGATAAATCTTAGCATTCTGCCATTGATTGCCATAAGCAGCTTCACAGCTACATTTAAATTCAAACAACCAGTGTTGACGTGCGCCAATCCAAATCATATTGTATCTACCAATTTAAATTTAGCTGTGAAGCTGCTTATGTTTGCAGAACAGATCGACGTCTGGAGAAACGAGTCGCTGAGCACATTCCAGTATGGGTGGACAAAGCCATGCAAAATAATATCCAAAATGAGAATACTGGCCGCAAAGTTCAACCCTCTGCAATAGCACGCCATCTAAAATCTGGACACATGGTGACTAAAGAGAAATCATTTCAAATTCTTCATACAGTTATGTTTGGTCGTTGTTGAAATTGTACTTCAGTTATAAAGGATTCACTTATTTGCTTCATTTATGTAATTGTTACTGTAGTATTCACCTGACGAGAAACAACGAAATATGCCAGGCAATAAATTGTGCAATCTATTGTTTGTGTCTTCTTTGTTCAAATTAACAAAGAGTAAATATTGCTTAGTTAGTTTATGTCAAGAAAGGCCCTGGCCGAAACGTTTATTTATGTGTTTGTGCACGTTGTTCTGCTTCCCCGTTTTGTTAAGCTTTTTAGTCACAGCTTGACTGCAGTCACCCTTGTTCATTGTTTTGCTCATATACTCTAGATCTCATCATTAATGAAGGTGTTTATTGTTTTGCTCATATAGTCTAGATCTCATCTTTAATGAAGGTGTTAATTGTGTTGCTGTACCATCAGTGCCAGGTGGTTTGCAAGAAGGTGGCTGGTGGACAGATCCTTAGCTTCCTAGAGAAGATATGGAAGCTTGAAACAACATTGCTAGAACAGGAACATTCTGGAAGGATTGACCTTGTCAAGTCCAATAACTTTTTACATCTTGTTAATTTGGTAAGAGTTGTCTTTTTTCTTATTTTATTGCTGTATCACTTTAGGTTTACAAAATTAGGATAATATAGAAACTTCTGAAGCATAGATGCATAAAGTTGTTTATTGGCTACAATTTGCAACTGCTGAGGTATATGATACCATCTGTTTTTTTTAATGTCATTGTGTTACAACATTCATACAAGTTTTTGTCTTCTGGTGGTAGGCTATGGTACTAGAAGTGCCGAAACCTTTAGAAAATAATTTTTTGTTTAAATGCTACTGTAATAGATAACCTTGTCGTGAGTACCAGCACCTTTTTAACACTTTGTAGGGAGTATAAACACCTTTTTAAACACTTTGTGACGAGTACCAGCACCGTTTTAGACACTTTGTGGCGAGTACCAGCACCTTTTTAATTATCTGACAAGTAAATAAAAGGGGGGGAAAATACTATGCTTAAAAATATATAAAAACACATTGATTGCCAACTATACTTTTATAACTAAATTGTAGCTCTCTAAAGAGGAGGCAGAAAGTTACATCAAGATTCTTGCAGCCATGGTTATGGAGAAAGACGAATGGCAAGTCATGTAAGTTCGGAATTTGTTTGTCTTGTCTGTTGCTTAGTTTCAGCATGTATTCTTTATTGTTTCAATGGTATTAAGATAAACTAAGCATCAAGTTGCATTTCTAAAGATATTGAATTATGGTTATCCTATATTATCAGCGATAGAGACAGTTAGAAACATTTTCTTTGTGACACCGAGCCTTACAGACATTGGAAATTGTGAAAACAAAAGCATAAGAATATTTAATTCATGAAAGATATGTTTACATCGATATTGGATTGTCATTTAAGAACATGAATCCAGGCGAAAAATTCTGCAATAAAATTGGATTTTCAGCTAAAATGCTTACTGGTCGAACGGTTAGAGTGTTAGGCTCTTATGCCTGAGACCTGGGTTTGATCTCCGGTAAGGAGGGAGGTTTTTCTGTCAGGGGCAAACTAAAAATCCTAATCTGCACAGTTTATGGTGACTGCACTAGCCATGTTGTTCTAAATGCCTAGGCTGAAACCTCCAAACTGAGTCAAGTTGAGTTAAGAATTGACATCACAGCACTTGGGGCTTTCCCGAGCATGCTCCATCCTCATCTTCAGCAGCCAGCGCAGAGTTCCAATACTGATGGTACCGGTCACAATCTTGTTATATGTTCGTCTTGCTTTTCCTCTGAGTGTAGTGAGCCAGCCAGACCCTCTGGTTACACCCTGATGCCTCTTTCTCTCCAGGTGGTAATAATCTTATATCTTTACTGATTCCGTTGCTTGTTTCCCAAAGGGCCTTGACCACATCTGCCTTGTCATGTATCAGTTCACCACCAAGTGGTGCAGATCCAACAACCCTCCCCATGCACCCTAAACAGTCAGTGCAGGCAGTAAAGACAATATACAATCAACGGTTGGAAAATACATTCTTCAGATATTTTTGTCTTTGAGCTCAGATTTTTGTTGTTGTTACTTACTTTAGAATTGTGGCAGATTGCAAGAGTTAAACAAAAATATAATAAAACATTATTTCTTTCATCTCTTACACAGATCAGACAACCTGGTTAAGAAAGGGAAACAAATTGAAACATGTCTGCGACAGCTGCAACACATTTCATCATCACCGTTGCACAGCTCAACACTGGAGATACAGCGTTCAGTTTTGTCTCTGTTTCTTCGATTGGCTTATTTCCGTGTTAGCAAAGGAACAAAAAAGATTGAACATGTAAGCAGCTTCTTTGTTCAAAGACTCATCTTCACACCCTTTTTTTTAATTACTGTTTTTAATGAAAATGATAGCCATTAGTAGCAAATTAACAAGCTGGACTTTTTGTTACTAGATTTTGTCATACATTCCTAACTGCCCTGTCAGAAAATGTGATAAGTAGAAACAAAAAAGACACTGCATGTGTTGAAGCCAAGTATTCACATGCCCAGGCTCTTGTTGCTGTTGACCTGCTAGCATAGAAAGAAGTGACACAAAAATAAAAGGTAGGCAGATCATAGTTTCTGTCTTAACTGCTGTAAAGCCTTAACTCAGAAGAAGGAAATACAGAAACATTAGAAACTGAATGGGTTCTGGGATTCATTTAGGGGGGGGGGGGAATAGAGCACCACCACGCAACAAGCATGTCATAAAGGCAACTGATCAAAAGTGCTTTGTTTGAAGATGGAGTGCATCATCCTGAGATAGGAGAAACCAGCAATCTGCACACACATAAGTCAGATATGTAATATTGATATGCACAGAACACTCAAGTTCTGGTACAAGACCAAAGTCCTGGCTGAACAACCAAAACTTTCCCCTGCAGTGTGTACATATGAGTCCGTTTTTGATAGTATGCAAACATTTGTATTTCAGTGTGAGAGCTGTGTCAACCTGCCAGAGGATAGTGCAGCACGCAGACTGTCAGCAGCCTTCATTCACAAGGTCCTGGACAGTGCCTTGACACTCTTCACTGGTATGTCAGCAATACATCTTATACATTACCTATTAGGCAACTGAGTGTCTGACACCTGGTACCAGCTTAAAATGTTGGTGAGACACCTTCTTTATATTTTAATTTATGACAGGAAATGAAAGCTGACACAGGACACTTGCATTGAGAGCAAACCCAGGCAGTGATAGTGACAGACTCAGAGAGCATGCTTAACTCTTTCAGGCCCATGAATTTTGACAGACTTGGTCCACATTAATTTCCCTTTACAAAAATGGCAGAGGGGTCGGTGTACAAGAAAGGCTGTAGAGAATGTAATATACTTCTAATCCCAATAAAAGTATATATATTTCTTAAGAGAAATGAATGTACATTTTGAATCTGATGATAAGTGTATGTTTAATTTGTTTATAGTTAGTAGGAAAGAAGAATTCAGCAGGTGTTAATTTCACAAGGACAACATTTCACAAACCAATTCTTCACTTACCATGGTTTTGCAGCCACAAGAGTAGTGAATATCCAAATTTGAGGACAAAACTTCAAAGTTTGTTTAATTTCCTAACAAATTCCAAAGTTATGATAAATTTCTCGGTTAGTTTAGCATTCAGGGGCTCTTAGTTCTTACAAAGTGCTGAGCAAAATTTCAGAAAGAAAAAAAATGACAGAATTATGAGCCATTACACACAGACTATTTACTATTTATTTACTTTGTACAGTTATCTGTGTAATAAATTCATCAGAATCGCTAAATTCCGAACAGCTGATCGCTCAGCTTCGCTGGTGGAAATTTGATTTCCAAAAGATCTGAATTTTTAAAATCATTATCAGAATTAAAAACATCTGACTGAAACAATTTCAGAGCTGCAGACGCATTCTGCAACCTGTACTTGTCGGTTGGAACATTGGTATTCATGGCACTAAAAAACAAACTTAGACAATGCACTGTTAAAAAAAATTTCACTATGGATCCGATCAAATTATGCTCGTGTGGCTTCTGATAGGGAATGTAACTAAAAGGATTTCAGCAGAGTGACTTTCCCTGAATAGTCTAATCGTACTTCCAAAGATTAGAAACAAGTACGGAGCTGTGTGCGGGACACACGATCGACGATGACAGCATTGTTTGGGCAAACGGAACTTCTCAATCAACGCTCACACTGTTGCTCGGGCCTTAAAGAGTTAAGTAGATCCAAACTGGCAGTTTCTGAGTAGAGGGGTTGACAGCATCCAGAAGTCCCGCCTCAAAAAACGATCTCGGCGTACATACCGGGGTGAACGGAAATGGGAGCCCCAGCAAACTGGCCATGTCTCCAGTAGTTTATGGAGGAAGAAGTAAGGACAGGTCAGACATACCGAATGTTCTGTATTCCAGAGACGTTGGGACAAAGGGGTCATAGAGGATTACCACCCTGTTCGAAATGGATGTCAAATGAGAACAAGTAGGCAGAAACTGACTGCTGGCCAATGAAAGAGGATATGGCCACTCCCGCTGCCTGGCAGAAACTGGCCGCTGGCCAATGAAAGAAGATATGGCCACTCCTGGTAGGTACAGCGAGCATGGGGACACTGAGATGGCTGCTGTATCAGAGAACTGAGCACAAATGTGCTGGACTGATATGCCAGAATGTCGAAACAGATCAAATGTAACAAGTAAACCTAAGATTGTTTTTCTTCTCCAAACATTTGTTTGGTTTATTTTTAACTTCTTTTGCATTCAAACATAAAAGAATGGTAGGCTTGTTGTGTTACAGTCTACAGCTAGACTGATTTGTGCCTTTTGGCCAAACACATGCAGAAAGTCCTTAACCATGTTGCCATTTCCAATATGATTGTTAAGAATTAATGGGACCGTCTCCCTCCCCCTCCTGTCAACCTGTCCCTAATTGGGCTCAGAAATCCACATTATTTTCTTAAGCTGCTTAAGCTGAAGTTTTAATCTGGTAGTTGACTTAGTTTGTTTCTATGGTTTTTTTTCTAGGCCAGCAGAAGAAATGGGATCAGATTTCCAAGTACTTGGATTTATTGTACAGTCTGGCTGTTTAATGTTCAGGTAAACCCTTTTTGATTGTTCTGTTCATTTGTGATTATGAATCTTTTTCTCAGTCTTTCAATTCTTTTCATTTAATCTCTGTCAAATATTCTACTGTGCAAGGGTCCTATTTTTAAAAGTCGAGGATCTGCTTTAAAAAAAAAATTCTTTTTAATGTAAGTGGTACATTGAGCATGTGATGTTAATTTTCATCCACCCGTCGGCACTCGGTGGATGATGTGCTTACATCATTTTGACCATCCTTGCTTCCCCCAACATTACCTGGTGCCTGTTTTAGACTGGGTCGACAAATGAGGTTCAAAGTCAATTTTGACAAGGAATAATGCCTTTGTTGCATTTCGAACTCAAGACCTTTGTGCCGGCTGGTGAGCATGGTTTTATTCGTGGCTATTCTTCAAAGTTGATGCTAGGACACCTGTAGTAAAAACAACAATAAAGTCGAAAGGAAATAATTTAGAAAATCTTCTTTTCATACACCTTCGGATGTCAGTGTATATTTATTTATTTTCTCAAATTTCAGCTCTGTGGGATCATTTGTAAAATAGTATTGTGCTTTTATTATGGCCAGAGTATTTTTATCATTGACTTGTTTTTATTTATTTCATTAGCTTTTTATTTCAAGTCTCTTCTTAATCTGTATATTTGTTTCTGTTGGAATATGACCTTTAATAAAAGAATACAATTAATGATACATTGATGAATGTATTTTTCAGGACTTGTTCACAGCCAAGCATGTAGAACCAGTCTCCCTTCTACAGCCAGAGGTTAGTTATAATTGTGGTTGAATGGCTCTCTGTCCTGTTTGTTTCTGCAAGGTTTGTGACTCCCTTGTTGTCATTATGGTTCAGCACTATCTTTCCTCATTGTCTCCCCCAGAGTTTGTGACTCCCTTGTTGTCATTATGGTTCAGCACTATCTTTCCTCATTGTCTCCCCCAGAGTTTGTGACTCCCTAGTTGTCATTATGGTTCAGCACTATCTTTCCTCATTGTCTCCCCCAGAGTTTTGTGACTCCCTAGTTGTCATTATGGTTCAGCACTATCTTTCCTCATTGTCTCCCCCAGAGTTTGTGACTCCCTAGTTGTCATTATGGTTCAGCACTATCTTTCCTCATTGTCTCCCCCAGAGTTTGTGACTCCCTAGTTGTCATTATGGTTCAGCACTATCTTTCCTCATTGTCTCCCCCAGAGTTTGTGACTCCCTAGTTGTCATTATGGTTCGGCACTATCTTTCCTCATTGTCTCCCCCAGAGTTTGTGACTCCCTAGTTGTCATTATGGTTCAGCACTATCTTTCCTCATTGTCTCCCCCAGAGTTTGTGACTCCCTAGTTGTCATTATGGTTCAGCACTATCTGTCCTACTTGTCTCCCCAGAGTTGGTGACCTGTTAAGAGGTCACTGTCCGTAAAGACAAATCAGAGGTCAGTAGTTGAAACCATGATTCTGGAAGCAGTATGTACGCTGTCTTAGCCAGTCTAATGGGTGAACTTGTTGACTGCGTGAAGGTTATCAAAGTCCAGAGTCCACAGACTATTTCTTGCTGGTCCTTAAGGCACACTGCTTGCTTGATAAGTTCAAAGATTCAGTGTACAAGAGTGAGGGTAAGCAGGCTGTGATGATTCCGTGAGGGAACCTTTTACCGGAGTATTATTGTTGAGTCCACATTTGGGGAAGTCTTCTAGGATGGTGGAGATTGTCTATAGGCTGCCCCTGTCCTTGTCTAAATGATGCCCCTGTCCTTGTCTATATGCTGCCCCTGTCCTTGTCTATATGCTGCCCCTGTCCTTGTCTAAATGATGCCCCTGTCCTTGTCTAAATTATGCCCCTGTCCTTGTCTATATGCTGCCTCTGTCCTCCCTTGAGGGCTGAACAGTGTATAAGCAGTTGTCCTGGACAGGCCAGTTGCAACACAACTTTTGGTTGAGACAGCTAAGATGGCATCACCATTCTGAGATAACAGAATATCCTACACAACTGCCTGAGAAGATTGACCTGGTTGTCAAATGAAAGGGAAAAAGCTGAATGTGTTGGCCAGATATTGCAGCACAAACTGGCACAGCAGAAAAATATTGTGGGGGGGGGGGGGGGGGAATGTGAGTTTTGATTTACGAGGAAGGTCCCCGTGTGGGTTCTGTGGGCCCACTTTTGATGGGGGGAAAGAATATACCCACTGCCCCTGCAATGCACAGGATGTTAACGGTGACTAATTCAGTCTTTTCTGATATAAAATGTGTTGGGCTGAAAAGTACAGATCTCACAGCCTTTCTGTAAAACTACAATGCACCATACTAGCTGCCCTTTTAACGACGATAGCATAGGTAGTAAGAGGAAAGACGAGTGTTAAGGAAAGTAAGTATGTGTGTACTGGGTGCCTATGTGTTTGTGTGTAAGTGAGTGATTGGGCTTGTGTGTGTATGTGGGTGTGTTTGCGCGTGAACGTGCGCACATATTTTACCACCCATGCTTTTGTTTTTGATTTCATTTCCATAATATGCGTATCATTACATGAATATAACATGCTTTATTGATGAAATACAACTGCTGTGTGAAAGATGGAAGTTTGGAAGGGCCGAATGTAAGACAGGCCTGCGTGCCTAATTTGTAACCCTTTGAAAATAAAGTTCGTTCGTTCGTTCGTTCTCAAATGTTCATTTGTTCGTTCTTTCTGTTTCTTACTTGATTTTATAGCAAAGATTTGATATTGCAGGTAAAGAATGAGTGGCAGAAGCTGTTGGATTTCTGTAAGACGATCAGACAGGTAAACTACATGTGGTTTTTTAAAATGTTTCTTGTGTCTTGCATAAAGAAATGAGAACAGAAACCTCACATTTTCTGTAAGAAGCAGGTGGTAACTGTAATTATATTACCAGTGCCAGACTTGACATTATCAATGGCTAACCTGTGTAAAATTAACACCTGTGAAATGAGATGCTTGAGAAGAGCCGTCAGCTTAACCATCCGAGACAAAGCTAGAAATGATATTATCAGACTGTGGGAACAACTCCATGCAGCAGATTAATTGAGACACAGAAGATCAAATGGTTTGGTCGTATAGGAAGAATGTAGCCAGAACAACTACCCTGCAGGCACTACACATGAAGAGATTTGAAGTAAAAACAAGAGGCTGGCCTAGAAGAATATGAATCGATGACTTTAAAGAGTTTCGACATTTACATAGAATATTTGTAGAACTAATTGTGGGTGTTACCACTAATTATGTGATATTGCCACCATTTGTGTAGTGCTACCACTTAAGTATATATTTTCTTGTCTTCTACTTCTTCACTTCCAGTTACTTTCTTGAAGTGTTGATGGAGAGGGGTTGTCAGGATCTTCTTTGTGCTGTGTGTGTTCTTGATGTTGTTCCATCTTCTTTGTGGTCTTCTTTGCTTTGTGTCTTTTGTATTTCTTGAGTGTGGCTCTCTGTGACAGCCGGTATCAGGGCATTCTCGTCAAATGGCCAAACTATCTCATGTGTTGCTCTTCAGTAAACTCTGGTTTCACTCCTAATCTTCTAATTTCTTGATTTGTAATGCTACCTCTTTTACTCCTGCAGCCCTTCTAAGACATGTCATTTCTGTTTGCACTGATTTGATGCAGTAGGGGACCCTTTTTTTTAACACTGTAGCTTGAAGGAAATAGTTCTTATTAGATTTGCCCTAAAGCTTGATTAGTTCCTCTCTGTTTTTCCAGATAATAGTGTTGTATTGTGCTGTGAAGAGGCATGGGACTCACAGCCCATGGCGATGGAAACTAGTCCCTTACTAGACGAAGATGTACTTGTGTGTGTCAGAATTGGTGTTATACGTTTTTAAGTTGTTACATTAGTGGTTTTACAAAAGCTGGAAGCATTCCATTATAGTGAGGAAATAGTCATGTAAGGTAAGAAATAGCATCTGTTGTCTTCTGCAAGATCTCCGTCTGCCATATTTGTTTATTTAATGCATCCCTTTAGAGGCAGAGCTCAGTGGATGCTGTTGTGATCGTCAGTGTCATGATACAAGATGTTCGTTGTATCAGTTACAAATAATTATTACATTTCACCTGAACAGAGCCCAGAAGCAGGAAGTCAAGGACTAGATTCCGGGTTTTTGCTACTAGCTCTCTTTCTGGGATTTCACATGCTGACTGACTTTAAAGTGGCGGAGGAACTGCTGCAGGTTAGTGAGCTTTACGTTTGCTTTGTCATATCTCAGACTTATGCTTCTTGTCATTTGTCTGTAGATTATTATTGTCACCATAAACCCATAATCATTTGTGCTACTTGTTGACATTTTTGTAGAAGAGACTGGGACCCAGGTCTACCTAACTTTCATGTGGTCATCATTCCTCTCTGTGGATATGAAGGGCCAGTATTGATCTTCTACACTTTGTTCAGTTCTGAGTTAGGGCAGGAGAAAGAGAACCCTGTAACAGTCTCTGTGGTGATGCTACTTTGGTCAGAGGTTGGGAGGGTAGTTTCTCCACTGACCTCACAGGAATCAGAAGAAATGAACGTCGGCTCGTCACACATCTGGAACTTCCAGGGCTCTTCAGAGGCAAACAGAAAATAAAGGGTTGTGTAGAGAATAAAACAGATGTGTTCCTAGTGTCATCGCTGGGATAAAGGGTTGTGTAGAGAATGAAGCAGAAGTGTTCGTTGTATCATCGCTGGGATAAAGGGTTGTGTAGAGAATGAAGCAGAAGTGTTCCTAGTGTTATCGCTGGGATAAAGGGTTGTGTAGAGAATAAAACAGATGTGTAATTAGCTGACTGACCACTGGAATTACAAACTTCTCAGAGAAATGGAACCTATGTGGGCCAGCCCCTAGTACTGTCATTGTGGTGTCTGTTGCTACTGAGTTGTGTATCAGCTATGTCGGAACCACATTTGAGAAATTATTACAATTCTTTTTTCTGTATCTGTTTTTCTAAACAGGATGTCTATGTCTGCTATGAGAAGACAAAGGAGTCAGAGGCAGAAGATGCAGCAGAGGATGAGAACGGTGAGTGGTCATGTGGAGCTGATCTGAGTTTAATAATGTCATCAAGCTGTGTGTGTTTGTGCAAGTGGTTGACGGAACAAGAACTGACCCCAGCACGTTTTGTCCTGACAAAGTTTCCGAATCGTAAAATCTTTATACAGCAACATATGGGAGGGGTTTTGACGGCCAGAGGCTTTGACTGCCAGGCCCCCTTCCACCCCCCCCCCCCCCAACAATCAAACCTCAGCGTAAAGTAGACAAGCAGTAACAGTGAGAGGGAGAAATATGACGCAGTCATTACACAGTTCAGTGGTGTGTGGCCTAATGTCATATAGTGATAATATACGATTTCGTTTGATGTTCTAGTGTCCCATACATCTGGTGAATGTGTTAGTTTTGTGATTTCTAAAGCAAGCTGGACACTAAAGGAAGTGCTGTTCAGCAGTCACACATGGATATTATATATATATATAATCTAACTAGCAGGGACAGAGCGTGGCATTGTGCATGCTAATTAAGTTGTACGTTTGGGTTCAGTCCCATAATAATGTTCTTTTGTGTGAGTTTATCAGCATTGTGTTGTATTGCATTGTATGCTGATATTCTTCCCCCAGAACCACAGTGGATTGAAGTGATTGTCGAGGTGCTGCTGAAGTTGATGTCCCTCCATTCCCACCTGGGGCGAGTCATTGCTGTCTGCGTGTTTCGTTTGTTGTCTGAGCACATCACCCCGTCTGCTGTTGCTCTTATAACTGAGGTAAACATTTGTGAACTGTTAAAACTAGGATAATGTCAGAATAGATCTGTATATCTATATACTTGTGTCATGCAGTTAGAATACTATAATCATCCTCAAGCAGGATCTTTGCAGAATGTCGCTGTCGTCACAGCCGGCCTGAATGAAATGCAGTCTCTTGCCAGCTTTCCTGCTTCTTATACCCAAGGAGTCACTTTTAGTGTGTGCCCATCTTCTTGCTGGGCTACCTCTGATCCTCCTTCTTGGTACCATTCCTTCTGCTATAATTTTTTCCTGTCAGCCGTGTTGCTTGATATGGATCAAATGTTTCAGCTTCCAAAACAAGATGCTGTTTACCAACCAGTCTTCCTTAATGTTCACATTTTTTTAGGATGTCTATTCTTCTTTGTCCAGGGTATTATTAGAACACTATGCTGCATAATGCAACTAATTTGTAGATTATCTAATGTTAAAAAAAAACTTTTTAGATTGGTGAATTTTTTTTTATTTTTTTATTTCTCATTCAAATCTCAGCATGAAAATTTCCAGTAAAAATAGTATTTCTTTTGAGGCTGGTGATATTCTTGTAGAGTTTTTGGTGAAATAATTTGGTTGATTGATGTCCAGAGTATGCAAGTTTTTTTTTTTATCCATATAAACAAACTTGCTGTAAACAAACTTGCTGTAAACAAACTTGCTGTAAACAAACTTGCTTAAGACAAACGTTCAGTTAACATGAAACACAATTTTGGTCCTAGCAAGAATTTTTAGTACACATTTGTTTTAAACATAAATTCTTGATCTTTTTGTAGCTGTCCCCTGTGTTAACGAGATTTTATTGTAATTCTAGTGCTAGTGGGATTGTGTCACAAGGAGAAATCTGAAAAACCAACTTTCAGATAACATAATATGTCTTGTGTGTTGTTTGCCTTTAAGCAATTTTCTGTTGTTGGTTAAAGCTATAATTTTATTGTATCAATGTGGTTGCATTAGTGTTTCATTCCCATGCATCCTTCTTTCAGGTTCTTATTCCAAAGAAGACTCCTGGAGGGGGAGCGGATGATGTTTTAGTTGAGACAGACACTGAAGAAAATCTGGATGACGAGGCTGAAGAGGCTAATGATTCCACCAGTGACTCCAGTGATGAGGATGAGCAGGAACCAATGGACGAAGAAAATCTGACACCTATAGCTGAAACTTCTGATGATTCTCATCCTCAACAAGACAATTCTGGTGATGACAGTGAGGTAAAGATGGTTGACACCTCTATAGGTTAAGGGTCTTGTTGCTGAAGTGGTATAGAAGGCAAAACTTATTATCTGGCTACAAGAAAGATAAGAACAGTTAAAAAGAATGTGTTATTAAGTAAATACAAACATTTATTAACTTAAACTTCTAAATATTGTCTCATTTACAAAATCAAGGATTCTTTATATATTTAATTTAAAAAAACATACTTAAACTTGCCATCAAATGCTTTATGACAGGCTTAATTATTTATACCTGTTTGTGTGGGCATTTTTTGGATGCCTATATGTTTTCTGTTCTGTTTATGGTTTTAGTCTGAAGTCACCCTGTGTTGAGGAGGGAGAGGTGGATCTGCTAATAGATGTCTTTATTTACCACTTGTGTGGTGGTAGAGGGGGGCTTTGAGCATGATGAATTAGAGCCACATAGCTATTGCAGGTTAGGAGCTTATTTTTGCCCCCAACTGAAGAAAAAAAAAGCAATGTCCATACAGAGGATTCAAACCTTGGGCTCCCGTATTGGGCCAAGTATTCTTGACCATTCAACTAGCCACTCCAGAGATGAACCCACTGCTCCTTAACAAGGATGTCATTAAAGGCACTAATAAAGGTTTGAAATCGAATGTGCTTGGCCAAAAACTACAGATATCTCAACTCATCAGTAAACCACAACACAGTACGCCCTTCTAGGGGCTATCGCAGAAGTCTAAAGTTGCATCATAATTTTAATGGTGCCACCACCCATGGGGAAGTTATTATTCTGTGTTGTTTTTTTTCCAGAGCTTGCCAGATTTGAGCGACTCTGAGATGTTCAAGATGGATGCCATGCTGGCTGAAGTTTTTAAACAGAGACAGCAAAATTCAGGAAAGAAAGTCCGAGTGGAGAAAAAACAGGAGCTGATCAACTTTCAAGTCAGGTAAATATTGTTGAAAAATTTCAGAAGCCTATCCCACTTTAGTGTCTAGAGAATTAAAACTTTACGTAGATGTAAAGGATATATCTATCTTGCCTAATTGCCGTCTAAATGGATATGATGTGTATACCTTTCATGACTTGTATTCAGTGGGTGTTCTGGATATATTTATCCACACAATCCTATGAACTGTACACAGTGGATATGATAGATATATCTATCTGCAGTGAAAGTAGAACAGTCAACACCCTTTTGGCAGTTTTTGCTTTGGGACTTCTTGTTTCATCAGTATTACCCATGATTCCCTGCGTCATGCTGACCACATCCCCCATCTTGTGCAATTGGTCTATAAAAATATAGGTCTAGCCCTATGTGCCCTATGCCACTGAAGGTGTAGAAAAGGGTCCTTTACTTTACAATTTTTGCTTACCCATTATTCAAATCCACAGATCCAAATTAATAAAAGAAGGCATTTTGAGAGAATATGTTTGTGTGGCTTTGTTTCATTTGAATGAACTTCTTGAATCTTTTTCCCAGGGTCTTGGATCTGTTGGAGATATTGATCAAAGGAGACAGATGTGGAGATTTTGTGTTTGTAAGTATCAAAATGATATATTCTTTTTTATTGGGCTAAACATATATCTCTGTGGTTGATAGCACTCTAGGGTACAAGGGCATTTTAACACACACACACAATTAGTTGTACATCCTTTATAGGGGATGCATACCAACCCACCATTTGTTGGCTGTTCATGGTTTTACTAGGCAGATTTGCTTTAGTAATTTGCCATTGCCTTTTGAATTGTTGTCACTCATACTTTTATCGACACAAAGCAGTCTTTTGCTAGTTTTGGCTACTTTTGTATACGGTGCGTTTCGTGTATGAGGGAAGCTGATTATCGGCTATTTTCATCCAAAATGGCTTGCTAAAGGCCAGGGAAGGGCGGGCTGTGTTGCAGCCCATGAATACATGCAGACAGCGCGGCGTGGCATGTGGCAGGAAGGAGCAGCTGCGTCTCATGTTTGCCTGTGCCTTTGTTTCTAGCGAGTCCGGCAATAGTATAAATAGCTGAAGGAGGTATTTAAAACCAAAACCAAATTGCTTCAAAAATTTATAATGGGAATTGTAGATTTCCAGTTGATGGCAGATTTCAGTGGAATCTACCACAAATTAATTAAGGTGTCTGCACCTTAACCCTTAGCCTTGAAGCAGCTGGAAAATGATGTATATCCATAATAACTTCCACATAACCGAAGGTAACCTGTTCTAGTTTTATTTTTTAAGTTTCTGTGGGGGTTTGTTTGTTTTAGTATCCAGAAGCCATGAGTTGTTAACCCTTAGGCTCGGTATTATGGATATCGCAACCTTTTGGCCTTGATTCCATTGTAAATACCGTAAATCTGGGAGAAATGTGGCTTTTCTGCCTACCTCTGGGAGTGAACCCAGACCACAAGGAGTTCGTCACCCGCTCACCGCGCAATCCGGTTTAGCCAACTACGCTAGAGAGCCGGGCTTCTGTGGGGGTAAACATGCTTTGTCTTTGAAACGGTCTGCCTAAACTTTCTAAAGATCAGAATTAACCATGTTTTACTGTAGTATTTTGTACGATTTGTTTATGTTTCTGTAATCATTTGGCAGAAGCTGTGTTTATCTATTCTTCTTTATTTATAGAATCTACTGAAGCCCCTGGTTACTTTGATGCTGAAATCTGGCAACACTGGGACCCAGGTCCTGGCCGACAGAGCTAAGACCTTGTTTACTCTTCTGAAATCCAAAGCTAAAGTAAGTTTGTGTTTACTGGCAAGTTAACCCTTTCGCTGCTACGTTCTTGGAAATAGTTGTCCTCCCTGTGCTAAGCAATGTGAAAAAAAAAGTCTCTGCTGTGCGCAATACTTTTCTATCCTCTAAACGCAAAAGATGCGTCCGCGGTGAGGGCTATGTTTTGTACACCTAAAAAATTTTACCCTTGGGAGTTGTGTGGTTGGTCCGAGTGGTGACAAGTCAGAGGCACGATGGTGCCCCACAAACTTGACTAACGGAGCTATCACCCTTCGGGGGGGAGAATTAATGGGAGGAACTGTTCCCAGTCTGAATCCCAAAATTTGATTGACGAACCTACCACGGCTGCCACTTTAATCATATTTACTTATAGTCACATGTTATTACATACCAAAATAATAATTTAAAAAAATAATCATAATAATACTCAAGTCGTCCGTTGCTGAAAAGTAACAGGAACTCAAAGGAAAATTTACAATTAATTTAAAAAAAAAAAAAAAAAAAAACTTCGGGGGGTTGAACACACGACCCTCCGATTCTAAGGCGAACGTGATACCAATTACACTATGCAACCGCTTGATGCATTGCGCTGGGTAAATGATCATAATGAATGATGTGCGCAGACTATCAATAATGTGTCTAAGTTTGTAGTCTATCGCCGCCTGCATAAGCACTGTTGTCTAAGAAATGTTTGAGATTCTCAACAATAGTAAAAATATGTCCCTCGACATTATTTTACGGGAGTTTTTAAGCAAACAGTCTTTGCTCAAGTACTCTATTTTGAGTTTCTTTGTTCTAAGCATTAGCAGACAGACAGAAAAAAAAAATTAGTTCGTCCGAATCTGTGTCTGTCCATCGGGAAAGACGAGAAATTTTAGTGACTTAACTGTTTGAATTTACAGTAGCAGAAATATAGATAGAGCTGGAGTCATCCAAATCATGCACTACTGGTTTCAAATCATCGGTTCATCAAGACAACTGATCAATTTATTGCCGTTTTGATGCCGCTTCATTGTCGCTGCTCTCTGATTCCGACATGAGGACGTCGGACAGGCAAACAGCTTTTTTTTTGGACACGCCGGTTTCAGCAGTCGATACTGATGGCCTAGTCAAATCTTCTTGTTCACTGTCAGAAGTACACATTTCAAAGTCATCGTCGCTATCACTTTTGACAGAAACTCCATCAATTCTTCATCAACTTTAACAAGTTTTCTTGCCATTTTGTACTAAGTGTAGAATAATCTAAAAGCACAAATATATATCAGGGCACAAAATACACAGATCACCGACCATGCTGTCACGGTAAACAAAGCAACGGGATAACGCAAAATGCAGTAAACACACCTTAAACACGCCTAAAAGTACGTGCAAGTGCTTTTAATCATATGTAAATGGGTCAGTTTTATCTAAATATAGCTAATGTATATTGCCCTTCAGTCAATAAAATACGAGGTAACAGAAATCTGTAAGAAAAGTCCAAAAACGGCTTAGGACGTCCATAGCACTGGGGGTCAAGAAAAAAAATAACGTCCAAAGACGGGCGTAGCAGCGTACGGGAAATCGGGAAAAGACGTCCATAGCAGCGAAAGGGTTAACTAAAATGTCATAATGTGTACAGTGGGGCTGAGTCATCAATTTTCTTTCTTCCAGAAATCCAAGGCAAAGAAACTGCTAAGCTTAGCTGGCAAGATAAACTTGTTCTATAAATGTAACTAGCATTTTTACAATTTCACACTGCTGAACATTCATTGTTATTCCTTTGTAACAAAAATATACCGGTCAAAGTATTTTAACCAGCTGGTGCAGAATCCATGTAACACTGTAGGTCATATTCTGACATATTTTGTAACACTGTAGGTCATATTCTGACATATTTTGTAACACTGTAGGTCATATTCTGACATATTTTGTAACACTGTAGGTCATATTCTGACATATTTTGTAACACTGTAGGTCATATTCTGACATATTTTATCTGCAGGGTCTCAAGGACAGCATCCACTCAGCAGAAGACCAAAAACAGTTGTTCTTGGAGTTGTTGGACTTGGCAAAGAAAGGTCAGTCGCATGGATGTAGTTTTGGTTAATTAAGTTAGTTGATCTTCCAGAAGACAGTTTTAACTTGTTGTCTTGAGAAGAGTTAAAATCTTAGGAAGTTAGTGTCAAACAACAGAATTATGAATAACTGTCTGATTTTGATAAAGGATTCTTCTGCATTTGTAAATCAGTTATTAGCAACAGGTTATCCTGTCTTTTTTGGTAAAGTTGTGTAATTATTTCATTCCGCTGTTCTCATCAGTTCTCTTTCCTTCTAGATTTTGCAGCTATGTGTACATTTAATCCATTTCTCATTGTGACAAAGGCTACATTTTTTTTATATATTTCAGTAGTTGTCTGTACCTGTTGGTGTCTAATAATTTGTTTAGTTGATCTCTTTTCCATCCACATTGTTCTATCCATCTCGCTCTGCGCTGTTATGTTTCTAAAGAAGACAGGTTATTTTAGTCTGTTATTAGAGCAGTGTAGTGCTGAGGCAAAGAATCTATATCCTCCTCTTCATATCAGTGTTGACATATCAGACATTCACAACTGATCTCCCTTGCTACTTTTCTGCATACAGTATCCCATGTCATTTTACATACCTTCATTTATCTTTCTTTTTCTTCTGCATTAATCCACAAACTTAAATGCATTGTGCCTGTTTACAGCATAGCTGCGATATTTGCAACTTTTAGTTGACACATGTAATTTGTCAGGTTTTCCAGTTAGTTTTGTGATTTCTCTTTCTACTGTCCTCCAGCTTTCCTTAGATCGTCCACATCTCCCTGGTCCCCCGGCCGCTCGCCAGAAAGCGAACAAACCTTCTGCACACAAGTACAAGCCATCTTTATCTTCTTCCTTTGGTAACGTTTACCAGTGATAAACAGTTTGTTTTCCTCCTCAGTTTTGTTATCTGTTATCTTATTTGGCCAAAGTATTTGCTGTATTCTGCCTAGACATTTATGTAATTCCCTCTGTCATTTGACAACACTCACTGTTGCATAAAAGTAGTCCTAAAATGTTGCTTTTCTACAGTCTGAGTTTTGTCTTCACACTAAGTTTCTTTGACTTCCATATTTTGTTAAGCAAGGCAAATGCTTGATTTGCTCTGTTTATTTTTGGTTACATCTCTGTCAGAATCTCTGTTTGGAGTAACTTTACTTCTAAGTTATAGCAGTTCTTTACCTTCTTCTGTTCTAAACCGCTTGGTGATGATTTTTTTCCTCTTGGTGCCTGACTACTTGAACAATTATTCTGAGGAAAATGTGTTTCTATTATGGTATAATTTAAGGTCCAAAAAAAAATGAAGTAATATTGTAGAATTAGCTGCCAGTATATGTTGAAGGTGGCTTTGAGGAAAAACTTTAGTATATACCTTGTATTTTAAATTTGCATGACCATTTAGTGAACTTCTGAAGTCATATGTCTTCATTGGTATTTCCTGCCCTAGCGGCATTAATTGTCTCCCATATTTTCTACACGGCTAATGTTACCCCCCTTGTTTCTCCAGCAACAGACAAGCGCCACCTGCAGGACGTCTCTGTGGCCTGTTACATTCTGGTGAGTGTCAGCTAAAGTATGTTTTATGGTTTACAGCTAGGCTGTGAAATCTGCACCTTTTAGCCCAACACATCCCCAAAAAATTTATTACCCACCTTTTTACAACATGCGTGTGATGTTCTCTCCCCTTATCAGTGGAGCCCCAGGACCAACTAGGGGAGGGTGGTCTATGTGTAATATTCTTTTGAAATCTTGCTTGTCTTTGTACATTTCACATGGAAAGTTTTGTTAGTTTTTGAAATTTGTGTGTGTGTGTGTGCTGTTAGTGTATGTCATGTGTTACTTCATAAATTGTTATGTTTATCATGAGAAGTAATGTCCAGTTTATTCTCTTAGATTCTATTCTTTGTCGCTGGAGCACGTCCTGTCCAATTCAGGCCCATCTCGTTGTTGAATGTCGAGGGTAAGATATTCTTCTTGGTCATGGCTCGCCGGCTCACACAGTATCTGATGGCTAACAAGTACATCGATACGAGTGTTCAAAAGGGTGGTATCCCAGGCGTTCCTGGGTGCCTTGAACACGCGACCATAATTTGGGAGGCTATTCAGAGAGCCAAGCATGAGAGATCTCAATTGCACGTGATATGGTTGGACCTTGCCAACGCCTACGGGGCAGTTCCCCATAGGCTACTGTGGCGAGCCCTTCGCATGTTCCACGTACCGGCACAGATAAACTAAATAATCGAGCAATATTTCTCAAAGTTCCTTTGCGCTTCTCTACCTCGACGTTTACCACGAGATGGACTGAGCTGCAAGTTGGGATAGCTATGGGGTGTGCGATCTCACCAATACTGTTCGTCATTGCCATGCAGATCATGTTGGACGGGGCGGCCGGCTACGGATAGGGCCTTCAAATAGGGGATCACTGGATGCCGCTACTACGTGCCTCTATGGATGACACAACTATTATAACGGGCAGCGAGGAGGCTGCCCGCATGATCCTGGAAAGATTGGACGCGGTGATCCAATGGAGCGGTATGCAGTTCAAACCGCAGAAGTCGAGGAGTCTGTCAATCCTTAGGGGTCGAGTGGCGGCAACCAGTTTTACGGTGGCAAGGAATAAGATCCCCACGGTTCTGAAGTTATCTGATAGAGTGGAGGTCCGGCGAATACACGAGTCACTGGCTACAGGCCTGCTCGCGATCGATCGTTGCAGGCTGGTTGGGAAGTTCAAGGTATGGTGTCTCCAATTCATGTTGATTCCAAAGCTCCTCTTGCCGCTGTTAGTCTACGAGGTGACGATGACTGCAGTAGAAACCATGGAGAGGAAAATCAACACAGAAGTGGAGAGTCCTCAATGCGATTGAATCTGCCCAGAATGCACTAAAATTGAGAGAGATAATGGGTTACACTCAAACCGACCGTCGAGGCCTAGGTCACGGGAAGGTCAATTGGTGGTCTAAGGCCACTGCCAAAGAACGCAGAGACATGGTAATACAACAGGTTAGGGACAACGAAAACGAGATTCGGGTCCAGAAAGCAGCCCAGCAGTCGCAGCAGGGCCATTAGGTCAGCCTGGAGAGCGCATTGCCGAGAGTACTCACATGGGGTGAGATCTGGCGAATGACCCCGTTGCGATTGAGCTTTATCGTTCGTTTGGCGTACAATGTATTACCGTCCGGTGTTATGGTTAAGTGGTCTGCGACTAACGATCTGACTTGCCCGCTGTGCAAAGCAAAGCAGACGCTGGAGCACGTCCTGTCCGCGTGCAGGAAAGCCCTAGGCCAAGGCCGATATACCTGGCGACACAACAAGGTGCTAAAAGAGTTAGCTGCCGTTGTTGACCAGGCTAGGATGCGGGCTAACGCTAGAGCCAGTCCAACCATCGTCCCTATACGCTTCCTCAAGGCTGGGCAGATTCAAAAGGGTAAGATCAACAAAAACGCATTCGCTCCATCTGTGCTAGACTCTGCGAGGGACTGGTTACTGGCGGTTGATCTGCCGGGCCATGAAAGGTACCCTGAGTTAATCCGGAAGACCAGCCTGCGACCTAACATAGTTCTCCACTCTGCGGAAAAACGGCAGCTCATCCTGATTGAGCTGACCGTCCCGTATGAGTCGCGTATGGACGAAAATCACACGTACAAGCTCGAGAAATATGGTGATTTAGCAGCCGGTCTGAGGAGAGACGAGGCGTACACAGTACGGGTCTTTGCCGTCGAAGTGGGAGTGAGAGGCCTCGTCTCCACTTCGCTCTACAATGTGGTTAAAGAACTAGGATTGTGCGGTAATGAACGTAAACGGACACTTAAGCGGCTGGACGAGGGCCTCGAGCTGGCTTTGGACGCAACGGAACAACGTAGGGGACGGGCCTCGGTGAGCTGGTGCGGGTGTCTAGCGGAAAAAAGTTTCTCATCCCTTGAAAGTCCATCATGTCCGAATTGTATGCCAGTGTTCCTCTGCCACCTGCTAATAAAAGTCTAACATGTGTCCGGTATACCAATCGTAAGCTTGTCGCTGGGTCGTCCAGGTATGCAGACTGCTCTAATTATGCTACCGCGGCGGCTTCTTATTTCACAGTGCCCTCTGCAAAATCACCAAGTCGTCTTGTCCCTATCCGAAAGAAAAACACCATCCGGTAATTTTGTGCAGCAGGGAACCAGCCCTCAGCTTCATGAACTCAGATGGGCCCACTCTCTGAAAACGTCTAGGAGGTCGTGGGCCGAAACGTTTGTCGACGAGGGATAATTTCTACTGATGACTGATAGATCCCTGCTGTACTTTCTCCCCTGTGAGTTAATTCCTTTTTTTCAAAGTATTTTAATTACCTGTAAAATAAAAATCTGTCAGTTTTATAGTTTGTCCAGGCCTGTTCACTGTGTGTGGTTTTTCTGATACTTTTGTTGCTCATCTGTTTGCATTCGTATTCACTTATATCTGTGCTATTTATCTGTAAATAATAATGCATTTTTGGATAAGATTCACCGTTATTTTGTTATCATCATTATAATTTTTATGATGGCAGTTAAATTGAGGCCTAAAACAAAAAGTGAAAACTTACTATGCTTGTTGTAAGAGTTTTTTTTAAATTAACCTCTTTATCAAGTGCAGAACACACCAGCTCAGGTCCGATGGTTTGGTTGTGTAGCAAGTAAACAAGTGCTCCCACAAAAAGTCCTTGCAAAAACAATCAAAAACACAAACCTACATGTGCGCACACACATACAATAGAAACAATAAGAGGTTTTCATGACATACTTGTGTATTATTGATTAGTTTTACTTTAATTATATTTGGTGTGTTTCGGCTTAGTAATGTTTAAATGATTCTATATTTTTTATGTTTGAAAATTGACAGACAAGTATTAGCCTGAGTCAGTCACAGTCACAGTCACAGGTATGTATCATTGTTGGCTGTTCCCTTTCTGTGTTTTGATTAATTCCTAGTTCACAGAACCGCCTCTCCTCACTGATTATCTCCTAATTTCAACTGCTTCACTGACCCCATTTGTATGATGCTGTGCAGTATGAGTTTGTGGGAACAAAGTGTGTGGACTGTGTTCCATGTAGGGGCAGAAATCAGGGAGGGAAGGGAAAATAAAGGAAAACAATGATTGCAGACAGGTTAAGAGCTGAGCGTCTGAGAGAAAGTGCCCTAACTACCTGTGATGGCAAAAATCCTCAGCTCTAAATGTGGAAGACTTGCAGTTCACACTAGCCATCGCCATGGGTTGTGCCTCCGATGCCTCCATTAGTAAAATATAACTATCATCTGGGTTCATAAAAGGTTGGCAACAGCAGTATCGGTTTACTATAAGAAATTAACTCTTAAATTTGTAACTAACTAGTGTTAACCCTCAACCACTAGATCTTTAATTATACCAGTTATAGTGTTAACCTTTTTCAGTGTCTAACTGTAAAAAAAAATAACAGAAAATTATTTCTTCCGAATAAAAGGAATACTTTATATTGAATGAACCAACAGATATTTTTTTGTCATACAGCCGCAGATTTGGCACACATTCCTATCTATCCTACGTTCTGCCTTTCAAAACACTCATTTTCATACTGTAATTATATTTTATCTATAAAGCATGTTATATTTCTAGCAATATGCATAATATGAATACCGCATAAAACACAAAAGCATGAATGAAACAACAGTAGTTGATAAACACATTTATCATTACATGCCACCAAACCTAATGGTTGAAGCTAAGATTTTGTGGAAATATCATTTCTCTGTTAACTTTTAGTCTCTTCAGTTTATAGTTTGACAGACATTGCACCAATTTCTGTTTTATGCATTATTGTTTTTGACGGTCAGAAGTCATTTATTGTAGTATCATTTGTGTTGAGATAAGTTGTTACATGTTCTCATACCTGCTCTCATCATCATGTTGCAGGTCTTTAGCAGAATGTCGCTGTCATCACAGTCTGCCTGAAAGAAACTCTGTCTCTTGCCAGCTCTCCCGCCTCATGCACTTTTATATCCAAAAAGTCACTCATCTCCTGTGCCCATCTTCATGTTGGTCAGCCCCTGCCCCTCCTTCCTGGTACCATACCTTCGGTAATTTTTGTTGTTCCACTCCACCACGGCTCTAGTTGTGGCCACAAATAGTGTCCTTTATTAGCCTAAAATATTTCAGCTTCCGAGACAAGATGTTCTTTTTTTAGCATGTCTTCCTTGATGCACAGATTTTTTAAAATTCTTTGTCTACGGTATTCTGAGAATCTTTCTATAGAATTTCAGCTAAAAAGCCCTCATTTCCTAACTTAAGGACTGTTAGAAAGTCGACAGCTCACGTCCCTGTGTTGCTACAGGGAAGATGCATGCTCTCAAAATTTTAACGTTGATTTCTTTGCTGGTGCCTAATACTAAACTTTGATGCTGTTGAATACCCTGTTCTACATGTGTCCTATTTCCCCAGGAACCAGCAAGTTCCTGCGCACAGCTGGTGATGAATGCTCTTGAGCGGGTAATCACCAAGAAGTAAGTTCCTCTCCAGCTCCAGGTGTTGCCTGGATGCCTCTGTTTTGTAGAAGCGAACTTAAATAATCCATTGGAAAGTGGAGTATTAGTCCGTCACATGACACTTGACACTTTTTCTGTCTGGAAATATCCACACGATTCTGAAATTTGGTGGTCATCTTAGGAGATTGTATCAGTCCCAGGTCCAGACTGGGTCAAAGTCCTGCCACATGGAGGTTTGAACTCTCTGTGTGGGTTCCAAGGCCCCATGGTAATTAAAATAAAAAAGACCCACTGCCTCCCTAACAAGCATGTTCACTAATTAGGGGTTTCCTTGGAACAGGAGTGCATCTGCCTGAGAGGCAAGAAACCAACAGTCTGCCTACAGATAAGCTAGATCTCTAAAAGGGATGTAGACACAAAACTCGCAGTCGGGAACAAGACTACATTTAAGAAGTGGACAGCCAGAACTTTCAGCCGGAGTTCACAGCTGGTGACCCCCTTCTCCCAACCCTAATACGGCCCTAAACCGACACCGGGAATCTTAACGCCTAATATCTCAGTTTTGTGTTCACCTAGATGGAAATGGGTACCAATCAGGTGAGATTTGTTCCTGCTGTGCCATGTGATGGACCTGACAAGCATACAGTGCTGTAATCAACTAATACACAAGAAAGAATGTTGAACTATAGGATATGAAATGGTTCTGTCATCTAGTGAGAATGAAGGCAGAGAAAACTGCAAGGACGGCGAGGGAAAGACCAAGAAAGAGATGGATAAATGGTGTAGCTGAAGTCTGCAGAAAGATGAACACATCAACCACCCAGCGCAAAACAAATATAGAATACCATGACACTGGGCTACAACCTGGTTTGAGTGAAACAACAAAAGAAGGACATAAAAATATAAGAGACAAAATTAACAGATTTGCAGGACATCAGGAGCTTCTTCTGGCAGTGGTAAAACTTCACATGCTAGCTTGGTTTCGGCACATGGTGAGACCTAAATTGCTTAGCCTAAAGAACATTAGAGAGGGTGGGGGGAGTATTCAAAGAAGCGGGGAGCAAAGAAGAACCTGGAACAACATCAAGAAATAGGATCAAATGACTAAACACTTGTTCAACAAGCAGAAGACAGAGAAAGATGGCGAATTTTGTTTGCTACTGCTTCAGTTGATACACCTTTACGACTCTAACAGGTCAAAGGTTATGTTATGTTATTTGGGACAGATGGCAGACACTGAGTGCCATCTTGGGATACCGAGGTACTGAACCTCACCTAGTGGTGCAGGCACCAAGACCAGGGTGGATACTGGTCTACACCTGTGTACCGTCATCCTAGAAACAGGTATCTGCTAGGTCAGGATAGGATCAACATTTTCATTGAAGTCAAAGTGCTATTGCTTGAGAGGCCTAGAAGTAATCCTATAAATCAGCTATGCATGCAACACTCAAGTCCTGGGACAAGATGAAAGTCTAGTCATGGATGAACAGTGAGGACTTCCAGCAGAGTTCACGGTTGGCGAATGCTGAAGAAGTATTTGGGTCCTGATACCTTTCAGTGGCATGACAAGAGACTCCTTTCAGTGCCGCCCTCTTTCTCTCATTGTCATCATCAGTCTTTCTTTCCATTTTCTTCTCATAATTTAGCAACAAATTGATCACAGATTCTTTCTGATGTTTGTAATCATTTGTCTTGATGTTGAAACTTTGTTCAAAACATTTACATTACTCAAACAGAATTCAAAACTTCAGTCCACAATCCAGAACATCCTCTGTCTCTCTGCCCACTCCCCCTTTTTTTTTTGGAGTGAGGAAAAGACAGAAAGAGTAGTGATAGTCTCTACAAACGAACTGCTACCTTGTCATCTGAGACCATCTTATATACTAGGACATCGCCCAGTGAGATGGGCTTGCAGTTTCTTGCCGTTGTTTTACGGACTTTAAACTTAAAAAAAAAATTATTTTTTCATTAAGTATCCAGAAGCCATGAGTTGTTAACCCTTAGGCTCGATATTGCAAGCCCTCGGCCTTGATTCCATGATAAATACCGTAAATCTGGGAGAAATGTGGCTTTTCTGCCTACCCCCAGGATGAACCCGGACCAGAAGGAGTTCGTCACCTGGTCACTGCGCAGTCTGGTTTAGCCAACTACGCTAGCGAGCCGGACTTTAAAATGTTTAAAATATAAATTTAAATGTTGGTTCAATCTGTTATATCCTAATATTTTTCAGATCATCCAAGCCTTCTGTCACATTCTTCACCATGTTAATAGAACTTGACCCGGTGAGTCTCGTTTGTTTGTGTAATATAAACGTGCGAGTCTGTGGTTCTACATTGAACAGTAATGAAACCTCCACAACTATGGGGAAAAACTAAACAAGTTCCAGTGAACTGAGAAGCGAGGAAGAGATGCTAGTGCTTGATAGGGCAGATATTGAGAACACCTGATATTAGTATAAATAGAATGTCCATTTGCTGGAACCAGCAGGGTAAAAGAAATAGAGGCAGATCTAAAACATACTAAGATGAGAATTAGAGGCAGGTGAGTCAGTTTAGGGGGACATGGAACTGGCTGTAGGAGATGGCAAAACATATGTTTTCTTGGCCTGAGTTGCTTCAATGGGTTCTTTTAGACTGCCCTATGCTTCGGAAAGGTGGGGGGGGGGGGGGGGGGGGGATAAATGGCAAACAGAGAAAACAGAACATCTGAACAAAAGGCAAACATTGACAGGATCTTGGTAGCAGCCACTGGGAAGATCTCAGTCTTAAGATGGTTATGTTCACAGTTCTTTCTGAGTTAATCATACTAAACAAAAAAGGAACCCACCAAACATGTGGTGCAGCCAGAGATATGAAGCACTAGTGTATACTGCTGTGAAGGAAATTGGGTTCTTTCATAATATCCTACCCTAGATAATGTCAACAGGACAGTCCAACATTTGAGAGGGTGGTAAGACCGGCTTTCTGATGCTTTTAACAACCCCAAAACATCTAGAACTAGCCCTAACCCCAACCCACCTACATCACGCTTAAGAGTGCAGCCTAGGTCCCACGACTGCTTGCAGCCTATCTACCACCCCCTGAAATATTATACTGTCTCGTGACCTGTGGAATTCCCCTGTTTGGGTAGAATATTAAGAAAGCACCGGAAATCGTTTATAAACTGGCCATTAAATTGAAAAGAAAAGTCATAAAATACAATAAAGACTGTATGCTTTAAATACTAAACCAAATAATTATCTCTTTTTACTGTATTTAACATGTTTGAATACTGCCAGCTTAAATGCTTTTTATTATGCTTATATTTTGTAAAAATGTGGCCAATTATGTTTTAATTTTTATTAACTCTATACTGTTTGACAGTCAAAGGTGTTTATGTAAATTTGTATTCTCTTCTTCAGAGTCAGTTTCAAGAACTGGGTCCCAAGTTAGTTGAGAAACTGAAAGAAGAATCTGCCAAGCCTCACACTCGGGTAAGTGTGGATGTGTGTACAGTTGATTGCAAAAGTGGGTGTTCAGCTATGTCTGCAGAAAAATTGTGTTGAAACTCAGTCAGTTATGCATAATTAACATTTTTGTCTGTGATGTCTTTGTTACCTGCTATGTATCTATGGTTTGTGCAGTCATTTGTCTGGTCTGGTGTGAATTATGTCTCCTTTCCTTGTCCATACTTGTTAAGCATAGGTGTGAGGAGACTATTCTTGTATCCAAGGCTAAGGTTTTGCTTTGGCTGCATTGTATATGTGATTGTTAAGTCTACCTTTGAGGTTGTCTGTCCATAATTGTCTTAGTTTTCCTGTGTTGGAGCATTAAAGTTGTGAAGTACAAAATTTATTGTTGTCTAGTATGGGAGGAGGGTGGGAAATGATGTCAAGCATCACAAGAATCGGTATGCCTTTCTTTTTCAGTTGACAGAAACAGATTTTGCAATTAGATTGAACAGGATACATTGATGTTGATATTGTTGAGAAATAGGCTCATTTTGTTGCCCATTGAATGCAAAACTGTTGACTTTCCACAGATGGTCTGTTGCTTGGTCCTGGCCAGTTTGTGCAAGAAATCAGAAAATGTGAGTATTTTGTCAGATTTATTTTTATTTCAATTTTCAGTCAGACTGAGACCAAAGTTGTCAGATAAGAGCGGCACACTAAATGCACATTTACACTTGTTAGTCAATGCCAGTCTTTGCTGATGACCAGGCCATGATAGCAGCTTCAGCCATAAATTTGCAACAGCATCTGACATCTAGGAATTGAGAATGTAAAATGAATAATATGAGAATCCGCACTGAAAAGACAGAATAATGTCAATAGGAAGAAAGAAGCAGAAACTACGTATAGCAGCAGAGTGCATCACGCATTAAACAGGTGTCTGAGTTTAAATATCTAGACAGGGTTCGTAGTGGACCGGGAAATCGGGAAATTACCGGGATTTTTTTCGTTGACCTTGAACCGGGATTTTTAGCTTATAAAAGACATTCCGACCTTGAAAACCCGTGAATTTTGACCGCCGCAATGAAATCGTCAGAAATCCTGTGTTTTTCAGCACAGGCAATTTTGGGGGAGCCATTTGGCTTTTTTGGCCATTATCTAGTTTTTGGCTACTTTCGTTGTATGGTCGTTTCAGGTGTGAGGGCAGCTGATTATTGGCTATTTTCAGCCGAAATGGCTTGTTAAAGGCCAGGGGAGGGCGGGCTTTGTTGCAGATCATGAATACATGCAGACAGCAGCGGTGTGGCATGGGGCGGGAAGTAGCAGATTCCGTCTCGCGCGTGTGTGTGCCTTTGTTTCTAGCGAGTCCAGCAGAATGAACAGTATTAACCGTTTATGGCCGTGGTTTCTAGAAAGGATTACATTGGGAGATGGTGGGGCTCGGTTCAGTTGTATTTATAAATAGAGTCGACGTGGTGGGTGGGGGCTAAGCACGGCCTTCTCTATTAATTAGAGATGGCATTGGGGCTAAGTAAAGTGACTGCAGCTGGATTTCCCAGTTCTATTTTTGGCCTGGATTTATCTTTTCAGTGTGTTTGGCGATCAGTATTGTAATTCCCCGAGATTCCCTCTTCTGTTGTCTCACCCCTCTCTCTCTCTTCCCTCCCTCTTTCACTCTTCTACCTATTGCTCCTTCCTTCCGGTCTCCTGCATTGTCTCTAACCCTCCCTTCTGATCTTCATCTTCTTCTCTTTCTCTCTATCTTTCCTTTTACTCTCTCATTTCCTGTCCCCTCTCCCCCTTTTTCCTATTTTATTTCTTGTTTAAATGTTTAGTAAATGTGCGGCTCCATAACTCTTCCTAGCAACTCAAGTACACAGGAAGTTGTATTGAGGGGGGGGGGGGGGGGGGGTGAGCGCTCTGCGTGAACATGGTGGATATTTTCTTTTGGTGTGTTTGTTTTCTTAGCGGGCCTTAATCTCTGTCCATCTCCCTTCCCGCCCCCTCACATTTTGTCCTACCTGTTCCTCACTAAGAACCACCGAAAATGAGAAATTGAATGAATAAATTGATATTAATTGCAGTAAAGTAACACATAGCTCGTCACTTTCTCACAGCTTAAAACAAAATCAGCACAAAGAAATATCTCATACAAAACATATTCCCACCCAGTGCTACCAGTGCCAGACATGGTCACTCACTGGAAACCATAAAAGAAGATTAATAACCATAGAAATGTCTGAGAAGGGCTGCAGGAGTGACCAGAAGAGACAAAATAGGAATGACGTCAGAAGAGAACAAGGCACAGAACCAATTCTAAATTACATACAAAGAGAGCAAATCAGAATGGTTTGCCCAACTAGAGAGAATGCTTTGACACCACACCATACAAGGCACACACCAAAAGTGGAGAAAGAGGCACAGCACAAGGTAGACCAAGAACAATATAGAAAGATAATATTAGAGAAACTCTACAGCGGCACAGTTTGTCTGTGGTCGAGTGGCCAGAAGAGCAAGAAGTATATATTATATTTCCCTTGACATCCAGATCGGTAAAAGAGGAAATGAAAAAGAAGAAGTCAATGCCGGATGGACAGTTTGTTTCTCTTAGCTAGAAATTTTGTGTGAAAGAAATTGGAGTAATTTTGTGTACGCCTGGAGTGCAATCATGATAACCTTGAATGAAACGGTGTGATGGCCCCATTTCTCCTCACCTTCCCATCCCAGAGAATCTGGCACAAATGCTTACACCCATTCATTGATAAAAACCATTCCTCTTACTGTTTAGGATTGAACCAGGACCTTGCAGTGTGGGTTCCAGGGCCGTGTTGTTGGGGAAGACAAGAATAGACCCACTGCCTACCCAGATGCATGTCGTAAGACTCAGCTAAATGGGAACTTTCTTTGAAGGCGAGTGCATCTGCCTGAGAGACAAGCAACCAACAGTCTGCATCCAAATAAGTCAGATCTGTAAAATGGATTTGCATCCAACCCAGAACAATTTGTTGTAAGCAAACACACTAGCCACTATAGGTTGTCTAAACTTAGACCTAATTTAATATGAAACCTGGCACAGTTCTCGTTATAAACCACACTGAACAGTCGGAAGAATAAAAGTATTAAACTAAGCATCTTTAATAAGTTGCTAGGTTGTCTTTACCTTGTAAAGTTAATATCTGAATTTTGATGTTAGATGTTTTATGGCCTCCAGGTTAAAAAGACAGACTTGAAAGCTATGACACAGTGGATGAAAGAAGCTGTCCAGGTTGTCAATCAGGTGAGAAATTATATTCTTATTTCCTGTGTCCAGTGTGACCCATTCAGCCAGGACACACATTTGAGACCAGAACAGGACATAAAAGAATAGATGTACTGAAGGTGTTTCAGCCAATAAACATCCACCTTTCTCCTGTATCGATGATATAGAAGCCAAACTTGCAGTTCTGAATAAGTCTGCAAGATTTTGTTTTACTTTATTTATTGAAGTTAACAAGAAAAAAAACAGTTATTTGAATGTTTGGTCTGCTTGTCTCTCATGGAGGAGCAGCTGGTCAAGCGGTTAAGAACGCTGGACTGTCTTTAATGTGGGAGACCAGGATTCAAAACCTTGGTAAGGTCGTGGATTTAAAAAAATTTAATCCCAACCTGCACAGTCTATGGCGACAGCACTAGCCTCGTGGCCCTTAATTGTGAGCCCAAACACCCCCCCCCCCCCCCCCCCCCACCCCACACACACACACCACACAAGTGGTCAATGCAGGCACTAATGTCAGTCTCTCATGCAGTGATGTCAAATCACTAAGTATTTGTATCTGTTGGAGGTGAGATTTGTAGATTTAAATAGATGGCCTTTACATGTTTTAAGTTTTTAGGCTCTTCTTCTTCTTCGCATTCACCAGCCGTAAACACTGGTGGAATGTTCTGGTTGTTCATCCACTTCTGACTGCAGTTCTGTTCCAGAACCTGAGTGTTGCCAGTGCATCTATTTCACAGATCGGACTCACTTGTATGCAGACTGCAGGTTCCTTGCCTCTCAGGCAGATGCACTGTGACTTTAAAGGAAGCTCCAAATTAGTTAACTCTTACGACATGCTTTTTGGTAGGCAGCGGTTTATTTTTGTTTTCCCTATAACAGGGCCCCGGAATCCACACGGGAAATGTTTTTAGGTTTAGACCACAGATCAATATCATAGCACAAGAATAGTAACCCATAAGTGCTCCGTTTTACTTCTGACTCAAGCCTGAGTCGAAAGTATCTCAGCACAGTGCAGGAACTCCTTAGCACCAGCAAGGATCCTGAAATACTTTGGGTAAATTTTTAACTAAAATGGCATGTATGTTTATTTGGCAGCTGCAAGTGTAATGTGCTTGATTAACTGAACACATAACAGACAATATCTTTACCTCTGTATTGAAAATGGTTGCAGGCTTATCATGTCTTTGATTTAGATAACATTTTTTGGGCATTAACTAATTCCTGTAAGCCAGGGTTTCCCAAACTTTTCTTGGTTGCGGCACCTTATTTCAATAAAAAAAAATGTCAGGGCACCGTCACCTAAGCAAAAGTATGACTATTCATGTCTTGGTTAAATTAATTATGAAGCTTTTACAATATTGAGCGGCGCCCCTTTGAAGAGGTTGTGACTCCCCGGGGCCCCGTGCCGCAGTTTTGGAACCACTGCTGTAAGCAACATATTTCAGTGTGTCACACATTTCAGAGTTGTGATAATTACAGGGCAGGTCATGTCTGCAATGGCATATTTCATGAAATTGATTACAAGTTTCCAAAGAAAAAAAAATTGCCTCATTTGGGGTACGTGACCTTTTATTTCTGTGCTCTGCGACAATCCGTCAATTCACGATTTCTCTGTGCAGATTTACTTTTGACCTTTATTTACGTCTAGAACTTCCTGTAAGATGACCTTTAGAGCCCATGGCACAGTTTGATGTTTGTGCCTCAGGATTTCCAGCGCTTTAACTTATTCAGTATCATAGGACAGGTAAAGTAATTATAAATTGGTGCATGATTTTTTTCTTTAGGACCCAAACCATTAAAAGTCAAGACACTTAATTTTTTTCAAAATTTTTTTTCTTTTTTAAAATGTTGATTTAATACTGCCTTTGTTTTTGTATGCTGAAGAAAGGTGGTCTAATCATAACATACATTCTGTATTTGTGATTGTGTTCTTTTAAAGCTGATCACTTCCATCAGTGATGAAATTAGAGTTTTTTTAAACAAATTTTCTAACAAAGAGGAACAATCGGACCATTCACCCAAAGTCTTTATCAGTGAGAGAGACAACAAGAATATGAGAAATCCTAGACACGAGCTCCACCACAGTGAAGTCATGAATAAATAGAAAGGAATATAATCAGTTCCTTTTTTTGTTTATGTTGATTGAGTCATTGTATCATTTCTTCCTTTCAGTTGATTTTATCCCTCTACAAAGTCATTTTTTACAAGGATGTTCTGACATTGGCTGTTGCACTGCAAGCCAGACGAGATATCTTGTCAGAGGTGAGTACCAGATAGGCCGTCTTTTGACAGTTGTTGCTCTTGTCTGGCAACTCAAGATGTAGAGCAGTATTTTGCTTGGTCATTTTTTCAATGTTCTCAGGTCCTTGTATAAGGTGTGACACTGGCCTTGCACACTGTCTTTGAGAGCCGCCATGGTGTAGCGGCTAGATGCTTGCCTGCAGATCAGAAGGTCATGGGTTCAAGCCCTAATGTAGCTGGACTTTTTTTTTTTCAATGATCCTGTCTCCAAGGTTTTCCCAGCCTTGAATGGGTACCAGGTGAAGTAAAAGATGGCCGGTGTGGCGCTGGCCACATCATCCACCGTGTGCCGATTGGTCTATAATATAAATAAGCTCTAGACGTATTTGCCTAGTACACCTGAAGTTGTGGGGGAAATTTGCTCTCTTATCTGGAGACTGGCCATTTGGTCATTCTGTTCTTTGTTTCAGCTATCTACTGTAGATTTATATTTTAAACTTAACACAAAAGATGTTTTTTATGTGGCGCTGGCACATACACTCTATAAAGATCACAATGTGCCGATATCAGCAGTCCTTTCTTTAGTCATACAAATAGATATGGCAGGCCAAAGAATGTTTATACACGTTTTTGTATGTAGAATGAATGTATTTGCTTTCATAACATATTTGCTTTCATACATGTGTTTTGTCAACATTTTTCTTGTTTCTGCTGTTTTGGGGAAATTTTGTAGTTTTCTCTGGCCATTTGTTAATCAATTTAATTTGTAGTTTTTTTCTCTGCCATTGTGTTAATCTGTGTTGTCAGCTCTGCCGTTTTGTTAATCAGTTTTTTTGTAGTTTTCTCTGCCATTTGTTAATCAGTTTTTTTTGTAGTTCCTCTGCCGTTTGCTAATCAGTTTGTTTGTAGTTTCTCTGCCATTTGTTAATCAGTGTGTTTGTAGTTCCTCTGCCATTTGTTAATCAGTTTTTTATGTAGTTTCTCTGCCGTTTGTTAATCAGTTTTTTTTTTGTAGTTTCTCTGCCATTTGTTAATCAGTGTGTTTGTAGTTTCTCTGCCATTTGTTAATCAGTGTGTTTGTAGTTTCTCTGCTATTTGTTAATCAGTGTGTTTGTAGTTTCTCTGCTGTTTGTTAATCAGTGTGTTTGTAGTTTCTCTGCCATTTGTTAATCAGTGTGTTTGTAGTTTCTCTGCCATTTGTTAATCAGTGTGTTTGTAGTTTCTCTGCCATTTGTTAATCAGTGTGTTTGTAGTTTCTCTGCTATTTGTTAATCAGTGTGTTTGTAGTTTCTCTGCTATTTGTTAATCAGTGTGTTTGTAGTTTCTCTGCCATTTGTTAATCAGTGTGTTTGTAGTTTCTCTGCCATTTGTTAATCAGTGTGTTTGTAGTTTCTCTGCCATTTGTTAATCAGTATGTTTGTAGTTCCTCTGCCGTTTGTTAATCAGTGTGTTTGTAGTTTCTCTGCCATTTGTTAATCAGTGTGTTTGTAGTTTCTCTGCCATTTGTTAATCAGTTTTTTTGTAGTTTCTCTGCCATTTGTTAATCAGTGTGTTTGTAGTTTCTCTGCCGTTTGTTAATCAGTTTTTTTTTTGTAGTTTCTCTGCCATTTGTTAATCAGTGTGTTTGTAGTTTCTCTGCCATTTGTTAATCAGTGTGTTTGTAGTTTCTCTGCCGTTTGTTAATCAGTGTGTTTGTAGTTTCACTGCCGTTTGTTAATCAGTGTGTTTGTAGTTTCTCTGCCGTTTGTTAATCAGTGTGTTTGTAGTTTCTGGTTGTGTTTGGTGGGGATGTCAAAACATTAGATGTAGAATGTTTGTACGGGTATAGTTTGGTCAGATGACTGAGCCTGTTAAATAAATCATCTTGTTATGTAGGCATTGCTATGTGCAGATGACAGAACAGTTAACATGGATTGTCTTGTTTTTTTTTTTCCAGGTGTTATTTGGTGCAGATGTCAAAGAACATCTAATGAAAGCCAAATCAAAGTTCAACACAGATCTTCGTCGCTTGGCGAACAGGATTATTTCATCCATAGACAAGTGAGTATCCTGGGGAGTTTGTCCTTCTGTGGCTGGAATAAGTGTCTGGTTGACATTTTATTAGTTTGCTTCTTCATGAATGTCTGCTATTGCCGGTCCCATCCTGGGATAAGAAAGGAGAAGTGCTAATCCAGCTTCTGCACTGTGTAGAACAATTGTCTTGCTACAGAAGCATGATTACAAATTGCCACTCCAGAAAACTAACCAATCAGGAGATGTCTCTATGTTGTTTGATAAACATAAAACAAATGTTGAAGAGAGGCCAGAGCTATCAAAATGGATTCTTTGCATAGTTTTTAAAGGATTTCATAGGATACAACAGGATAAATGGATTGACTGCAATCCTGTGCATCATAAATCACACAATATCATGATGATAATGATATTTTGTGAGATGTTTTTTGGGTAGATCTTTCTCTCTCTCTCTCTCTCTTTGTCTCTCTCTCTATCCCTCTCTCTCTCTCTTTCTTTCTCTCTCTCTCTTTTTCTCTCTCTTTTTCTCTCTCTCTCTCTTTCTCTTCCTCTCTGTCTCTCTCTCTCTGTGTGTGTGTGTGTGTGCGTGCGCATGCACAAAAGACCATATATATATATTAGGGCTGTACCGAATAGTGATTTTCACTATTCGGCCGAATACGAAAAGCTGTACCAATAGTGAATCATCATCATCAGGTGCTTTGCCGACTGGCATGGGCGATTATGCCTTGCCACAATCTGCGATCTCCGGCAGCATGTATTAGTTCGTGTGCTGACACACCTCCATGCCAAGCAACAAGACTGTCAAGAATCTTCTCTCGTTGTCTTCCTCTATCCCTCCTTCCACAGATCTTTCCAGATTCGAGAAATGATGACTGTCTCCTTCTGATGTCTGTGAGTAGTTGTCTTCGGGCTCCCGCCTCTTTTTAAACCTCTTGGTTGCTTTTTTTTCTGCCCTGTCTAAGGTATTTTAAGCATTGTTCTGTAAAACCACATCTATGAGGCCTCAAGAAATTGTTTGGCCTGCCTACCGATTGTCCAGGACTCACAGCCATATGTTAAAACTGGATGTATGTAGCAAGCAAGAAAGCATTAGCTTTCCAATAAAAAAAAAAAAAAAAAAACACACACACACACACACACACAATCGTTCCATGTTGTCAGCATTAAGGCAGCTTCTTGTCTCACTAAAGGTATTTCCAGCTGTGCTAAACAGACGTTCACTTGGTACGCTCGTATATGGTGCACAAAGTACCGCTTGACAGTATGAACCAAGGTGGGCAATCTTGATATGTTTATTTCCCACCAGTCCAGAAATGTGTGTAAGGTAACCACTATTCGTATTTGGCCCGACCGCAACTATTTGGCCGAATACCGAATAGTTATTAGGTCCAGCGAATACGAAGCGAATATTCGGTACAGCCCTAATATATATATATGTGTGTGTGTGGTCTTTTGTGAAGATGAATGTTTACTTTCTTGTCTTAAGCTGTCTATTAGCCGGTGTCCCTTTAGATGATCAGTCTTAAGTGTAGATAGATTGTTACTTTGTTGTATAGGATTTAAGTAGTTAGGTGACTAAGTTTATTGTTCAATTTGTGTGTTGTTAAGAGACTTTTTTTTTTTTATTGTGGTCATAAACCATATAGGGCATCTTATAATTTCACAGTGTACTGTTTCAAGTTTACTTGGAGTTTCTCAACAAATATTGAAACTGATGAACAGGGGAGCTTACTCTTGGAAATTAAAATGCCTAGCCTTAGTCTCTGAAAACAATAAGGCTTGAAGACTGTGCCAAAGTATAGGTCTACTTGGACTGAGTTGATTCTCTGGGGGGATACGGGCAGAATAAGATGAAAACAATAAGGCTTGAAGACTGTGCCAAAGTATAGGTCTACTTGGACTGAGTTGATTCTCTGGGGGGATACGGGCAGAATAAGATGAAAACAATAAGGCTTGAAGACTGTGCCAAAGTATAGGTCTACTTGGGCTGAGTTGATTCTCTGGGGGGATACGGGCAGAATAAGATGAAAACAAAGCAGTTCATTCAGGATACAAAGTCACAGATACAGGCTGATTCTACGTTAGTGAGAAAAAAAGAAGAGAAAACACTGTCATAGATGTTATAAGTTCAAATAATCTCTTTTCATTGCAGAGAGAATTGCCGGCCCAAATTTGCAAAGAAGCGGAAAGCATCAAATGCTGGTCTGACTAGCACTCCATCCCAGAAGAAACTGCGAGTCTGAGTGGATACCTACGACTGGATCATCAATGATTGTTATGTAACTGCGAGTCTGAGTGGATACCTACGACTGGATCATCGATGATTGTTATGTAACTGCGAGTCTGAGTGGATACCTACGACTGGATCATCAATGATTGTTATGTATTAAACATTGTTTACATCACCAGTCTTTGACTTGATTTTGTTGCTTTCATTTACACATGTTGTAGTTGTAACATGTGTCGACTTTTCATTCGACGGAGCACGTGTGGGAGTGTCCTGACTGCAGCGATTCTTCATTCATTTATTCACACTTGTATTACATAACTTTCTTGTCTTCACTGAAAAACTGTCTTGACTGTTTGCAGTACCACATTTTGTGGTGTGCAGCGTACTGTAAGTTACTTAAAATGATGTTGATATTTGCTTAGGATAAGAGGAGAAAATCGCTGCTGGTGATCATGTGCTCTTAGAACAAGGGTAAGGATAACCCAGCACCACATAGAACAATCATCACACCTGTAGTTGCAAGAAATATGGGGACCCTTCCCCCCCAAAACATGAGAGTAATTAGAACAAGGACAGGAATGGGTCGACACGAACACCCACAACAGCAGTTTCTATCAGATCATTATCACGTTAAGAAGAGAGTGGTGTGAAATGAACCCCCGACCTTCAGAGCGTGAGGCAAATAGCTTGACCACTTCGCCATGGGGCCCCCTTCCCACGAATACAGTAAAAAATAGAAACCAAAGGCAGGAAAACGGACAAAGCAAACTGATATAGCAACGGGTACCACAGGCAGGAAAACGGACGAAGCACTATGATTCAGAAAAGGCTGGGAAGCGGAGAAAGCACCAAGATCTAGCAACGGCTACCAAAGGCAAGAAAATGGACGAAGCACCAAGATGCAACAACAAAATCCGAGATGGAATGTAAAGTCGTTTTGTTTGTCAAAAACGAAAGATGATGGGGAGACAAAAAATACACAATGAATAATGGTTTTAAATTTCAGCAAGGTTGCTCAACTGGGAAGGAGGGGGGGGGGAGGTGTCCACTATCATTAAATGCGTACACGTACTCGGTGGAATGCAGAAGAACACTTTAGAGAGGGTTTTTCAACAAGGGGGATCTTCCAGAGGCCCAAGCCCAAGTGTAGACAGATCATGAATACAACTGGCAATGATCCGCGGGCCGCTACTTGGAATAACCCTGCCCTAGAGTGACAACGGTTATGCTCGCCTGACTAGGATGCTCTCTAAACGAAAAGGAAAAAGAATGGCCAACACATATTTTTTTTTAATAATACCAAGAATATAAATAATTTCACAACTTACAAATTCTTCGAGACAGATGAATATCTTAAACTAATGAGAAAACGGCCGTAGATATCGGTGTGTCTTGGACCAATCTCTCGAGCAGTTCAGTCCATAACAGACAAGCTTGAAAAGAAATAAAGGGTTCGAAAAAATGTCCAGGTTTTTAAAATATGAACTGGAATCGAAGTCTGCGAAAAAATCTAGAAATATGATTTTGTATTTGTGAAGTATTGTCTACTTTGTGTATATGCTGATGAAGCTCCATACCCGCAACGTTCACGTTTTGTTTGTAATATTCCGAAGCTCGTTGATATACTTTTTACCTGGCTGGCTTTGGAAGATAAGGAAGATACTAGTAAGTTATTTGATTTTGTGAAGTATTGGTATAAAAACTGTGGTTGTATATGCTGGATGAAACCCGCCTCCAGTTACCCGGCAAAACGTTCGTTCGGGTTTATATATTTATGTGTGTAGCAGACTACCATTCGCTTTCCGGATGATCTCGGCTATAAAAAAAGATATAAACTATATGTTATCTGTTTGATGTGTTGTTACTGGAAACAGGCGGGCAACCACTGCTAAAGAGAGCAGTAATTACGGACAGAAAAACAGTTTAATTGCCAGTATGGCCGCTTTATTTAATTAAATCAGCAGAAGGTTCTTGGTTAATTTTTTTATGGGGGGGTGGTGGGGGGGGGGGGGGGGGGTTTAAGTAGCTTCTGAACTGGCAAACACTTTATCTTTAATGTAGAAATAGTGTTTCGGATAACGGAAATATTCAGTTAAAACACCATACATCTCTCGATGACAGATCTAAGGAAATATATAAGAGAGAGGTATTTAAAAGTGAACGATTGCGCCGAAGTCTGAGCTGTGTGGTACAATGTGACCACTCTCTGAGTCCACAAGGGAAAATCAAAAGTGTAACCACCAGGTAATCTGACTTAATTCGTAAATTTATGTTTGGGATCTTTGTATAAATAGCTAAATGTAAAAATTTGGCTATTTATCGGTTGTGTAATCTGCTTTTGTTGGTGTTTTTACTGCTGATGCTGTGACTACTAATATTAATAATATAAGTTCAGCTGCTGCTGCTGCTGCTGTTGCTTTAACGAGTCCTCTTTCTTTTTCTCATACTCCTTCCCTCTGTCGTCCTGGTCGTTATCCTCATACTAATTTTGTTGCTGCTGCTACTACTACTACAACTTATCATCATCATCATCATCATTATATCATTATTTTTATTATTTTACGATTTTTATTGTAATTTTGTTGTTGTTGAAATCTTAGACTTTCAAACTTCGTCCTGAAAATATTCAAAATAAAAGTGCAGAAACGAAGCGGGTGTAGACCAAATAGAGCTGATTGTTCTCCATACACTGACATTGTATCAAATGTTTCGACAACAGGGAAATTAACCGCGGTTACAGTGTACACCGCATGCGATATGCCACTGATACATCAATGATCGCTAAGATTAAAAAGCATGTACAAGAAACGGAAGATAAGTCGTGAAATCAAAGTTCTCAGTCTCGTCGGCGGAAACAAAACAAAAGCAGTATTGAATACGAGACAAGGAAATGACGTCATCCTGTACTACACTGGCTAGTAAACGGGGCACCAGGATAGTAATAGATGAAAGATTTATTATAGAGTTCAAATGTTGAACAGTCAAAGCAAAAGCAGATTTTTCACACCATGAAGATTATTGTTTGCAATCTAGCTTTGTCAAATAATGTGAGAAAGGAAGTTCTTAAGAACTTCGTTGAGTCAGTACAAATGTAGTGATGTGAATTAAACCATGGGTGCCCGACCTACCTAAGGCAGTAAGATATAATAAAGGGATACTTTGTGAAGCCACAGTGCGCTCCATTTACAACTCTGCCCGGGATATATTTGACTGTTGAATTGACACGCAGAATGGTTAAACTACGGGTTCGGACGGTATCCTAGCAAAAGCTATCAAAGATAATAAAAACAGGTTAGAGCGTTTCTCGAAGACAGAAGAGAAGTACAATAAAATTTAGAGCAGAAAAAAAAAGTGTGGCTCGAACTGTACGAGGACTTTGTGGTACCCAGTTATCTTATACAGGTGCAGAAACAGAACGGGGATACAATTGTCCTAATTCAAATTCTTGACGATAGCTATCCTATATAGTAGGTGCTTCAGAAAACAGACGTCTTCGTTAGACTCAAAGTTAATACTTATACACAAGGCTTTTGTTTCTGGTGGTATACAATGGCAAACAATACCGGCACATTTTGTTTGGGCCTTCTATTGTCAGCGCTACTGTGATAGATACTTGGCAGTGAGTACCAGCACTTAGACACTTTATGCTAAGTACCAGTACCTTTTTTTTCCTAGAACAAAAACCCGCATATACAGGCCATCAGGGACCAGTTCTGTCAGTAAAGAACCGTGGAAAATTTGTCTTGTTTGTGTTTGTGACACGGCAGAGAAAAACCGGGACGAACCGCGTTAAACGAGTGCACAAGATGTACTTATTGCTCGGAATAGTGAGGATAGAAAGCGGCGACGGGCTCTAGATGTTGCTGATTTCCCTATGTCCTACCTGGAGCATGTATCCAGGCTTACCGGGGGATATTGTTTCTTTCTCTTTTGCCTTTATCAATATAATCGGTGGTCGAAACATTGTGTAGTGGTTTCCAGCTGGACTGCGATGTGTACGGCTTTTTGTCCAACACGAACTATTTCAGCGAACAATTAATTAGTCGTCTTTTAAACTATTTTTAACAACATTCTTGTTACTGTCATATCCCCTCCCCCCCCCCCCCCCCCCCCCCCCAAATAGGGCTCCATAATGCGCGCAACAGAGAAAACAACAGTAAAAGGGGGAGAGAGAGGAGGGGGGGGGGGCTAAGCCCACCTGTCATTAATTTTCTAAGGACTGGTGGATTGGCACCATTGTGTATAAATGCGCAATAATTATAAAAAAATAATCACAAGCTTAAAACATTGTTGGAAAAAAAGGTTCTAGAGATCATGGCTCAGGGTGGATGAGCCACCAGTTTCCTATGATCATGGCTCAAGATGGATGAGCTACCATGTTTGATAAATCGTTTAGTACTAAATAATTTATTTTGATTGTTTCAGACTAGAGTACACACAGTACGCAGTCTCGTCTGTTGCTATTTCTGCAGACGCCATGGAACTCCAGTGTGGAGTAGACTCTCTGCAGGAATCCCGGGCAATGAAAGCAGCACGCTCCAAAAACCGAACTCAAGAGAAAAAGTTAGCTCAGACAATTCAAGCCCTAGACAAGCACATGCAATCCAGGTACATTTTCTTCCTCAACACCGTAAATGTCAGTTCAGGAACACTGACAGACTTATAATGGCAGGATCAGAAAACACACACACACATGCGCGCGCGCACGCACGCACACACACACACACACACACACACACACAAGTAATTTAACAGCTTCGCACGGGATAGTAAGAGAAAGTTTTTTTTCTTATCCTGATCTCTACCGCCGCCGTAAATGAAGTAGAAACTTCACTGAGGAGCGAGCACAACACGAGCCTTCCGTAAGTGTATCTTGGACACCCTCGTTTCCTAAACCCGACAATGTCCTATTACGGTGCATGTCTGGTGATTCTCTGAATTTTCTGTAGCAAATAATATTTTTTTAACAGGGTGTGGTTGGTGACCCCTGAGTCATGGCTCGAGTCCTGGACC